CCAATATGAAGTCTGAAATGTTCTCTGCGGACCAGGTGGATAATTTAATCAGCCATTCTCCAGCATTTATTTCTGTCCTGGGTGGATTCGCCTTTCATTTCCCCACTCTATGACCTCTCTTCTCTGCACAAACCTTTTTGTAGGCATTGAAATAACTTCACAAAGGCTTTGGGTGAGTAAAATTATAAAGAGATATCACATATAACAAGTAAGTATCTAGATTTCAAAATCATTACAAAATGTCTCCTAAAATATTTTATGATGAGAGTGGAAATATGAAAATTGGCTTTATGGTAATATCACTAAGTAATTTCAATTAAAATATCCTTTACATAGTATGTTTAGGAAAAAGAAATGAGTATATCATTATTCCTAAAAATTTCTCCACATAAATGTTCCAGAAGTGAAAGTCCACCTAGCCTGTTCATTCTCCTACATGTCCCAAAGAGCCATTCTCTCCCTTTTTTTCCTAATCCAGCAACCTACTTCCTCATATTTCAAAATCTCTACCTCCCTGTCTTACCCAGGACACCCACTTCTGGAATTCTAGGAAAACAGTGTCCATCAGCTCTTTGCCAGAAACCCACTGGTCCAAAACTTTAAATTAACATAGCAATAAAATCCTTGGGGTTCCTTTTCACCCTTATTTATGTATTTTTGTATATTTTTTTAAACAAACATGGCCTTAAGACTTCCAAGGTCTTTGGTAGTAAAGGGGCAATGGTGCAGAGTAGCCTCTTCTGGTGTATTTCATCAGCCAATCAAGTCAGGAGTTATGAACCTGAAGCCAATGGGTGCAGACCAGGGGCGGGGCTTGGAGCAAGTAACTGCAGTTGAGGTTGCAGTTGATCGTTCCTGTTCTGGGGTGACCAGAGTCGCTAGCCTCCTCTTCTCACTACTCCAGGATACTCCTCCTGAGGCTCTGGACGGTGAGCCCTCCCGCGGCTTACCCTTTAGGAAGTTGTCCCCTCCCCTCTGGGACTTTCCCTGCTGGCTCAGCCTTTCCTCGGAGCGGAGCAAATGCTCCCACAGTATTCCGGCTACCCATTCAGCCAGCCATTCCGGAGTTTCCACCTTTCCCTTGGCAGCCAAATCAAGGCAAACGAGCCTCTCCGTTGGCCTTTCTGCCCCTTAGCCCCTGCCCCTCCTCATGACTCTTCCTATATCATCCCTCTGAACTATTTACCTGGCGTGGGTTTGTTCCCTTGGCCTTGCTGAGGCACGGAGAGGGAAGCACACTGATGCCCTGGTCAATCCCCTCAGGTGCATGGAGCTGAGCCAAGAGGGAGGAAGAGCTCCTTGGGAGTGAAGAGGCATTAGGAGGGACACAGACCGCCCACGTCAGTCAGACTCCGTGAGTAAGGGCTGCTGTGTGGTGTGGCAGGACCCTGCTGGTGGATCTGTCATAAACCATTAGGCCAGAGTTTGCAGCTCGTGACGATTACTGGGGTGCCACCGTGCCCTCCTCAAGATGCTTTTGTCAGCTAATTCCTGAAGAGTGTGATTAGAAGGAAAAAAGACCTCCCGTTTTCAGGGACAGGGAATTAGTCTTACTTCCACTTTTCCGTGACACAGAATTTCTTAAGACTGACAGACTGTTGAGGACAAGGCTACATTCCCTTTTTGAGAGAGCAGTCATCCATCTACTCCATGCATAGTGCAAATGGAGGCATTATCGAATTTATTGAAAAATTAATGTGGGAGACCTATATGGTAATTTCAAGACAAACGAATATTTTTCCCTTAATGAGACACGGACTCATAAACTCCAAAGTTGTCAAAAGTCAGCTTAAGCTTAAGAAGAGTTTTAATTACATTGAAAATATGTTTAGTCTCACTGCTATTTCTGTACCCATACCTAGTATGGGTAGTGTTAGCATTTTACTGAGATGAGATCATTTCTTAGGGTCAGAGTTTTGTTAGGAGAACTCGGAGCAGAGGTTGGAAAAGCCAGAGTGAGTATTTGCCACATATTTACAGCCAGATAGTGAAATTCTGTTGAACTTGATCATCCATATCCCTGAATTTCAAGGATAATTAAGACTCGGAGTAATTTTATTCTTTTCTGAAAGGAATTGATTAAAATTGAATATGTAAACACCCAGTAAAGTTTTCAAATAAACAATTTTAGAAACGAGAAAAATGCTTATGGGAACGTGTTTTTAGTTTGAAAAATAAACTCCTTAACTGTATTAAATTCTGCAAGCATGTAAGAATGTGTAACTATGTTGCAGAAAATACTTTTTCTTTTTTGGTCAAGCCTGTTTGCCCCAGGATGTTTGAAAATATTTTTAGTTTGAAAAATAAACTCCTTAACTGTATTAAATTCTGCAAGCATGTAAGAATGTGTAACTATGTTGCAGAAAATACTTTTTCTTTTTTGGTCAAGCCTGTTTGCCTCAGGATGTTTAGTTTTGGAGTAACAGTGGGCAAGTTAATAGGTGACATTGACATTATTTTCCTAAATAGTTAGATGTTTAACTAAAAGCAAATATCATCAAACTATCACAGTGTTGTTCCCTAAAGGCACGGACCTCTCCTAGCGCAGGGCTTCTGAATAATGGCTGCTCATTAGAATCACTGGGAAGCTTTTAAAGTTCCCAATACCCAGGCTAGACCTCAAACCAATTTAATTAACCTCTGGGGGTGCCACCCATACATCTGTATTTTTTTTTAAGGTTCTATTTTTAAGTAATCTCTACACCCAACATGGGGCTCAAACTTACAACCCTGAGACCAAGAGTCCCATGCCCTACCGACTGAGCCAGCCAGCCACCCCCACCTCTGTATTTTTAAAAACTCTAAGTGATTCCAACATGGACCCAAGGTTGAGAATCTCTGTCTTAGAGGGATGGCCAAGCTCACTCTGCTCCATCACTTATATGGCTATCAGGATCCCCGGGTCTACCTTCAGCTCTTGACATGTTAAAGTAAAGTGAAGGAATTTAGAAATCCTTTGAGGAAAAACAAAAACCAGACAAACACAAAAAAAAAACCCCTGCCATCAGGGAACTGGTCTGACACTCAAAGCTAGGTGTCACTCCGTGTCATCACCAGCCAGCCTGTTGCTCGTATGTAGTCCATATTATTCTCCTGTTGGACACAATCTCACAGAACATCAACATCAGATGAGGTCACTCGAAACCATAAAAGTGAAACAGAAAGTCACCAGGCAACCCATAGATACCAAACATCCCCTCTCTTGGCTAAAATGAGTGATTGCTGCTTCTTTACCCGTGACAGCTTTATCCTTGTTCCAGGCTGCCCTCCCTGTAGATATGTTAAGATACCCAGCCACAGAATTATCCTTGCTTTCTGACAGCACCAATCTATAGTAAACCCTTGCTCTTCTGGACCTTCTCCAGAATCACCCAGCCAGAGCCCAGATCCACAATAATTTCAACATCCTGTTACTAACCTTGTCTAGAATTACCCAGCCAGAGCCCAGATCCACAATAATTTCAACATCCTGTTACTGAGACACCCCACAGTTCCCCAGGGTGAATGTTCTCCCTTACTGTGACAAACGATGAACCCAACTTCTCAACCTCAGATGTGTTTCTGGTGGTCTTTGCCTGAAGGGCGTTGATACTCTTTCTCACAAAACCTGACTCAAGAATAATAAAAAGAAACTGGATTTGAGACTAAAAATGGAGCAATTTTGCCTTTGAATTGGGTGAATCACAGTGGTTGTTGACTTTAGCTGCACATTAAAGTTGCTTGTGGAGCCCAGGCTGCAAGTCAGACTGATTTAAATAGAAATCTCTGGGGATAGGACCCAGGCACCAGTATCATTATGATACCATAGGTGATGCCAAATAAATATAATAAGCACAGAGAGAATAAGTGACACAGACTAGGGACCTATGGAAATCTGAGGCCAATAGCTGTGAAGGAAGCTGCCCAGAGTCTTTCACCCTGCAAGCTGCAACCCATCAGCCCTTTGCTTATGGGCAGTCTGACCACAGTCAGCACTTTTATATTGGTGCTAATATACTACAACCTTTATAAATGATGTTTACAAGGCTCTTTGATGCTAGTGATAGAACATCCAGTGGAAAGCAGCATAAAGTAAAATTATTTAAGGATGAGCCCAACCCTATAAATAAAACACACAAGAGCCATGAGATGGCATGACTGGTTGACTTTTTTTCCTGTTTTTTGGAATGTTTGTTTACATATTTATTTCAAAAGTGTTCAATAAACATGTATTCATTTAATTTTCTCTTTCAAAATATTATTTTTATACTCAGGAAAGGGCATATAATAAAATATAAATATTTGAAATTTAAAAATACATTAAAATTTGAAATTTAAAAAGACATTGTTGGATTATGAGAGGAAGTTTGGTAATGACCAATTGATTTAGCATGGCAGCCAGAGAAGATGCTAATAGTGGACACTGGAAAATGCTAAGTCACTATTAATGAGATTCAATTGGAAGAATCCCCTCCATGAATTTAGGACCCCAATATAAAACTCTCCTTAGCACGGGAAGCAGATGAGATTAGCGGACTGTAGCTATGACCTATTTCTTCAAACCAAGACACATCCCAGGACACATGAGATAGAACATGTAACAACTCCCCTATTTTAAATCCTTTTGGTTTCAACATTTTTTTTACATTCTTGGTCACTATGTAGATATACAAAAGTTAGAGAAAACCTGGCTCCTCACTCCCAAATGAGATAAAAGAAAGCTATGATGGAATAGCACCATGGTCTATTAATTTCTGTCTGGAGAGAGCAACAAATGAGATCAGAACATTCTGACCCCATCCCATTTCCCACTTTGGAATAGCTGCCAGGAGATGCTTCCAGAGGCTCAGCTAAGTTGAGGGCAAACCTCTCAGTTGTCCATCCCCAGAACTAATTAACCTACACCAGTTTGTGGTCCCAGGAACTGGTTAGATGAAAACTCCCTTCAGACAGTTGGGTAGGTGCAGGGCGAATAACAGCTGAGAAGTGCTTGGTATAGTAAGTGAACACAGGGTGACACTGGCTAGCCTCCGTCACTCGGGGTTGTACCTTTTCTATCTCATTTAAAATGTAAGCGTCATAGAAGGCACAGGCTTCCCTAAATTTGGTGGGCCCTAAGATATCACTAGAAATAATTAAGGAGAAATATGAGCTTCTTCCTTCTTCTTCTTTTTTTTTTCTTTTTAAAGAAATGCGCTAGAAGGTCAGAAAGAAGGCAAATTTTACAATCCTTTGATCCTGTGAGAGTTTTGCTAAATTCTAAGAGTTGAATTCAGCTGGTCTGTGAGAAACAACAGAATGGATTTGAATTCCAGTCTGTCTAATTTCACTGTTCTTACCAAAGGATTTTCTAGCACATGGCTGGAATTTTTCAGAAGTACGTTTATGACTACTTCTGATGATCTCCCTGAAATCATTCTAATATTGTCCTTGATCTGCACAGTTGGAGGTAGGTGTAACTCTCTTTATTTGAGTTTATTCTATGGCTATATCTTGTAAATGTCACCATATAGAACTGAGGAAAGTAGCAGTAATAGAAAGTTAGAATTTTGTTCCTAAATTCATACTTTTAACCTAAGATTATCAACCAAATGAATCCAATGATAATCTGCCTCTGAAAAGAGACATGTAGAGACTGATTCATATTCTTCATCCTCTTTTGGATTCAAAGTAGTCACACTTTTTACCTGGTAGGTCATGGTTAGATTTAAGTGATGGGAAGAATTGAAGCAGATGAGCCAAAAATCAAGGGTTGGGGGATTTTGATAACTATCTGCGTGATCACAAACTATAGTTTCATTCATATATTAAAGCTACTTGTGTACCACTTTCTTCACTTGAACAAAGAATTTTCAAAATGAGTGGGGTCTTTTGAGTGGACCAGTTACTTTTTAACCACTTGGTTGGGTGTCCCCTAAGTTTTGTTCAAATAATAAATTATGCCTAACTCCTATGAGAAGAAAAGAATACTGTAGAAATCAAAAGAAAGCCCCCTTTTTTTTTTGCATTCTTTGATTAGAAATTATATTACAAAGAAGCAGAAAACATTAAGCTGAAGGAAATGCTGTGATACAGCTTATTGTACTTTGATAACAATTCATTACAGGTTTTCTAATGTGTAGTAGGTAAGCAGTAATGGGAAGCTAGTTTTTCTCATTGGGCAAATTCTTATACCTAGTTCCTCATTGTTATTTTGGGAATCAGCCAGGAGATTTCATTAAAGTTTCATTATTTATTAACCTCTTATTGCAAGATTGCTAAAGAAACTAATATCTGATTATAGCATATACCAAAAAATTGCTATAAATATTTTAGTAATAACCCAAGAGCCAATGACTTCTAGCAGTATTTACTAAAGATTCTAAGGAAATGAGATACTTCATAGAAGAGGTAAATACAGAATCTAGCAGATTAAGAATTATACTGATTCAGTGTGCTTAAGTATGAGAGAGGTTTTCAATTACAGGAATTAAGTAAGTGAAAAGTGAAACAGTATTTCATTGTCCTCAGTATTAAGAAAGCGTATCAAATTAAAGTTCCATAAATGTGATATTTCACTGCCTTTCAGTAAAGATGTTTTTTTTTGCAGCATTTTTGAATCTACACTTAAAAGACTTTCCAATTCCTCTCCCTGTGATATTATTTTTAATTGGATGCAGTTTTGAAATATTAAGTTTTACATCTGAGCAGGTGTGTATAGTAAATATGAATATTTTGTACTATATCTCAAATTCATACAAATACAAAGATGGCTTAAGGAAACTTGCAAAAATACTTGCCAGTTCACTGCTCTGCCAGTCGATGGATGCTTGTGATATGGATGACATCAGATCAGATGTGTGAAAAAAGGAACCAGGGGTGACAGAGCTGAGATCCAGCTAAATGTAGTCAAAACAGAGCCTCCATCTGAAAGGAGGTAGGCAACTCAGAGAATGAGTTCATATACACCTACTGAGAGTGTGAGCAGCTAATGAGAATTTAAGCAGAATTCAAAAGCTAGACAAGAATTGGTTTGTTTTTTCTTTAAAGATTTTATTTATTCATTTGTCAGAGAGAGAGAGAAAATGAGCACAAGCAAGGGGGAGTGGGGAGCAGCAGGCAGAGGGAGAAGCAGGCTCCCCACTGAGCAAGGAGCCTGATGCGGAACTTGATCCCAGGACCCTGGGATCATGACCTGAGCTGAAGGCAGATGCTTAACTGACTGGACTTGGTTAATAATATAGAAGCCCAGAGACCCTAAGCTGCTGGTATAGGACTCTAGTAGCAAGAGAATTCTGACATTGAACCAATCTATTGCCTCAGTTAGGAATGTTTTACAGGGTTTCCATTAGAATAGAGGCTAAACTTTAAGTGTGTGTGACTTATAAGATCTCAAGAAACAGAAGTTGAACCTCTTACCTGGAGCTGGACGTGAGGAGAAGGCAAACTACAGATGTAGTCCAGGCAGCTACAGTGTTATAAATAGTTGAGAACAACTGGAGTCAGGTAGAGGCGTACATCTTACTGTAAGGGATGTAGAATGTATCATTGACACATTAGATAGTTCTCTAGCCCCGGGGTTGGCAGCAAATTTTTCCATAAAAGGCCATATAGTAAATATTTTAAGTTATACAGGCCACGTGAGCTTTGTCACAATTACTCAACTCTGCCATTATCGTTCAGAAGCGACCACAGGCAATATGTAAGTGAGCTGGCATGGCTGTGTTCTAGTAAGACTTTATTTCCAAAAACAGGCCTTGAGTCAGATGTGGCCTTGGGCCATAGTTCACCAACACCTACTCTAGTCAATCAGAGTGTGAATGAGAACATGTATGAAAACGATTGGCTTTCCCAAACAAATGTAACCAGGGCTATTAACGAACATCATGGAAGACATGTATCCATATAAGACCCAGATTATTACTTCATTTGTCATCAATAGGTTTTGTAACTGTACAGTTTTGACTTATATGCAATTTTAAGTACATCTATAAACTTAATTTTTCTATTTGTCAATAACCTTTTAAAAGAAGAGAACAGAGGTCAAGAACTGTGAAGGGTCTAAGATTTACTCTATTTGCAAGTAATAAGTTAGCCTGCCACAGTTTCATGGTCTTGGCAAAAGACATGGGACTCCTAGGCCCAAGAAAAGGACTTTAGTGCTCACAGCGATAGCAGAAGCCGGAGTATCAGCATCTTCTTGTGCCTGTTCCATGAGCCCCAATACCCACAGGGAGAAGCAAAGAGGGCCCAGTGAAACCTGCATACACAATGGATTGCATTACAGGAGAAGAAACCTGAGTTTTAGAGAACTTGAATATTTTGTGATGGGCAGTAAGCTCACCTGATCTTTGCCCTGGAAGGAGACACTGTCCTTGTTACAGTATAGTACACCAGCTCTTTGCTCTAAAGGGGGGCACTTGGCTCTGTCTTCCAAAGCTGTTAGCCATACAAATATTTTTGAAAGATAGTCTGGAAGAAAAGCAATCAACGCCTCCACTCATAAGATGTAGAGAAACACAAGAGACTCATGGAGACTCATCCCCCCAAAGCAAAGATACCACCTAACACAGCGGGCAATCAGTGTTTCCTTAATGAACAGAATGTTGAGTGGATGTTCATAACAGGATTTACAAATATCAACTAAATATTTTGTGATAAACACCATTAATTAGTTATCTCATTCACAGCATTAACTTCCCAGTTTCTATTCCTGCTATTCTTCCACACCCATCTTCTGTGTAAACCATGGTTAATTATTTGTAGTTTCTGAAACTTGATATGATTGTTTACTTCTTTGTGGATGTTGTGCATGATAATCTATCTACCTGAAACCTGTCTTCCTCTTTTATGCCGGAAAATCTTCTCCATATTCTCTTGTACCCATATCAATGTACTTTCTATACCCGTTGTTTAAAAAATAAAATGGGCATGGAGATATGCATTAACTTCCACTGTAACTGGTAACAATCTGATGGAAAATTATGAAAATCTGGGGCTCCCGGGTGGCGCAGTCAGTTAAGCATCCAACTCTTGGTTTCGGCTCAGGTCATGATCTCAGGGTGGTGAGATCGAGCCCCACACGGGCTCTGTGCTCAGCGGGGAGTCTGCTTAAGATTCTCTCTCCCTCTCCTCCCCCAAAATAAATAAATAAATCTTAAAAAAAAAGGAAAGAAAATGATGAAAATCAATAGAGTTAAGATTGGGACACCTATTACATTGTGATATATCTTTCTCTCTTTCGCTAGAGATAGGAGTGCCTGGCATGCAATCGATGCTAATAGAAGGATGGATAAATGAAAAAATGACATATTTTTATATTATTAGGTCCAAATATATGCAGATGCCATACAATGGATGAGTCCAAAAGTATTTTTTTATCTATTTACACCAATAATTATCTTTAATGTTGCATTTGACATGGATGTTTACATGCTGCAGAAACTATTTTGGCAGGTAAGAAGTTCTCTTTGTGATAATATCATTCACTCATGAACTACTATATGTTATCTATGTCCAGATTTTTTAAAACTTTGCTTTAAATTAGAAAACAAAGAAGACAAAGAAAAAATATAAGGTGCAGGAGAAAAAAATTCAGCCTTATATTTTATTTTTTAAAGATTTTATTTATTTATTTAACAGAGAGAGAGATAGCGAGAGCATGAACACAAGCAGGGGGAGTAGGAGAGGGAGAAGCAGGCTTCCCATCGAGCAGGGAGCCCAATGCGGGGCTCGATCCCAAGACCCTCGGATCATGACCTGAGCTGAAGTCAGACACTTAACGACTGATCCACCCAGGTGCCCCCAGCTTTATATTTTAGTGAATAAGCCATATCTTAACAATCGCCCAGCGTATTGAAGGCTCAGGAAAAAAAAAAAAAAAACTTACGGAGAAAAAAAGTAATTCTAAAAATCTGACTGGCAGAGCTTAATGCCAGTTATAATTTTAACTCTGAGATGCTATTAGAGAGCTATTATGAAATAGATTTGATCCAGTTGTTTGATTATTTTGCATAAAAGCCGTGTTTTAAATACCCACCTTCTAAAACTTCCCATATGCACATGAACAAAAACGGAGAATATTCACAAAAACGGCTATAATTCTAATTCACCAACTATTACGATTTTTTTTCTCATTGTGTGCTATTTGAACCCCATCAAGGAAAGACCTCAAGGAAAAAATACTCCAAATCTTAAGCAAGGTATACATTTCTTTCAAAGTAATTAAAATAGCTTTATAAATATAAGGTCATTACCTAAACTACATTAGAAACAAAACTATTAAAATAATTTACTTATTTTGAGTCCAGGCAAATGGGAGTTCAGACAAGTGACCAAAGAAAGAAAGAAAGAAAGAAAGAAAGAAAGAAAGAAAGAAAGAAAGAAAGAAAGAAAGAAAGAAAGAAAGAAATGGAACAGAATAGAGATATAAAAGCCTGGTGATGTGTATTAAAGAGGGCATGTTCTGCATGGAGCACTGGGTGTTATACGCAAATAATGGATCATGGAACACTACATCAAAAACTAATGATGTAATGTATGGTGATTAACATAACATAATAAACAAAAACAAAAACAAAAAGTACTTCGGGCTGGTTTGGGTGATCTCTGCTGAGCCGTCTCTTGCATTTCTGTACAACTGTGGGGTCAGCTGAGGTGGGATGAGCTGGATGGCCCCACGCACGTGTCTGTTGGTTGTTACTGTTAGCGTTGGCTGTAGGCAATGGGTGTCACTACCATGATCTAGAAGTTTATTCCAGACTTCTTCCCATGACGGCTGCAGAGTCTCAGACATCAACAGAAGAGGGCAAGCTCCAATTTGCCAATGCATTTTAGGCCTGTACCTTCATCGTGTTTGCTCTTGCTTCTTTCAGCCAAAGCAAAGAATGACATGATAACCAAGTCAGTGCTGGAGATAACTTTCCAGTGGTGTGAATTCAGAGAACAGAATTACCGCAGCAACTTTTACAAACAATATGCTTTGTGACTTATTAGGGTGTTGACAACTCTTGGTGGGAGAATAAGGATTTGGGCCTCCTGACCCTCAGTCTTCTTGTCTCAGAGCCTCATCCTAATTTTTCCTTTGAACAGGAGTTAGTAATACAACTCTCCAGACCATCAAAACCTTGCAGTGAGAACCCAGCCATCCTAGAGGTAAATTATGTAGGAGGCGTTGATTTTCTCCCACTGTCCTAATGTTGTCACCAAGGTTTATCCACCAAAGACTCCCTCTCAGGAGCTCCAGGGCTCAACAGGGCCATATAAACACTCCGTCATTGTTCTGTCACTTCTAAGATTCAGCAAGAGATGTATTAAGTCACTTAATCAAGTGACTTAACCAAATCCCTTAGCACTAGCACCCCAGCCTCCTGAATTAGAGTCCAGTGTTTATTCCCCAATTCATCATGCATGACTGTCCCCGTACAAATGAAGAACAAAGTAATCAGAAGGAAGATAGCTTTTAATATTTTAGTTCTTCTGAATTCTTTTTTTTTTTTTTTTTTTTAACCATCTTTGGTTTTGCTTCTGTAGGTCCTATGGCAATGCCTCATTGCCTAGCAGGTGATAAATAAACATGTAATAAACGAAGGATTGAGAGCCTGTGTTTTTTCATTAGAAAATGCATGACTTTCCTGATGTAGCAAAAACTGAGACAGGAAACTGGGGGTGTCATTTGATTTTACTTCTCTGGAGAATCGTCTTAAACGGAATTGATTGGTACACTGTTGGTGGCTGTGTTTGTTGGTAAACCTTTCTGGAGGGCAGTTTGGCAATCTCTGGGGAAAACCCTAAAATGATGCATGTCTTTAATATTACTTATTGAAATTCTAAAGATATAATTAAGGATGTATAATAAGATTTAATCACAAGACTCCTATATGCGCGTATACATATATATGGCTGTTTTTTTTTGTTTTGGGGGGTTTTTTTTTTTAAAGATTTTATTTATTTATTTGACAGAGAGAAACACAGTGAGAGCAGGAACACAAGCAGGGGGAGTAGGAGAGGGAGAAGCAGGCTTCCCGCGGAGCAGGGAGCCCGATATGGGACTCTATCCCAGGACCCTGGGACCATGACCTGAGCCGAAGGCAGACGCTTAACGACCGAGCCACCCAGGCGCCCTATATGGCTGTTTTTATTTAATATTGGTAGTAAGAGGCATTTGTCAACATCTTTATGAAATTTTTATATAATTTTTCATTTTCATTTTTATTTTATTTTTAAATTGAGGTATAATTGGCATACAACATTATATTAGTTTCGGGTGTATATACAACATAATGATTCAGTACTTATATATATTTTGAAATGACCACCAAAATAAGTCTAATTAACATCCATCACCACATAGTTACAAATTTTTTCTTATAACTTTTAATACCTACTCTCTTAGCAACTTTTAAATATACAGTACAGTATTATTAACTATAGTCAGCATGCTATACATTGCATCCCCACGATTTATTTAGAACTGGAAGTTTGTACCCTTTGACCTTCTTCACCTCTCTAGGTCCTATCGAATGCCTCATTGCCTAGCAAATGGTGAATAAACATGTAATAATGTTTCACCCCTTTCACCAAACTCCTGCACCGCCCCCAACTTCTGACAATCGCCAATCTATTCTCTGTGTCTATGAGCTCAGCTTTTTTTAAGAGTCCACATACAAGTGAGATCATACCGTATTTCTCTTTTTCTATCTGACTTATTTCACGCAGCGTAATGCCTTCAGGTTTCATCCATGTTGTCACAAATGGCAAGATTTCCTTCTCTTTTACGGTTGAATAATATTCTATTATATATAATACATATTCTTTATCAACTCCATCTATTGATGGACACTTAGGTTGCTTCCATGTCTTATTATTGTATATAGCTATTGTAAATAATGTAAATTTACATTACTGTATTGTAAATAATGCTGCAATAAACATGGGGATGCATTTCTGAATTCTTATAGGTAGCTTCAGGCACATCACATTTTCTAAGCCCATTTGGGAGTGAAATCTTGCTACATAGCTGCCACTGGTGTAATAAGAGGAAGCAGAAGGCAATGGTGGGAAAGCAGAAGGCCAGGTTCCAGGTCTAGAATAACAGAAATTTTCTTCCCATCTTTTCTAAAGTGCTCTGCCATTTCTTTACATTCTTTGTATTATCTTATTTTCTCCTTCTTTCCCTCTTGGGTCACTTCTTTCTAACTTGTGTTCTTTCTTTCTATGTTAATAGCCTATGTTTCAGTCCAATGCATAGTTAAATGTGTATATATACGCGTGTGTATATATGGTGTGTGTGCATACACCTTTACACATACATATCTATATTCAACAGCCTTATCAAGAAAATTAAAAGTTCCCTTTTAATTACAATATGGTATTTCCTACAACTGGTATGTCCTAGGTCCTAAGTATCTCGTTACAATATTTGTCTCTTATTTCCAGAGTTGCAGGCACATATTTGTTAAAGAAGGTAACTTAAAATTTCCCTTTGATGGAATTAATGTGATTCTGTATCTCCAATAATCCTGATAATCTGCTTTTTAAAATAGGATACAAAGGCAATCTGATTTTTCTATCCATAAAATTTCTTTGCAGGTACTTTTAATTTCAATTCCTGGCTTTTTGATGAATTATATATTAATTCTTTGGTATCTGGCATCTGTGAATAAATTATTTTTGAAAACCACTCCATGGTTATTATTTTCAACTATCCTTGTGAGTTCAGATCCCATGCTGACGGCAGCTGCTATAAGAGACCTTGGTAGGTATATTTTTTTCTATATTTAAAATATCATGTTCTGTACTTAATATATCTAGTTTTAAGATCTTTTGTTCACTGTAGGTTTTCACTATGTGAAATAGGGTTCTGGGACATTGGGGATTGAGCATGGAGATTCGGGATAGTGGTGCTTAGAACAAAATGAAATGCCAGTAATGGGCTTACTTAACATATATATGTTTCATCCAATTGTGAAATAAAATGGGATTATGTGTAATCCTTGACTTTATACATGCTTCTACTTTGAGCCAACAGTTCCAGGAGCGAACAATTTGCAAATACATTGTGGTGACATTTCCATTGCCCAATACCCCTTTTCCTTTGACAATACTGTCATTAGGATAATGCCATTTGTAAAAAAAATAAAATAAAAATAAATTAAAAAATAAAAAATTTAAGAAAATGCCTTTGGAGTCATCATCACCATTAGGACCCAAAACTTGAAAAGTCAAAAACAATAAAGTCACTAGTCATACAGTGTTTTCAGTGTGTACTATTTTAGGAGAAATAAATCTATATTTAAAAATAAAATACCAAGTCAACACAACCCCCCCCCCAACACACAAATCTAAGAGCCTCATTCAAAAAAAAATGATAACCTAATTTGTTTTCCTCCAGTCACTTTTTAGTAACAAGAATTACAACATTTGTTCTGAAATAGAATTTTAATATGGCATGTGTGCATGTGCACACACAAACACACACGCACTTTCCATTCTATAGTCAGTACAGGGGAAAAAGTTACTTGAGGCAAGTAGAAACAGAATAGAGGAGACACATCAATGTACCTCTCTGAATAAAGGAAAGCCAACTCTTCAAAACAAAGAGATTAAGATTGTGAGGTAAGACTTTAGAAGAAGGAAGTGCCAACATCTGTCACCCAACCCTGCCTCTGTGGGGACTCTGTCAGTGCCAGCCCCCTTTCTACTCAAAAGATTTGGCAAAGTTCTATGTTACCTGAGAGCATTACATTCTTAACTTTATAATCTTGTAATCTAGTTAGTATTCCACTGATTTCCTGGCCTGTCATTGTTGAATTTAATAATTTAAATAATTTCACTGTGCCTCGGCATGGAGTCAGCTTGAGTTTCCTTTCTCTCTCTTCCTCTGCCCCTTTCCCTGCCCCCACATGCACGTGCTCTTGCTCTCTCTCAAATAAATAAATAAATCTTTTTTAAAAAGATAAATAATTTCTTTGGGTTAACTTGCAAAATTATGCTCATACATTTTAGTCATCTTGCCATGACTTTTGGAATTTTGATTTCCTCCTCATTTTGCCTATTTAAAAAAAAAAAAAGAAAACTAAAGTATTTTTCTCTTGGTAACATTTTTGCCTGAGTTTTCAAAGCAAGATTTTTATATTTGTTTTATTTTACTTTAACACACACATAAAGTCTGCCCAGGCTTATGAGTACATGAGTATATTCACATTGTCTTGAGCTTTTGATGGTCTGTTGACTCCTCGTATGCCCCCATGTCAGTTGTTTATTTTCAAATATTTACATTTGTTATAGTTCATTTTCCAAATTGGAATAGTTATACAACAGGACCAGTTAGGTTTTTCTCAGTAAGGAACAACTCTGAGTTCCAACAACTGAGTAAGAAAAAACACAGTGGCTGAAAAACAACAGTTATTATTTCTCATGAATCTGGAAGTTATGATGGTATGGTTGAGCTCTGCTGATCTTGGCTGGGCTCACTAATGAATCTACAGTAAGTGAGAGGGTCATCTGGGGGCTCAGTGATCTAGGATGGCCTCTACTGGGAAGATCCATCTTTCTTCCACACATTTCTCACAATCTTCCAGTAGTGCAGCCAGGGAACACTATCATGATGGTGGCAGAGATGCAAGAGACAAGAAGCAACAATCTTTCTTAAGCCTCTACTTGCATCATGTCTCATGACAAAACGGGCTGGATCTCTTAGGTGAGAGGAATTGCAGTTTTACAGCAAAGGGCATGGTGCATAAAGAGGTGAAGAATTGGACCATCAAGGCACTTGAGCTTCCACAGGAATAGAATGCCTTGACTTCTCTTCTCTTACAACAGCATACTTACTGTGTTAGATTGTGATCATAAAGTGGTTGGGTGATGTAATAACATTTCCTTCCTATGGCCATCTAGAAAATCATTACAATGCTCAAAGTTATACTTTTGCCACTATAAGCATATTTAATAGAGAAAAATGACAATTGATAGATATCTAAACTATCATCATAAATGGAGGGAAATTAGGATGGGAGTACATAATGTCCAGGTGCTCTCCATTTCACAGAGCTTGATTTCTAAAATCTTTGAAAGGAATGTATAGGAAAGTCAAACAATTTCTAATCATAGAGAGTTATCTTGACAATTGCCCCAGTACTTTGCTTAGGTACCATGTTATAAAGCTTGGCTTATTTATTTCCTTTATCCCTCCATCATTGTTTTTTGTCTTGCCTTAAATACATGATATTGGCTAAATCACCAAATTTAAAAAAATAGTGAATTTCATGTTTTCATCTGGGCTTTAAAACAATGAATGACAGCTGTAGCTGATCATCCTTCTTACATAAACCATGGTCAACCCCAATTAATTTCATTCCTAATTATGGAAGTCTAGACTTAACTTGCAGTTGATACATAATTAAATTTCTTTGAAGGGAGTTTTCAAACATGACTAAAGTTTATTTAAGTACATGGGCAAAGTATGTGATATAAATCTATAGCTAAGAATATACTCCTACTTGATAATAAAATTTTACTCTTTAGTAGTGATTTTCCCACCTTAAACAAAATATTTTCTCTTCCACAGGTCTTTCTAGAAGCCTCATCAATTTAATTAATGGAGAAAGTCTGATGACCTCTATAATGTCTTTGATTTTATTCACTGGTATTGAGGATATTAATGTCAGCCTGCAAAAAAAGGTGAACCATTCTTTAGGTAAGGACTTATTCTTTTTCTAAATTTCTTAAAACCAGAATCCTATATTTTCTAAAAACTGAAATGGATTTTATAATATTTTATCATAAGTTATGCTTATGATATTATGTCACTCAGAGAGCTTTCACCATAGAACTTCCTGCAGATAGGGCCTTCTTGAAGATGATGAAGGTGAGCAACAAAGAGATGTCTATATTCAGAAGCTTCTTAAAAACTCAAGGACCACTGTCTCAGAAAACTGAAAAATACAAAGAGCTATAGTCATGCATGCTGATTGGACAGATCCATGCCCAGCCTCCAGCCTGGTCCAGTATTCTACTAGGCTCCATTTAAGATAGTAAAGATTGCCCACATAATTTCAGGGAACCTTATCAGAGTTGGTATCTATGATCTAATCAAGAGAACTTTCTTGATATTCATTGGCAAGCAAAAAAAAAAAAGGGAGGGGTGGGTACTGATATGGAAATTCATTCATTCATTTATACAACAATTATTTATTGATATGTACTATGTGATAGTTCCTATTCTAGGCCTCATGCTTCAACCATGAACATAATAGTCCTTGCTTTCACAGAGCTTGCTTCATAATTTTGATAAAATTAATGGAACAGAATTTTGTGTTTAAGTTTCGGAGGAGTAAAAACTATAAATAATCATTCTATGTAAATAATAACAGTAACAACTACAATAATAAAAACTCTGCTGAAGGATGAAGAGAACTGTGAACTTATTTCCTCAGCCACGAGAGATTTCTCTGAATTTTTAATAGATTTGAAAGAAAAATTTCCTTTAAGAAAAAAAGATGCTTAATAAGATTTACTGATATTTCATTTATATCAATTGACATAATAGTGAATCAATAATTTTCATAATAATTATTTTTAAAACTCATGTAATTATTTAAATAATGTTGCTCCATCTTTGAAGTTAGCACATATTTCATAAAGGGGAAACCTAAGAAGAGTTACTGCACTCAGAGGTTTGTCCTTTCCAACTTGCATGTTAAGAGTTTAAAAACACTGTAAGAAATAATGGATTTGTTTTTTCTTGGCCTAATAATTCCATTCAGTAAACATTTTACTGATTAGAAATTACTTTTTTTCCTTAAAAAGAAAGCAGCTTTCAAATGGGTCTTCTAACTCCAGTTCCCTACCTCCTTCTGAAATCAGAGTCTACCTCTGCTCTGTTTCAGTTGCGGAAGGTGCTAGACTCCCCAGATTACCATTATGGCTTAACTCCATGCCTAGAGCAGGTGTGACCTAGAGAAACCAATCAGTTAGTTTGGCAAGCCAAAACAATGCAGGAGATAGATTCACTCCGCTGGGACCCAGAGGCATTCCTTTTTCTGTATTTCCTATATGTACCTTGATAGATATAAAATATAAGTTCCAAGAGTTTGGGGACTTTCTACTTCTTACTCAACTGCATCTCCAAAATTTATTGCATTGTATGGCACTGAATACATGTGTATTTCTTAATGGGCACTGAAAAAAGCTCTTAAACCAAACTGACTAAATTTTGCAAACTTCGATATGGCTTTCAGCATTTGAATAGAAACTGTTTCAATTTAGGAATAAGAAAATACCATACATACAAATGGCGATGAGCTATTTTTAAAGATAAGGACAAAAAGAAAAGTTGACCCAGAGTATCACTTAAAATTAAGATCAAGTAAGTTCTATTAACTATTTTCTGTTTACTCCCCTTTCTTGCAGCCTTGGACATCCTGCTTGAAATTTGGTCTTATTTTCTAGCCAGTTTCTTGTTTGGAATTCTAAGTTCAAAACTGATTCAACTGTGGATGTCTACTGTTTTTGGAGATGATGTCAATCACATAAGCCTCAGCTTTTCAATTCTGTACCTCATCTTTTTAATTTGTAAGTCTGGGGCTTATGCCTAAAACTAAGTGACAGAAAAATGCAAAACAGAGATTTGGGAAAATGCATACCAGGCAAAGTTTGTAAACAAAAAAAACCCAAAAAAACAAAAAATTCAACTTGTCTAGGAGGAATATTTTTGTTAAAATAACCTATCAAAGAGATGAAAATATTATATCTATACAACAGAAATCAATGTCTCAAGATATATAAAGCAAATACCATTACAAAAGCCAAAAGAATTTGACAAAATCATAATTACAATGAGACACTTTAGCATGCCTTTCCCAGATAATTTCATAACCAGTCGGACAAAAAAATGATGGCTATAAACAGATATAAATAAAAACTTAAATGCTTGGTTAACAGGATATGAAGTTTTATCTCCTCAAAGAGAATGCATATCTTTACACATACTTGTAGACCATTTACAGAAATGAACTAGACTTGAAGAGCATTTTAATAAAATCTGAAACACTGTTCAATCACAATGCATTCACAACTTACTAATTACAAAAGGAGGGCCTTTAAAAATAATCATTCTAATAGCCTGAAATTAAATATACTTTTCTTGATAAATTTTAGCTCAAAAAGGAAATCAAAATAGAAGTTACAGATTAAGACTAAATATTAGAAAATCTATCAATGTTAATCCATTTGCCACCACTTCTTCCTCACAGAAGAATGGCAGATATTAATAATTCACCATAGTATTGTTCTCTAGTGCAGCCTCAGAATGTCATTCAAGACAGCCCTGTAAATGACTTGGAGTTAGCATGTGCAGTAAATGATACCTAGTTACCTAGTTACAAACTTATACTATGCCCTTCCATTTACATTTAAGAGCAAGCCAGTGTTGCCTTTTCTCATATCCATGATTTCTCTGGAAGCTTTAGCTAAGGCAATAAGAAAAAGAAAGAAGGAAAGAAGAAAGAAAGAAAGAAGAAAGAAAGAAAGAAAGAAAGAAAGAAAGAAAGAAAGAAAGAAAGAAAGAAAGAAGAAAGAAAGAAGAAAGAAAGAAAGAAAGAAGAAAGAAAGAAAGAAAGAAAGAAAGAAAGAAAGAAAGAAAGAAAGAAAGAGAGGGAAAGAAAGAAAGAAGAAAGAAAGAAAGAAAGAAAGAGAAAGAAAGAAAGGAAGGAAGGAAGAAAGAAAGAAAGAAAGAAAGAAAGAAAGAAAGAAAGAAAGAAAGAAAGAAAGAAGGAAAGAAAGAAAGAAAGAAAGAAAGAAAGAAAGAAAGAAAGAAAGAAAGAAAGAAAGAAAGAAAGAAAGAAAGGAGGAAAGGAAGAAAGGAAGAAAAAGGAAGGAAGGAAAAGAAAAGAGAGGAAGGAAGACATTTATCCGTAATTTTGAAAGAGAAAATTATATTAGTGACAACATTTTAGATTACATAGAAAACCCAAAAACATTAACTAATAAACTAAGCCCAAAAGGCTTTTTAATAGCTTGATATAAGATAAATACAGAAAAAAATAGTGTTCTTATAAGCCAGCAGTAGCTAGTTAGAAAATATAATGAAAATTTGATTCTCTTTACATTGACAAAACATTACAAAATATAAAGGAATAAACTGAGCAAGAAGTTTGAGCCTAATATGGAGAACTATTTAAGTTTACTAAGAAATATAAAATTTGAATAAATCAAGACAGAAAAATTCTTTTTAGAAATGCTAGAGTAACAAGATTCATTATTTTCATGTCTGAGGAAGGAAAGGCCGAATGTAGGATCTTGAGGCTTCCTTACTAATCAGTAATGTCAGTTAAAGTCAAGTGAGTTTACAGAATCAAGTTAATTAATTAATAGACAGCAAGAGAACGGTCAGTACAGATACATTCATTGCATACTACTTTAATTGTGGATACCTAAATTTCTACAAAAAATATATCCTAGCAAATATAATTCCCTCTAACATTATTTAGTAAGTGAACATAGCCTCAAGATTAAGGGTTATACCCCCCAAAATAATTTTAAACTTTTAGAGTTAAAATGTCTCTATAAACATTTTATTTTATTTTTTTTTAAAGATTTTATTTATTTATTTGACAGAGGGAGACACAGCGAGAGCAGGAACACAAGCAGGGGGAGTGGGAGAGGGAGAAGCAGGCTTCCCGCTGAGCAGGGAGCCCAATGTGGGGCTCGATCCCAGGACCCTGGGATCAGGACCTGAGCCGAAGGCAGACACTTAACTGACTGAGCCACCCAGGTGCCCCTCTATAAACATTTTAGAAAGAAAACTTCTAAAGCAGAATTTCATGAGAATGAAGTACGGAGTAAATATAAATCTAATGTAAAAAGACTTTCACTCTGACCTGACTTAATGTTTATATTATTAGTATCTTCAAGATATTCACCACAAATATTTTCCAAGTTTCACTACTACCTAATAAATGACTATGACTAGTCCAGGACTTGGATCTCCTCAAAGTGCCTATGTCCACACTTCCCTCTTATTTTATAATTCAAAACTAACTAAACAAAGTGTTAGTTTCTGGCTTAGGTACCATTTCTGGCCAGGATTAAAATGAAGAATATAAAACTTGTAATTTTCCATCTCTGGAAGGGAAGACTCAGTAGTGTGATAAGGATACTAACTTTACAAAATTAAAATGTATCACAATCTGAATCAAACAATGATAGCAATTGGGGAGGTTGAAATTTTACCGACCAATTTAAAATATCATCTGGAAATACTGATGGTGAAAACAGACAAGATAACTTTAAGAAAAATCAAGAACTTTCTCTCCTAGGTAGGTATTAAACATTTAACAAGCCACCAGTAATTAAAACACAACTGTTGCAATAAAGTAATGTAAAGTAAGCCAAAAAATGGAGGGGCAAAGAACTGATCCAAATATGCCTGACAATTGATAAATACAGCAATATGATAAAAAGTGGCATGTCCACAATATTCTTTTACTATTAAAACAAAATTTTTTAATTTTTATTTATTAACTAGAACAATGTCTGCTAAACAATAAGTGAAAAAAACAGTTTATTACAGAACACTTTTACTGTATAATCTCATTATAGCTTTTTTTAAATGTGTGACTTTGTGTGCATGCATGTCGTGTATATATGCCATGATGAGTATTCACTGGGTACTCCACTCCTCTTAAAGATCTTGATCCAATTATCTTAAATTCCCAATTCTATAGCCTACAAGCACCCAAGGATTTCATGATTCCTGAAAATTTCTGGAGTTTAGTTTCTCATGATCTCTGCTACTTCCTTTTTTATTTTTTTAAGATTTTATTTATTTATTTGACAGAGAGAGACACAGTGAGAGAGGGAACACAAGCAGGGGGAGTGGGAGAGGGAGAAGCAGGCTTCCCGCCAAGCAGGGAGCCTGATGCAGGACTCGATCCCAGGACCCTGAGATCACGACCCACGCCGAAGGCAGACGCTTAACGACTGAGCCACCCAAGCACCCCATGCTACTTCCGTTTAAATATAGAGAAGTTTTGGTTCTTAGTAAATTTTACTGAAGATGGGGACAAGGGAGCTCACAAGGGAAGTTACATTATGTAATTCATGGCTCTATGAGATCTGATATCTCCCTTTAATTCCTCCCTTTTCCATGTTTCCTGCTTAATTCTTATCACTTGTGTCCAGTATAGAAATTCAGCAGGTATCCTTTAATGCTTAATGCTGCCCTTTGGGTCTCATTCTCTATTCTCAACTAACTTATCAACTTATTTCTTCTAAACAAATACAGTCCTCTCCATTTTAGAAATTCTAATACAAATTTTCTTTAAAATTATAATTATCTTCCTTGACTTACAATGGGGTTATATCTCAATACACTATTGTAAGTTGAAAATATAAGTCAAAAATGCATTTAGTACACCTCACCTACCAAACATCATAGCTTAGCCCAGTCTACTTTAAACATGCTTAGAATACTTACATTGGCCGACAGTTAGGAAAATCATCTCACACAAAGCCTATTTTATGATAAAGAGTTGGATATCTCATGTAATTTATTGAGTGCTGTACTGAATGTGAGAAACAGAGTGGTTGTGTTGGTGCAGAATGGTTGTAAGCATATCGGTTGTTCACCCTCATGATGGCCTGGCTGACCAGGAGGTGCAGCTCACTGTCACTGCCCAGCATCACGAGAGGCTCTTACCACAAATTGCTAGCCTTAGAAAAGATCAATACTCAAAATTCTAAGTACTGTTTCTACTGGATGCACACTGCTTTTGCCCGACTGTAACGCTGAAAAATTGCAAGTCGAAACTTCTTAAGTTAGGGATGGTCTGTACTTGAAGTCTTGGTAGTTGAATTATGGGTCCTCTTTTAAAAAAAAAAAAAAAATATATATATATATATAATCTTTATACTGTACCGTATTATTTGAATTTTTTACAGTGGTAATATACTACTTTCATAAGCAAGGGGGGATATAACTCTAATACTACTACTTTTAAGAATATTCCAGTTTTTTATGCTTTTCAGTCCCGCACAGTGAATGTACCAAAACAATATTAAGCTGGAGAAGTATAGCCATATGAGGTTTCTGCTGGATCGACTCCCTTAGTCCTGCCACAAAATCAAACCATTTCTCTCTCCCATTGTCTCCTAAGAAGAAAGCATATGAAGTGGGCTAGTCCACAAAGAACTCACTGGCTCACTTCCATTTCATTCCTCCATAGCCCCTCTGAAAAAATTAGACCTATAGAGGGTGCTCAAGCCGCAGTGGGGCACATGAAGAGTTTTGTGAGCTTCATATTGTTGGCAATGATCTGAAGCCAAAGCAGTGCAAGGGTGTTCAGTATAGATTTGACAACACAGGTGGATGTGAATCTGAGGAGAAAGAAGGACAAGGTGGTGGTAATAATCTGCAAAATAATCCAGTTGAAACCAAGTAGGGTATCCTCTCTCTAAAGTTACTATACTATCGAGATATCTGATATTTTCATCTCGGGCAAAATTTGTGCCACTGTTGATGTTAAATTAATACTTTATATTTAATTCTTTTAAAAAATAGGTGAGCTAGTTGGAATGTCTGGAATATTTACCCTGGCCATTATGGGACTTTTTTTAAATTCTACAAGTTTTAAACCAGGAGTTGAAGCACTTCTTCTCGAGTGAGTAGCTAGCATATTTTTCACTCTGTTTCATGTATTAGAAGCTATAATATTGTAATAGCAACTGTATCTACATATACATTGGTCAAAGTAAGATACTGCCTCCAAAACTACCCGACTAAAAACCTTTACTAAAAACTCTATTCGCTTGTGTCTTCTAATCCTCTAATTTTAGGCAAAATTTATAACCTTACCTTGAGTTCATGTTGACTTTATTTTCCTACAAATTCTCTCAAGTCTCTGACCATCTACTCAGTAATTTCCAGTATAATTCACTAGACAGGGCCAGGATTAAGGTAAAGCGTGTGAGGCACTCATCTCAGTCACAAAATTTAAGAATGTGCCAAAATACTCAGTCATGAAGATAAATAATATTTTAGGGTAATATTTTTTTTAAAAAAATAGAAATTAATCCAAAAAATCCATGTTTGTGAAAACACAAAAATTTTAAATAAAGATGGAATCAATATTACTGATTAGTTCCTTTTGCCTCAGGCTCCAATATGGCTCAGCATGGCACTGCTACTAGAATAGAAACCCAGTATTTTAAGAATAATGAGGAGATGGCATGCAAAGCAAATTAAAAGATTAAGCTAGAGCATTTGAAAAGGATTGGCAGTGTTATAAAAGAAAATATGGCCAAATGTACAAATGTATAAACTGTGCCCTGCTCAAGGGCATCCAATCCAGCTTAGGGGTGATTGGAATTTGTGCGAACGTAAAAGAAGGGTGCTGCTTTCTGTGATGCTCCAACACGTTGGCTGAGAACTTGACCTAAAGCACAAAAGGGCAACATGTGTTAACAGAAGCCCTGAACATAATCAATGATTATGGAGTTTTGGAGAACATTAGAGAAGATAGAATAAATTCAGAAGTCAAAAGTTCGAAAGCATAGACTCTTACAGAATTTTGGAGCTAAACTTACTAACGTTTCATGTCAATTATAATGGAAGCCCATTGTACCAGCAGCTAGGCAGAATTACTCGCCACAATTAATTGTTGGAGGAAGAATTAAAAACGTTATGTGTTTCAACTCTGTCTTTGGGAAGTGATTCTAAAGACTCCTTTCACCTTTCCGTTCTAACTGAAACCTGGGTCTCCCCTGAAGACATTACTTCCCTTGAATTCCTTAAAAGTTGTGTTTTTCTCACCCACATCCTTGGTACTACTGCACCTAGAGTTGAGGTAGGTGATCTGTCTGTACCTCAAAGTCAGAAGCTCTTTTTCAGTGTGCCTGACTTATCGCAAACATGCAAGTGCGCACCCCCATGCACAAGGACATGCACACACCCATTAGCTGGGTTGGAGCTTGGTTGTTCGGCTCATACTCACGTTAAAATTGATAGACTGATTCCTTAAAGAATCTGGTTTCCTCCTCATCAGATTTCTCCCATTAATTCCTACCACATATGAAAGGGCCTTGACAGCTCCTCAATATTTGTTGCTTAATTGATTTGTTTCATTTTATGCTCATTTAATGAGACTGTTATATTTGGTATTCAGCAGCATTTTTCCACAAATTTAGGAAAATTATTCAATTATGTAATTGTTAAATGAAGAGAAAGGTATGGTAGTAGTTCATATTCACCATTCACTTGACTGAATTATCCTACTCAATTAATATTCACAAGGGATTTCATTAATTGTAGGGGTAGGTGGGTATAATGCTTTGAGGGTTTTGTTTTGTTTGTTTTTTGGTGACTATACACATGGTGCAACAATTGGATTTGCTTTTGATAGTGAAGTCAAAAGAAGGATAAAAAACACAAAAAATTACACAATTGTCATAAAATATATCTTAGTGTGTTTCCCTCCAAGTTGGTGTTCAATGCAGCATTTAAATCCAGAAGTAACAGAATTAAAAGCATGGCCATGCATATGCAGGAAAGGGATAATAATTCACAGCCTAGAGTAATTAGCCTAAGTTTGGTCACAGAAACAGTATTTTGAAGGATTTGACTTAATATTTCCTAGGCTAGAATGTTTTACATTTAATTTTTCTCCGATAAGGCCTAGGTATTTGTGCCTCTTAAATAATGTTCAGAACTGAAAATTCACATTACTAGAACAGAGAAAGAGTTGTTTTTAGTATTGGATCTGTAGTATTTTTGGCAAATCTGTTTTTCTGGAGAAGGGACAATCATTCTTTTTAAGGGTTTCAGGGACTGTTTCTGGGCACTCAGCATATGGCTAAACCAAGCTACCTTCATCTCATAAAGTGGTATTAATGTGCCCTTTTAATCTTTTCAATTTATTTTGTTATAAATATAATATTGTGACATTCAACACAGGAAATATAAAGGAAGATAACAAGAAGTAAATTTATTTTTTATTTTTATTTTTTTTTAAATATTTTATTTGAGAGAGAGAACAGTGGGGAGGGGCAGAAGGAGAGGAAGAAGCAGACTGCCCGCTGAGCAGGGGGCCCAATTCAGGGCTTGATCCCAGGACCCTAGGATCATGACCTGAGCCAAAGGCAAACGCTTGGCCGAATGAGCCACCCAGGCACCCCAAGAAGTAAATTTTAAATAGCCTCCTATGGTCCCAATAGCGAAACATGACCAATATTGGTAATTGAGTGTCTTTTTCGAAATTCCTTTGCCTGTAGCAGATGAGAACATGCACTTTGGAGTGATGTAGAGTTTTCCTGGGCTCTAGGGCACTTGAATGTACTTATGTTCACAAATCCTAAATGGAGAATCTACAAAGGACATTCGTTTGAATAAAGGATTAATTCACATCTTCTAAGTGCTAGCTAGATTTTAGGATAAGCCTCAATTCTATCACTATGTAAAGCAGACTAGCAGTTCAGTGTTCTTTTTGAAGATAAATAATTTTAGCTCTTCCTAATGATATGAGGAGTTCACACCAGGATTTTCAAGCTACATGAACCGTGATGCCTGAATGCACCAAAACATGTTTTCAGAATCAATCCCAAAAGGAAGACACTAATTTAAATGTGGTTGCTTTAGAATTATTTGTTTACTTGCCTTACTGCTCCTTTCTTCCCAGTTAAATTATAAGCCCTTTGAGTGTAAGTAAATGCCTTATTCAACTTTATTTTCTTGATTAGGCCTAGCACAATGCCTCACATGAATAAGCCTTGTGATAAATGTGTTAGATTAGTCAACTGTAATTAACTACATTCAATTTTTTTTCTGAAAATGCAGATTTTGGAATTGTCTATCATTTGTTGCTTTTCTTATGGTGTTTACCTTCATTGGACTTCTAATTCCTGCACATACATATTTATATATATCATTTTCTGACATATATTATTCATTAAATATCTATTTCACACTTATTGTTTTAAGGTAAGAATGTCATTTGAATTTTTCTATTTATAGGACATTGAGTAAGCCCAAAGATATTTTTTAAATAGAAATGTTTCATTCCTTAGAATGAAAATGAACAATTCCTTGCCAAGGAATTATTAGCAAATTCTGTTCTAGTGGGATTTTTTTTCCAATTTCTAACTGCATGTCAAAGCAATCTAAGCACTCTATAAAAATTTTGAAAATTAGAAGGAAAAAATCTTTCATAATTTTACTACCCAGAGGAAACTGCTATTAACATTTGGTATATTTTGTCCAGTGTTATTTTTTCTTATGAGGTTTCATAAAGTTCAGCACCAATCATAAATAAAAGTTTTATGTTGCTTTTGTTTGCCTAATATTGTATAACAAATAATTTCCTTCTGATTAAATTGTAGTTACAAATAGCTTTTTAAAAATCATTAGGAAGTCCTCTTTGTAAATGTCCTTTTTACTTAAATAATTTTTGTAGTCCCCTTTTCAGTGGTAAGAGGCAGGAAAGAGTCTGCCCATGTAAGTGAAAAGGACGTGACACAGAGCAGGAAAAACCCCCGTGGTTACTCTCTCCAGATTCTATCCCTCATGTTGCTAGGATTCTACTTCCATCTAGGAAAACTAATTAGGCGTTGACATCAGTTGGCTAGTGCCAATTAAATGGAAATTAGTCCCTAATGATCAGATACAATTAGTGTAAAATGTAGGAGATGTGTGATTAAAAGAAAAACTAGAAATGAATCCACCAATATTGGATAAGTTCAGCAAGATTAAAATCTACAAAGAACAAGAAAGGGAAGATATTCTTCCCCCCTCAGTTCTTATTCATTAGATTTGGTTTTATTTCCTTTTGGGATCCAGAATAGAATATATCTACAAAACATCTCTAACTATTTCTTTTCTACCTCAAGAGATGTGGAATTACCCTACTACAAACTTCATAGAAAGAAAAAGAATAATGCCATCCTCTTGTCATCTTTCTCTCTCTATGAAATGCCCTTCTGCCTTTTTTTGGTGCCATGCTAACGGTGTGTGAAACATGACTCATCTGTCTGAGTCGGCCATTCCACAGGGAATAGATTGGAATAGAGTAGAATGAAATGGAAAAAAATGTCTATGGCAAGAATAACTTTTTAAAATCTCTTTTGTCTTTTAGACTTCTGGTCTTTCTAATAATGAGCCCTCTTTTGTCTCGACTTGGTCATGGGTTCAGCTGGCGCTGGGCATTCATAATGGTCTGGAGTGAAATGAAAGGAACGCCTAATATAAACATGGCTCTTCTGCTTGCCTACTCTGACCTTTCTCTTGGCTCTGAGAGGGAAAAATCTCAAGTAAAGATAAATGAATTTTTTTATTTGAACATTTTATGAATACTGTTGCTGTGTACTAAAATACGTTTTTGTAGTGAGGTAGCTCAACCCCACTTGGACTGCGGGAGTGATTTAGCTATAATGGCAAGATTGGGGAGAGGAAAACAACCGGCAACTTTCCTCTTCCTGGGGAACATTCTGACTTAGGAATTCCTAAACCCTTAACATTACAATCATGTTTTTCATTACAAGAGCAATAAAACTACATAAAATAAGAGAGGTGAACACACCTGTTCCTACTCTTACCTTTCCAACACCTGATTGAATGATTTGGGTTTACCTTTTCTGGCTTCTTCTTTTTTTTTTTTTTTTTTATTTGAGAGAGAGAGAGAGAGAGCATGAGCAAGAGAGCACAAGCAAGAGAGCACAAGCAGAGGGAGCACAAGCAGGGGGAGTGGCAGAGGGAAAGTGAGAAGCAGACTCCCCGCTGAGCAGGAAGCCTGATGTGGGGCTGGATCCCAGGACCCTGGGATTATGACCTGAGCCGAAGGCAGATGCTTAACCACCAAGCCACCCAGGCACCCTTTTTCATTACACTCTTAAAATAAGTTTATTATGAAAGTTAAAGGAGTTAAAACTTATAATTTAAAATAGTACCTGATCAGTTAAGCCTCCAAATCTTGGTTTCAGCTCAGGTCATGATCATGAGATGGATTCCCAAACTGGGCTCCACATTGGGTGTGGAGTCTGCTTGAGATTCTCTCTCTCCCTCTCCCTCTGCCCCTCCCTCCCATCAAATAAATAAATAAATAAATATTTTTTAAAATAGTACCTGATACAGAGTAAGTACTCAATAAGTGTTTTTATTTTTATTTTTACTTATTCCTAATAGCCACTCGAGAAAAATAGAAACCTGCTTATGATTGACTTTATTGTTTTCTGTAACTTTGTGAGGCCACATTTAGTAATGCTAGGAACCAAAACATTTTAATGGTCAACTGAGGTTACCTCTACACTGATACTAGCCCCAAATTCTGCCAAACAGAACATAAAGGGCATGACTCTCCCTCTACCTCATTTCCAGGTAAGACCATTACAAGGAGCTCTGTAAGAAATTTCCTGTGCAGATATCACGATGCATCTAACACTTCCATTGTGGGTTTTTTAACACATAAATTCCAAATGTAAAGAGAAGAGCAGCAAGGGAATTACTGCATGTCTAATTAGATAATAGCCCAAACATTACAAAATTAAACATTCAAACACTGCTTTTAAAACCAAATTATCTAATATTACATGATCTCCCCTTTCTTTTTAACTATCTCCACATGCCTGAATAATCAAGGTCAGTTTGGCACCACACATCCTGGCCAGTGTAAAGGTAGACATTGCACATGGATCTGGATTCTAAAATTTCTAGTTGGCTGCGTGGCCATCAGTAAGTTAATTAGTACCTACCCCATCGCACCTGTCAGTTTCTTCATTCCAAAAGGGACTAAATAATACCAGAGTTGTGCTAGCAAATGTTTAACAAGTAACTTTCTTAGGAGTCAGAGGGAGCCCTAATTGGTAGTATTTGTCAATTTCCGTGGTGTAATCACTCAACAGAACAACAATAAACTCCATAACTTCCTGAAAATGTAATGATCAGCTCTCATGAGCTGGTAAAAGTCAGCTCTAGCACAACACTATCTCAAAGCGTTATTTGAGAAATAGAAAATATACATAAAATACTTAACACATTGTTTAGCATATTGTAAATGTACAATAAATATGAGCCATGATGATGATGATAATGATGCCATGCAGAGCAATGATTTGAGATAAAACCCTAGTAAAAAAATCATGTAGTGAGATGCCCTCACTAGTAGTAACTAGTTGAGAAGAAGGTCGCACTTCTTCCTTAATTTAATCTGGCTGAACCCTCCAGCTAACTTTTTAATGCTCATGAAGCAGCACGAGAGGAAAAGGTTAAAAATATCTTAATCCTGAGGGGAGGAGCAAGATGGCAGAGGAGTAGGAGACCTAAATTTTGTCTGGTCCCAGGAATTCAGCTAGATAGGGATCAAACCATTCTGAACACCTATGAACTCAACAGGAGATCGAAGAAAAGAATAGCAGCAACTCTCTGAACAGAAAAGCAACCGCTTTCTAGAAGGTAGGACGTACGGAGAAGTGAATCCAAGAGGATATTCAGGAGGATAGACGGCGGGGTAGGGGGCCTCCGTCTGCCGCTTCTGGCAAGTGATAGAGCCACAGAGCACAAAATCGGAACTTTTAGAAGTCGGCTCCGCTGAGGGACATCGCTCCAGTGGCTAAGCGGGGGCTGGAATCCTCGTGGGACAGTGTGGTCTCAGGACCCTCGGGGTCAAAGGAAGACCGGGGGTGCCTGAGTGCGGCAGAGCTCCCAGGTACCCGAGCGGGGAAGCCGGCTGCACAGACGGAGCCAAGGAGCGGGCTCTCAGCTCGGGGTTGCCCTAAACCGTGATCCACAGCACAGTCGGGCCACTGCTCCTCCAGCAGGGACCCAACAAGCGGCAGATCCGGGGAGACTCACCTTCCTCCCCCGGGAGGAGCCGCGCGGGAGCGCACCGCAGGGATCTGCTGGGTTTGGAGACTGCACGCGGGGTCGGGTGCCAGAGATAGAAACGCTCAGTCACAGGCCGGTGAGCAGAGTGCAGCCGGAGACCGGGGAGATGGGAGTGACTGACTGCTTTTCTCTGGGGGCGCACTGAGGAGCGGGGCCCCGAGTTCTCGGCTCCTCCGGGGTGGAGATTGGGAGGCTGCCATTTTCGCTCTAGTCCTCCAAAGCTGTATGAAAGCTTGCAGGGAACAAAAGCTCCCAAGAGCAAACCGGAGCAGATTACTTAGCCGGACCGGGCAAGGGCGTGGCAATTCCGCCTCCAGCAAAGACATTTGGGAGACATGGCAACGGGCCCCTCCCCCAGAAGATCAGCAAGAACAGCCGGCCAAGACCAAGTTTACCCATCAATGAGAACGGCAGAACATCAGCACTAGGGGAATACGGCACATAGAATTCATGGCTTTTTCTCCCATGATTCTTTAGTCTTTCAAAGTTAATTTTTTAATTTTCTTTTCTTTTCTTTTGAATTTTTCTCTTTCCCTTTTTCAGCCAACATCTTATCAATCCCTTTTTAAAAAATCTTTTTTATTTTTCATTTTTAGAGTCATATTCTATCCCTTCATAGTAGTTAATCTTATTTTTGGTATATATATAAGTTGTTCTCTCTTTAAAATTTTGGGATACAGTTTCTTCTAATAGACCAAAATATACCCTAAATCTCTAGTGTATGGCTTTGTTCTAGTCTCCTGCCTGATCACATTCTCTCCCTTTTTTTTTTATTTAATCTCTCTTCTTTCTTTTTTCAACCAACTTCTTATCTTATCAATTCCTTTCATAAAATCTTTTATAATTTTCATCTCTACAGTCATATTCCATCCCTTCATTGTATTTACCCTTATTTTTGTACATATATAAGTTTTTCTTTCTTTAAAATTTTGGGAGGCTTTCTTCTAACAGACCAAAATACGCCCAAAATCTAGTGTGTGGCACTGATCTATGCACCAGCCTGATCATATCTGACCATATTCTTTTTTTTTATCTTTTTCTTTCTTTTTCTTTTTTCTTTCTTTCCCTTTCTTTTACCCCGGTTTCAGGTCTCTTCTGATTTGTTTAGTGTATGTTTTTCTGGGGTTGTTGTTACCCTGTTAGCATTTTGTTCTCTCATTAATCTATTCTCCTCTGGACAAAATGACAAGACGGAAAAAATCACCTCAAACAAAAGAACAAGAGGCAGTACCGACTGCCAGGAACCTAATCAAACCAGACATTAGTAAGATGTCGGAACTAGAGTTCAGAATGACAATTATAAAGGTACTAGCTCAGCTTGAAAAAAGCACAGAAGATATTAGAGAAACCCTTTCTGGAGAAATAAAAGAACTAAAATCTAACCAAGTCGAAATCAAAAAGGCTATTAATGAGGTGCAATAAAAAATGGAGGCTCTAACTGCTAGGATAAATGAGGCAAGAGAGAGAATTAATGATATAGAAGACCAAATGATGGAAAATAAAGAAGCTGAGAAAAAGAGAGATAAACAACTACTGGATCATGAGGGCAGAAATTCAAGAGATAAGTGATACCATAAGATGAAACAATATTAGAATAATTGGGATCCCAGAAAAAGAAGAAAGAGAGAGAGGAGCAGAAGGTTTATTGGAGCAAATTATAGCAGAGAACTTCCCTAATTTGGGGAAGGAAACAGGCATCAAAATCCAGGAGGCACAAAGAACCCCCCTCAAAATCAATAAAAAAAGTCAACACCCTGACATCTAATAGTAAAACTTACGAGTCTCAGAGACAAAGAGAAAATCCTGAAAGCAGTTTGGGAAAAGAGATCTGTAATCTACAATGGTAGAAATGTTAGATTGGCAACAGACCTATCTGGCAGAGATCTGGGAGGCCAGAAAGGACTGGCATGATATATTCAGAGCACTAAATGAGAAAAATATGCAGCCAAGAATACTATATCCAGCTAGGCTGTCATTAAAAATAGAAGGAGAGATAAAAAGCTTCCAGGACAAACAAAACTAAAGGAATTTGCAAACATGAAAGCAGCCCTACAAGAAATATTGAAAAGGGTCCTCTAAGCAAAGAAAGAGCCTAAAAGTAACATAGACCAGAAAGGAACACAGACAATATACAGTAACAGTCACCTTACAGGCAATACAATGGCACTAAATTCCTATCTTTCAATAGTTACCCTGAATGTAAATGGGCTAAATGCCCCAATCAAAAGACACAGGATATCAGATTGGGTAAAAAAACAAGACCCATCGATATGCTGTCTGGCAAGAGACTCATTTTAGACCCAAAGACACCTCCAGACTGAAAGTGAGGGAACTAGAAAACCATTTCCATGCAAATGGACACCAAAAGAAGGCTGGGGTGGCAATCCTTATATCAGACAAATTAGATTTTAAACCAAAGACTATATAAGAGATGAGGAAGGACACTGTATCCTACTTAAAGGGCCTATCCAACAAGAAGATCTAACAATTGTAAATATCTATGCCCCTAACATGGGAGCAGCCAATTATATAAGGCAATTAATAACAAAAGCAAAGAAACACATTGATAATAATACAATAATAGTAGGGGAATTGAACACCCGCCTCACTGAAATGGACAGATCATCTAAGCAAAAGATCAACAAGGAAATAAAGACTTTAAAAGACATACTGGACCAAATGGACTTCACAGATATATTCAGAACATTCCATCCCAAAGCAACAGAATACACATTCTTCTCTAGCGCCCATGGAACATTCTCCAGAATAGATCACATCCTAGGTCACGAATCAGGTCTCAACTGGTACCAAAAGATTGGGATCATTCCCTGCATATTTTCGGACCACAATACTTTGAAACTAGAACTCAATCACAGGAGAAAAGTCAGAAAGAACTCAAATACATGGAGGCTAAAGAGCATCCTACTAAAGAATTAATGGGTCAACCAGGAAATTAAAGAATTTAAAATTTCATGGAAACTAATGAAAATGAAAACACAACTGTTCAAAATCTTTGGGATGCAGCAAAGGCAGTCCTAAGAGGAAAGTACATAGCAATACAAGCCTTTCTCAAGAAACAAGAAAGGTCTCAAAACTCAACCTAACCCTACACCTAAAGGAGCTGGAGAAAGAACAGCAAATAAAGCCTAAACCCAGCAGGAGAAGACAAATAATAAAGATTAGAGCAGAAATCAATGAAATAGAAACCAAAAGAACAGTAGAACAGATCAACGAAACTAGGAGCTGGTTCTTTGAAAGAATTAATAATATTGATAAACCCCTGACCAGACTTATCAAAAAGAAGAGAAAAACGACCCAAATAAATAAAATCATGAATGAAAGAGGAGAGATAACAACTAACAACAAAGAAATACAAACAATTATAAGAACATATTATGAGCAACTATATGCCAGCAAATTAGATAATCTGGAAGAAATGGATGCATTCCTAGAGATGTATCAACTACCAAAACTGAACCAGGAAGAAATAGAAAACCTGAATAGACCTATAACCACTAAGGAAAATGAAGCAGTCATCAAAAATCTCCCAACGAACAAGAGCCCAGGGCCAGATGGCTACCCAGGGGAATTGTACCAAACATTTAAAGAAGAATTAATACCTATTCTTCTGAAACTGTTCCAAAAAATAGAAATGGAAGGAAAACTTCCAAACTCATTTTATGAGGCCACCATTACCTTGATCCCAAAACCAGACAAAGAACCCATCAAAAAGGAGAATTACAGACCAATATCCTTGAAGAACACGGATGCAAAAATTCTCACCAAAACACTAGCCAGTAGGATCCAGTACAGTACATTAAAAGGATTATTCACCACGACCAAGTGGGATTTATCCCTGGGCTGCAAGATTGGTTCAACATCCACAAATCAATCAATGTGATACAATACATTAATAAAAGAAAGAACAAGAACCATATGGTCCTCTCAATAGATGCAGAAAAAGCATTTGACAAAGTACAGCATCCTTTCTTGATCAAAACTCTTCAGAGTATAGGCATAGAGCGTACATACCTCAATATCATAAAAGCCATCTATGAAAAACCCACAGCGAATATCATTCTCAATGGGGAAAAACAGAGCTTTCCCCCTAAGGTCAGGAATGTGGCAGGGATGTCCACTATCACCACTGCTATTCAACATAGTATTAGAAGTCCTAGCCACAGCAATCAGACAACAAAAAGAAATAAAAGGCATCAAAATCGGCAAAGAAGATGTCAAACTCTCACTCTTTGTAGATGATATGATACTTTATGTGGAAAACCCAAAAGACTCCGCTCCAAAACTGCTAGAACTCATACAGGAATTCAGTAAAGTGGCAAGATATAAAATCAATGCACAGAAATCAGTGGCATTTCTATACACCAACAACAAGACAGCAGAAAGAGAAATTAAGGAGTCCATCCCATTTACAATTGCACCCAAAACCATGAATTACCTAGGAATAAATCTAACCAAAGAGGCAAAGGATCTACTCAGAAAACTATAAAATACTCATGAAAGAAATTGAGGAAGACACAAAGAAATGGAGAAATATTCCATGCTCATGGATTGGAAGAACAAATATTGTGAAGATGTCAATGCTACCTAGAGCAATCTACACATTTAATGCAATCCCTATCAAAATACCATCCACTTTTTTCAAATAAATGAAACAAATAATCCTAAAATTTGTATGGAACCGGAAAAGACCCCGAATAGCCAGAGGAATGTTGAAAAAGAAAAGCAAAGCTGGCGGCATCACAATTCCGGACTTCAAGCTCTATTACAAAGCTGTCATCATCAAGACAGTATGGTGCTGGCACAAAAACAGACACAGAATAGAGAGCCCAGAAATGGACCCTCAACTCTATGGTCAACTAATCTTCGACAAAGCAGGAAAGAATGTCCAGTGGAAAAAAGTCTTTTCAACAAATGGTGTTGGGAAAATTGGACAGCCACATGCAAAAGAATGAAACTGGACCATTTCCTTACACCACACACAAAAATAGACTCCAAATGGTTGAAAGACCTCAATGTGAGACAGGAGTCCATCAAAATCCTAAAGGAGAACACAGGCAGCAACCTCTTCGACCTCAGCTGCAGCAACTTCTTCCTAGAAACATCGCCAAAGGCGAGGGAAGCAAGGGCAAAAATGAACTATTGGAACTTCATCAAGATAAAAAGCTTTTGCACAGCAAAAGAAACAGTCAACAAAACCAAAAGACAACCGACAGAATGGGAGAAGATATTTGCAAATGACATACCAGATAAAGGGCTAGTATCCAAAATCTATAAAGAACTCATCAAACTCAACATCCAAAGAACAAATAATCCAATCAAGAAATGGGCAGAAGACGTGAACAAACATTTTTCCAAAGAAGACATCCAAATGGCCAACAGACACGTGAAAAAGTGCTCAACATCACTCGGGATCCGGGAAATCCAAATCAAAACCTCAATGAGATACCCCACCTCACAGCAGTCAGAATGGCTAAAATTAACAAGTCAGGAAACGACAGATGTTGGCGGGGATGCAGAGAAAGGGAACCCTCCTCCACTGTTGGTGGGAATGCAAGCTGGTGCAGCCACTCTGGAAAACAGTATGGAGGTTCCTCAAAAAGTTGAAAATAGAGCTACCATATGACCCAGCAATTGCACTACTGGGTATTTACCCCAAAGATACAAATGTAGGGATCCGAAGGGGTACGTGCACCCCAATGTTTATAGCAGCAATGTCCACAATAGCCAAACTATGGAAAGAGCCAAGATGTCCATCAACAGATGAATGGATAAAGAAGAAGTGGTATATATATACAATGGAATATTATGCAGCCATCAAAAGGAATGAGATCTTGCCATTTGCAATGACATGGATGGAACTGGAGGGTATTACGCTGAGCGATATAAGTCAATCAGAGAAAGACATGTATCATATGATCTCACTGATATGAGGAATTCTTAATCTCAGGAAACACCTGAGGGTTGCTGGAGTGGTGGGGGGTGGGAAGGATGGGGTAGCTAGGTGATAGACACTGGGGAGGATATGTGCTATGGTGTGCGCTATGAATTGTGTAAGACTGTTGAATCACAGACCTGTACCTCTGAAACAAATAATACATTATATGTTAAAAAAAAAAAAAAGAAGATAGTAGGAAGGGAAAAATGAAGGGGAATCGGAGGGGGAGATGAACCATGAGAGACTCTGGACTCTGAGAAACAGACTGAGGGTTCTAGAGGGGAAAGGGGTGGGAGGATGGGTTATCCTGGTGATGGGTATTAAAGAGAGCATGTATTAAATGGAGCACTGGATGTTATACACAAACAATGAATCATGGAACACTACATCAAAAACTAATGATGTAATGCATGGTGATTAACATAACATAATAAAATAAAATAAATAATAAATAAAATAAATAAAATAAAATAAAATAATAAAATAATAAAATAAATAAAAAAATAAAATAAAATAAAAAATAAAAAAATAACTTAATACTGTCCCTAGGACTCACAAGTTAATTGACCATGGGTTAGTTACTGCCTGAGTTTCCCACTTGTGTAATTGGACAATATTGGTATTTACTTCATAGAATTGTAGTGAGGATTAAATAAGCCTGACATATTGTGCTCTACACTTACTATAGAGATGTTAGCTTGTACTACTATTAAATTAACTAACTTAGTGGTCCTCAACTTTGAAGGCATGCTAGAATGCTTCAGGAACTTTTAGCAAATTACTTATGCCTGTGGACTTCTGACTCTGGCCATGCTGAATAATGGATATCAGACCTATTTCCTATAGTAAACAACTATTAAACTGGTTAAAATATATGAAGCACCCAATATCTGAAGGCCCAAGAAGTGCAGCAATGGAATTTAGGGACAAGTTTTTTTCCCCCCAATGTCTCTATATGTTTACTTGTCAAATCATATGTCTTGAGTCTTGATTTTGTTCCAAAAACATGGATAAAATATGTGCAGGAAGATAGAGAATCCCCAGAGTACTTTCATCATGCCTGACATTCAAATTCTCTCCTACTATGAGCGTTTATCTACCTAGTACAATCTAGTTTAATTTACACTGGTAAATATAGAATGTATTACAAGAAATTATCATGAATACTTACTTTGTATTTTTCTTTCTATTCTAGGTATTATTTCATGGAGTGTCAGTATGCTTAGTTACCTTGATTGTCAATAGATTTATTTTGCCAATGGCAGTTAGTAAACTAGGTAAGCCCTAGTAATTACTAATTACTAGATAAGCCCTACTACTTACTAGGTAACCCCTAGTAATTACTATTCCCGAGTGAAGAGACATTCTAAAAATGCTAAAGAATTGTTAATAAGGAGGAAAGAAGCCGCATAAATGAAAATCAAGTGTCTAACTGAAGAGGAAATTGGATCTGTGTATTAAAGCATATGAACAGGGGTGCCTTTGGCTCAGGTCATGATCCCAAGGTCCTGGGACCAAGCCCTGCATTGGGCGCCCTGCTCAGTGGGGAGTGTGCTTTTCCCCCTCCTTCCCACTTGTGCTCTCTCTCACTATCTCTGTCTCTCTCAAATAAATAAATTTTTTAAAAAAGCATATGAACAGTTTAGGCCAATAAGCTTGTAAATTTAAAAAGATTACTTATTTGCATTAGTCTAGTTTAAATAAAATAATACAATAAGTTTATTCAATTATTCAACAAACTTTTATTGAAAGCCTTCTATCTGCCAGACACTACTCTAACTGATAATGATGCATTATGAAGACAGACAAGATTTCTATATCCATGGAGCTTACATTGGAGAAAGGAGAAACAGACAGTTAACAGGTCATATGAGGCAGGACCAGAGAGTCATATGCACATCAAAGTAAACAAATCACACATACATAAGATAGAAAATTCAATGGGTGCTAGGTTCCTGAGGAAGCTAGAAACTGAGTGTGTTCAAGGAAAGAGGGTTTGACCCTTTGAGAACAAGCAGATAGTGGAGAATGTCCAGATGGGAGAGGTAGAAAGGAGTTAAGTAATGAAGGGCCTCAGATTTTAAGATTTTATTCTAAGGGCAAGAGGAGTTCCTTGGCCAGTTTTAAGCAAGTAAATGTAATTATATGGTTAACTCTTGTTCTGTGGATAACTGATTGCATGGTATGAGGAGCATAGAAGCAGAAATAGCAGTTGTAGGAGGCAATTGCCTTATACAGTATGCCCATTTTCATCGTCTACTTTTTAACAAGGGAAGAATGGAGATCTAGAGAGTTAAAAGTTCCTGCCCAAGGTCATGCAACGAGGTAATGGCAGTTGAGGAACTAGAAACAAATAACCCTGATGCTTTCAATCCATTATATTCCCAAATGCTCTATCACCCCTTCTGTTACACAGAGCTTTCATCCTAATGGCATTTTTAATCAGTCTTGAGACTCCATCTTTATGGATGACCAATCATTACCCAATCTGCCTTCCTTCCTTGTATTTGCAACAAAACCTTTTCTTTTTTCTTTTTAAAATTCTCTGAGCCTTAACACAGTAAATTGGGAAGAAAAGATTAAAGAGGGGGAGCTTTGCAAAGAGTATCATATGTTCTACTTAGTAGCTAAATAAACTTAAAATTCTTATTGAGGAGCACGAGTTTATTTGCATTGAGAGCAGTGAACATTTGCTCATGGAACATTATTGCTTTCCAAGGAAGCTTCTATGGCTCAAGAAAAGGAACTTGTGTCTGATAGGAAGAGTCCTTCAAACCTTAATGAGGTCTGGAGATAAATATATATACTTATCATATATATGTGTGTGTGTGTATACATGACATTACATTTAGGTAGGATATATATATATATGTATATATCTATATTGATACTTCCTACATAGGTATTTCCTAAATATATGTATATTTACCTATATTCTGTATATTTGTAAATATATACATATATATGGGATATTTATGTCAGGGATATGTATGTAGGAAGTATAGATATACATATACACAGATATATATCTCCTACATATATATCTCCTACATATGTATCTCCTATATATGTATGGGTCATCTATTCTGTGTACGTGGATATATTATATTATTATAGGAAATTAGTGCACATGATCATGGAAGCTAAGAAGTCCAAGATCTTCAGTCCAAAAGTCTGAGATCCAGGAAAGCCAGAGCGTAACTTCTTGTCCAAATGCAAAGGCAGGAGAGGACTGATGTCTCAACTCAAAGACCATAAGGCAGAGAGAGTGAATTTTCTTTTGTTCTATTCAGGACTCCAATGGTTTGGATGAGGCTTGCCGGCAGTGAGGAGGGCAATCTGCTTTACCCAGTCTACCAATTTAAATGTTATTCTTATCCAGAAACACCTTCACAGACATACCTAGAATAATATTACCAAATATCTGGGTATCCTGTAGCCCAGTCAAGTTGACACATAAAATTAATCATTACACCTCTATTCTTCTGTCTCCTCATCTATCAAACCGGGAAAAGGGACTTTTAAACAATGGGTAAGGTAATCAAAGACTTAATACGTTCAATGTGCTGAGAAGTGTTTTCTCAGCATATGGTAAGCACTCAATAAATATTAACTATTACTGTTATTATTCTGAGGAGTACGAAAGTAGAAAAGCTTGAAATTGTTAATGTTTCCATTATTATACAATTTATGTTGAGTCTTTAACTTCAATAAAAAATAGTTGTGACAGTAGACACAAAAGGAAACTGTATAATCCATATTAAAATGGTGGTATCCTTATTATTGATAAAACATACTTTTCGTACCAAAGGTCTTCGTGATGTCACATCAACAAAATATAAATCACTTTATTGTACATTTCAACACTTTCAAGAGCTAACCAAATCTGCAGCCTCTGCACTCAAATTTGACAAAGATCTTGCTAATGCGGATTGGAATATGGTTGAGAAAGCAATTATACTTCAAAACCCATATGCGGTAAGCAAGTCATATTCTTTGTTTACTCCTTCAAAGTAGATATCATTACCTGAAGTAAGCCTAAATGTTACAAATATTCACAGTTTTAATACTGGTAATTGACGGAGAAGTTGCATTGGTAACCCACTGTCATAATAGAAAAGAATCTTAGTGTTGTAAATTCAAAAGAAGGAGCAGTGCTTTGGAGCTCCCTATAAAAGGTGCCATAAAAGAGGAGAGTGAGCCTGAGAAAATGGCTAGTTTTTTATTAGATTGACAGTGAACAGGTGCCTTTGTTCAGCATTTACTTAGCATTTGTTTACACTGTCAAGTACTTGCTAGCCCCTCACTTATGATTAATATTATTTTTTGATATCAAATAGAATTCAAAGCCAGTATCATAAGTTTAGGTGTGGGTGAGATGTCACCTCCTGCTTCTGAGATATGCTTTAGAATCTCCGTGGTCAGACTTCTTAATCACTGAAGGGTATATAACTCCCCAATCGGTCGTGGCTGCCATAAGGAGAAATAATAAAAGTTGTTCTGGAATCTTCTCAATGCTACTGTTGCTTTGTTATCTCCTCTGTTACATCCAGTTTTCAATGCAATGTTTCAATGCATACTGTATGATGCAGTTTTTGCAATGTTTTGCTGAGTCATACAATAGGAGAAGGAGCCAACTTCTAGGAGTGTAGAAATAAGATAATTTGTTTCTATAAAGTAGGATTCCCCAAAATCCATTTCATATCCACTAACCAGTGCTTGAAGCTCTGGATGGGGACTCAGAACCAAGCCCTCTGCCTACAGAATAGTGCCGGGATTTCTGGATAAGACAAGTACCAAGTCACATCCAATTATTTTCTATAGTAGCTCCCAATTGTGCCTTTTTGCTAATCTGACTGCATCAGATTCATCTAGAAAGCTTATCAAAATATGGCTTTATTTCCCAGCCCCACTGAGGAGATGCTAATAACGCAGATGGTCTGGTGGGTCCCAGGAATATGTGTTTTTATTCCATTTACCCAGCTGATTCTAGTGCAAAGTCAAGGTTGAGGCCACCACTCTGATACTTGATCTGTTTCAGAAGGCAGATAATTACACATGGGGAATATTATGGTATTATAGATAGAGCACTGGCCTTGGACTCAGAAAATCTGGGTTCATATCTGGCTTTGTCACTTAATAAAAAGCTTTGTGATCTTGAGCAAATCTTCTATTTTCTCTAAGCTTCAGCTTTTCTCAACTGTAAAGTGAAGTTATCCATAATCCCCATCTCCCAATGCTAAGTTCACCTTCTACTCTACCTTAAGTGATGAGGTTAAGGCAGTGATTATCAAATTTTATCAACAGCAAGAATCATGGAATGGGTTTATAAAACCACAGATTGCTGCCCTGTTCTTTCTGATTTAGCAGGTTTGTGTTGGGGTCTGAGAATATTCATTTCTAACAATTTCCACGTGACGCTGAGGCTGCTGAGGGACCACACTTCCAGAACCATTGGTTTAAAGTGGGATCATATATGTGGTCGCTTTTATAAAATGTCAATAATGCCATGTAAACATAAAAATATGTCATAACTCCTTTCCTCCAAAACTGGCAATTATTTTACCTTCTAGATAACTGTGAGATGATGAGGAAACTCATCTGAACACTTTTTCTGTATTTAACAGATTTTCTATAGTTTTTCAAACTAAATTTTTAGGTGAATTGCTTGAGGGTTATGATAAACAGTATGTTAATATTCGTGTATTATTTTTTTGTTTGTTTTTATTTCTATTTCACTTAGTTGAGCCAAGGAGACCCAACAGAACATCAAAAGGTGAGATGTCTAGACTGTAACAAGGAAATAGATGAGACCCTTAACATCGAAGCAATGGAGCTGGCCAACAGGCGTCTCTTGTCGGCACAAATAGTTAGTACTTGATCATACACTTTTAAAATGATATCTGGGCCTAAAATTATCCTGAAAACGTTTTCCTTCACTAAAGACATCTTGATTAGGCTTACCTGCATAGCTTAATAGATTGTTACAAAGGCAAAGGGAAGTTTGGCGTTATCTTAGGAATCTGTTTGACTGCCAAAAGAAGGAAAAGGGAAATAGATCCATCCAAATTAGCCTAAATAAAAGGTGTTTTATTAAGAGGATTTGGGAATTTCACAGACCCCAAGGCAGGAATTACAGCAGAACTCAACCTTCAGGTGTGTTATGCAGCCATTTCCACAACACCACCCATCTCTAGGTCCACACCAGTTTTTCATGAAAGATACCACCAACTCTGCTAATAACTGCAGGTAGAGACTAGTTTTCAGATCAAATCTTGGATAAAAGTTAGAGAAATTCTGTGGCACAGCAGCATGCTGGACTCTGTGGGAAATTGCTAATAGCCTAATTACCATTTTACTATCCAGGTCAGGATATGGACTCGTTGCCATGACTCATGCTCTCAAAATCTTCATGGTGGGTCTTCCTCATTGCATATGGAACTCTCATGCATGTCTTGGCTATTCCAGCCATACAGAATTCCAAGCGTTCTATGTATTCATTCTAACTTGGGAAATGGAAGGTCTATAGGGTACGATTGTTCTCTCTTCAGCTTTAGTCCTGGCAGAGAGGTTGACTCTCAAAGGCAGCTTTTCCAAGAACCTAAATAATTTCTTTAAGCAATTGAGGTAGTGAGTGCCATGAAGGATGAACTTATGCCCATATAGTGCTTTGTTCCACCAGCAGATTTTATGATACCATATCTTTGAGTCACTTCCAGATTTTTAATTTATATAGTATTCAAGAACCCTCCAAATCAATACAGGAGACTCCATTTTAAGTCTTGCTTTCATTAATAATGTGACTCAGGACTTAACTCTTTTTAGTCTTTATTCTCCCCACTTGTAAAAGAGGAAAATGCTAACTGCAAGACCTCCTAGATTTTTTCCACTTGTGATATTCTATGTTTTCTGCAATATACATTCCACATACTTTTCCCTAAATGTTTGTTTTCTACCATTATATCTTTGTTGATTTTGTGCTATGTATTGGGTCTTAACCAGGAAATCCTATTTTTTTAAAGTAGGTTGGATCTTTCTGTTCTGTTCTCCAGCTCTTTATCTCATCTCGCATCTTTTTAGCCCTTCTTTGTTCTAGACGTATTTTCATGTTTACCTTCATTTGCTAATTTGGTTTCTGCAACCTCAATTCTAATGCTCACTGCTCCAACCATAATATTAACTAGTTTATTATACTTCTCAAAGCCTTGAGAGCTTTTATTTAAATCTCAGCCAGTTATTATTAACTGGGCAATACCTTCTCTACTGTTGTACATTAGAAGAGGAAGCACAGCATGATGAGACAGTGGTACAGGAGAGGAGGCGTCCCCCACATATAACAAGGGGAAAGGGAGACAGGCTTTAAATTCAGAGAGAACTGAGTTTCTCATGTGATCTTGGGAAAAATACTTAACTCTTTGAGCCTCAGCTTTCTCTCTGTGAAATGCAGATTAGATTATCTTCCCCATAAATTTCCGGTAAGGATTAAATGATTCTTTGCAAAATATATATAAATCAGTTAATTTAATAGTATGGTAGGGAGCTCAATAAATGGCAGTTATTTTAGGGAATCAACCATTCTCTAAATTCTTCTTACATCTTGGCATGAATGATCATTTAAGAATTAACATTTTTCTAGAGTCTGTTTTGTCATTTGTGTTGCTAAGCTTTCATGAGTTCCATACTACTTTCAGCTTCCTTATTTTTCTACAAACTATGGTGTTTACCTCCGAGGATATTGAAAATATGTTAATCTCACATTTTTTTTTAAGATTTTTTATTTATTTATTTGAAAGAGAGAGAGAATGAGATAGAGAGAGCATGAGAGGGAGGAGGGTTAGGGGGAGAAGCAGACTCCCTGCCGAGCAGGGAGCCCGATGCGGGACTCGATCCCGGGACTCCAGGATCATGACCTGAGCCAAAGGCAGTCGCTTAACCAACTGAGCCACCCAGGCGCCCAATCTCACATTATTTTATAAGTACTTTTAGTTTAAGAAGAACAGTGTTACTCTGTTGAGTTCCTGTGTTACAGACAAATAAACTTTGTTCCCTCATTCTTAAAATTAGTTTTACCCCTTTCTGGGATGCCTCAAGAGCAAAGCTGCATTTTAATATCCATAAATGAGGGACGCCTGGGTGGCTCAGTCAGTTAGGCGTCTGCCTTCGACTCGGGTCATGATCCCAGGGTCATGGGATCAAGTCCCACGTTGGGCTCCTTGCTCAGTGGGGAGCCTGCTCTGCCTGCCCCTCCCCCTGCTTGTGCTCTCTCTCTCTCTCTCTCTCTGACAAATAAATAAATAAAAATGTTAAAAAAAATCCATACATGATTGTGCAGACAAGTCATGTTCTATGGAAGCAAAAGTCTTTAGTTATATCATACATTCCAATTTAGGAAGTTAGTCCACACAGTGATTTTTGACAGTGTTCAGCACACTGGGGCCAGGGCAGTGTCAGACAATGGCCTCTTCAGCATCAGAGGTAGTGCCGGAAGCAAAGTGGGCTCTCAATATATGGGCCAAATGAGCAAATGACAGTTTTCTGTACAACAGTGGCAGTTCATTTAATGCTTATAACAGACTGGAGACAACAGAGTTGTGTTGTCAAAATATTTGGGAAAATGAAATTAAAGATATAAACCAGGATTCTCTACTATAGGATTTCTCAAAGTCTTTAATTTTCTAATGTGCATTATAAACCGTTAAGATGAGGATATACTTGCAGCAGGAAATTCCCATATTTATTTGGCCGTTTAAGCGGTCACAGAACACCATTTATTTTTGAAAGCCTAATTAACATCTAGCAGGAATCTAGTTTCCCACAGAACCAGTTTGGTTTTACCCAAAGCCCAGACGGACCTTCTGCACTGATTGCGAGGTCTGAACTGCATAGAAACAGTCTTTTTATAGAGATAGTAGATATTTAGGGATTTTGACTTCTTTCTACAGACTATTTTTCCATAAAGAAAATATTAAGTTGTTATTGTTACCCATGCTATATAATAATTTGCACATTTCTTTTAGGCAAGCTACCAGAGACAATATAGGAATGAGACTCTGTCCCAGAGTGCAGTCCAGGTGCTGGTAGGTGCAGCGGGAAGCTTTGGAGAGAAGAAGGGAGAGTAAGTACATTGGCAAGAGAAGCCTTCCCTAGGCTTCTACAAACTATGGTGTTTACCTTCGAGGATATTGAAAATATGTTAATCTCACATTTTTTTGTGAGGCCTAGGCCACTGCATTTAGAAAATTGTGCAAGTGAGTTTTCTTGCTCTTTCTGGTAACTTGAGATCATCCAGTATTACGTGTTTGAGCTGCTGCCTGCTCTGCAGCCCCAAATCAGGCCAAATCACTTATGTTCAGTTTCCCAGTTTGCTCTGCTTATTCAGACTTCTGTGCATTTGAACATGTTGCTGCTGCCAACTAAGATGCTTTTCCTTTCCTCCTTTTGCCCCCAAAGTGAGCTGTAGTAAAATACTCTTCCTTTTAGACTGCTTGAATGCCTCACTAAGGTCAAAGACTCCCTTAATTCCTCCAGGCACATCTTCCCAATGCATATTCTCTCTTAATACCCAGCATATTTTTGTAATAGCTTCTTTTGCTGTAAGCCTATGTAGTACACAATGAGTTCCTTGAAGTCTGCATGTTAGACAGTAGCCTCAGATCCCCTTGGAAGGACAAAGGATATATGAGTGGGCTAAGGGAAGAGTTAAACTGCCATGTAGCTACAACGATGTCCACCCAAAGACCGGACATAACATATCTTCTTGTTCTAAACCACACTCCTGGGACGCCTGGGTGGCTCAGTCAGTTAGGCAACTGACTTCAGCTTGGGTCATGATCCCAGGGTCCTGGGATCGAGTCCTGCATTGGGCTCCCTGCTAGTAGGGAGCCTGCTTCTCCCTCTGCCTGCCACTCCCCATGCTTATGCTTTCTCTCTCTCTCTCTGACAAATAAAGTTTTTTAAAAAATAAAAAATAAAATAATAAAATAAAATAAACCACACTCCTGGTACTAAAGACACCAAAATTCCCTGCTCGAATGGTCCCAAAGCTCATTTGTAAGGTTTTCTTGGGCCTTTCCCCTGGGCCATTATCTCGCAAGCAAACTGGGCCTTTGGTGTGCATAGCCTGAAAGCTAAGAGAAGCCCCAGCATGGTGTCCACTCACGAGTCCTGGCTTGCAGCACAGAGAGGGATAAACCGTGTGCGGGAAGAGAAGCAGCCAGATGCTGGAGCACAATCTCATTGCAGTTTAAGTACAGATTTCAAAGACTGTAAGAGATTCCATTTCAAACCTAGCCATACAAATCATTATGACATGCTTGTCAAGGTAGGAAGATATAATACATCTTACTTAAAATTTTATTTTCTTGATGAATGAGGTGTAAGGACAAGGGCTTCCATTTGCCCCCTCGCTCTAGGCTGTTCAAATGCTTATGGGAAAGAGACTGGCAAAGAGGACTGGGCAAATGTGATCACTTAGGAACAATATTATGCACTCTTTAAAGAAGACAGATGCACAGTGCACAGTGAAAGTTTTTAAATGGATGAATAAATAACATGCTGAAAAGCATTATCGCTGCATTGCTCAGGAGAAGTTAATATATAAAAAAAAAAAAGCAGTGTAGAGCAATTCAACCCATTGCCTTGATTTTTCTTCTTTAAATCCTCCAAGAAGGCGGAAGCAATATATGCCTATGAAGACCCAAAGAAAGGAGGTCAACAGTGGGGAGAAGGGAGTTAAAGGGTTGGAAGGATTCCTAGTGGACAACAAAGGCACATTTTAGAATATATTATTTTTTGTGATACATTAAAGAGATAAATATTATATACTAATATGGGCAAATGTATATGGCAGGCACTATGAGGAATATCAGGATAGTAGGATAAGTGGAATTGTGTTCCAATCCCCAGAGAACTTCCTGTTAATTACACTTAATAGTCAGTACTATTAGCCTTGGAGTTGACTTTGCAACTTGCCTGTCATTCCTATCAGTAGCCCCTTGGGAAGCTCGCATTGGAAGTTTAAGCTGCCTCACTATCCAATTAAAGAGATCACAACTGTCTTCCTAAATCAGGTCTAAACAGAGAATGTGATGATAAAAAATAGGAATTCAGGAGTCTGAATTACTGATATCACAGAATTTTAGGATTCATGAGAACTTAAGAAATGACCAGATTTTAGCTGAGACATTAATTATTTCAGGAAGGTTTTCTGATTCCCCAACACTACCTTAAATGCCCCCCACTTGCTGGATCTAGAGTGCCCTATTCGTTATTATCTCCATAGCAACACCCCCTAGTTTACTGCAATTGTTACTTGCATGTTTTACTCCCTTAGTCTGCTGGATCCTTAAGGGCAGAGATCTATAGTTGTTCATGGTTTCTCCCCAGCTTTTAGCAAGCATGATAGGTTCAATAAATATTTTTAAAATTAGGAATGAATCAAGTCCTATATACATTTGTGGTTTTCCATGTAATTACCGTATCATTCTATGAATCACAGAGAATTGAATGACTTCCTTCTTTTCAATTACATCTGTATCCCTGTAGCAGAGAAATTGCTTAAATTTCAGAGTAAGAACAGTATAGTCAATAGGAAGGACAAGGTCCACCTTTGAATTTAAGTCACCAACACCCTCCAATTAAGCCATATTTTAAAGTAGGGTCTCAGACCCAAGGACAAAGCCCTATCCCCCTTCCAATTAAGATAACGAAAACCAAGGGATTTGGCTAAGACCAAATCGTAGCACATAGGTATGAGCTACCTCGATAGAAAAGCCAGCAGAAACCTAGAGACAATGGGATATGTGCACCAAACCGTCTTTTGGGGTTTTAGGACCACTAACTTCTCCAACTAACCATTAAGTCTTTACTTACCACTTGTATTTTGTCCATTAATTCCCCAGCTACCTGCCCAGAAGGTAACATCAAAGAGATAAGAGGATGTGTAAGATGGGCTGAGTGCTTCATATATACTTTCTTATTTAATTATTCCCAACTGGCATGGATATTTTCATGTCTGTTTTGTAGAGCAAACATTTTAATGAGGTAATTTGTTCATTGCCTCACCAGATAATGGGGGATACAACATGAACACCTGGATGTATTTGAATCATGTTATCCTTTTCTTCCCTGGACCTGACCTTTCTATTTTAAACCATGTATCTCTGACTTTTTATACTCTCTCTTTAATGAGTGAGCCCCAGAATCTAAATTAATAATTATATATCTACTTGTATCTACAACTTTGTGACTTGGACCTATGCTCATGAAAGTGTCCTATTTCCAGTTATCAATGGACAAAATCATCTTCCTGCTTTCTGACAATACTGCATTAAATCTATTCCCCAAATTTTAAAGCATGTTTAATGATTACTTCTTTTTTTCCCCAGATATATGAGTCCTGAGACAATAAAGAATTATTCTGAAAGCAAAAAACTTCTTTCCTTTATTAGAAAAGTATTGCTCAATTGGGTGTATAACACTAAAAAAGAAAAAGGGATCCCATCAAGGTAAGTGATTTTGAACCTTACTAGAAATGCTATTATACTGATTTTAAATACCATTTTTATTTTTTTTAATTTATATCCTGGGAGCTCCTGGCTGGTTCAGTTGGTAGAGCATGTAACTCTTGATCTCAGGGTTGAAAGTTGAAGCCCCACGAAAAATTTAAAAAATAAATTCATATCCTGAATACATTGGAAAATATTTTGGACTAGTTTACAATTAAATTACTTATATACATACAAAAAGTTACTTGAAGAAAAAAAGAGATAGTATAATAACTTTTTTTTATTATTGAAGTAAATTTCATATAACAAGATCAACCATTTTTAAGTGTATCATTCCATGTTATTTAACACATTCCTTATGTTGGGCAACCATCATCTCAATCAAAATCCACAACATTTTTATTGCCCCCAGTGTAAATCCAGCACCCATTAAGCAGTCACTCCCTATTACTCCTCCTGCCCCCTAGCTCTTGCATGGCACTAGTTGGCTTTGTCTCTATGAATTTACCTGTTCTGAATGTTTCAGATCACTAGAATCGTACAATATATAGCTTTCTGTTTCTGGCTTCTTTCACTCAGCATAAGGTTTTTCATCCACACGGTAGAATGTATCAGTAACATAAATTTCATCCACTTTGTAACATGTATCAAGATTTATTCCTTCTTATGGCTGAATAATACAGATATATCATATTTTGTTTACCCACTCATCAGTCGATGGACATTTGGGTTGTTTTCACCTTTTAGCTATTGAGAACAGTGCTGCTATGAACATTCATGTACAAGTATTTGAATACCTGCTTTCCACCTTTTGGCTATGCACCTAAGAGTGAAACTGCGGGATCATATGATAATTTTATGTTTAACTTATCGAGGAACCACCAAATTGTTTTCCACAGCTGCTAGACAATTTTGAAATCAAGAAATATAAGTTTATCAACTTTACTTTCTTTTTCAAGATTGGTGTAACAATGTGGAATGTTATATATAAATGTAATTACATATAAATTTTATGATTTGCTTAGTTTTGCAAAAAAATAATGTCTTTGAGACTTTCACGGGGATTGCACTGAATCTTCAGTATCGCCATCCTAACAATATTAAGCTTTCCAATTCATGAACATGAGGTGACTTTTCGTTTATTTAGATCTTTAATTTCTTTCAGGAATGTCTTGTAGTTTTCAGCATACAAGTCTTTGATTAAAGTTAATCCTATATTTATATTTTTTCTTTTTGATGTTATTATAAATGAAACTGCTTTCTTAATTTCATTTTAGGATTGTTCATTCCTAGTGTATGATTTCTGTATATTGACTTTGTATTCTGAAGCTTTGCTGAATTCATTGATTAACTCTCCTGTGTTTTGTGAATTTGCTGGGATTTTCTGTGTATAAGATCATGTCATCTATGAATAGAGATAATTTTACTTGCTCCTTTCCAATTTGGGTGCCTAGTTTCTTTTCTTAGATTCAAGAGGAGGAAATATAGACCCCTCTTCTCAATAAAAGTATCAAAGATTATGTGGCATCCTTAATCTACCATACTCAATAAATACAAGAAAGATATTTTCATATTATAGGGTTTTTTAAAGCCTTCATAATTGAATAAAAGGAAGTCATTCAATTCTCTGTGAGTCATAGAATGATACGGTAATTACATGGAAAACCACAAATGTATATAGGACTTGATTCATTCCTAATTTTAAAGCCTTCATAAAGGTCTACACGAACACCACAAGTGCATAGGATAAATATTCCCTCACTCTTTTCTCAGATGGGCCTTTAGTCACTTTACTAAAAGAGTTAACTTTTCACTGGGAAAAAAGAGAATACTCAGACTTTTTAAAAGACTGAGGGGGGAGTATAAACAAACAAACAAAAGACTAAAGGCTTGAAATGCTATCATAGTTCTCAAGTTAGAGAGGAAGATTTAGGCTAGATGATATATGGAATCTCTGACCCACTCTGCTTCATTCCATAGTAATCCAGCAAGTCCACTGTGTGATTATTTCTCTAAATCTCCCAAGTGTATACTTGGGATGAGTATAGTCCGTGTGTAACTGAACATTCACATTTTCTTGCTGACCTATAGAATAAGAATTATTATGGCAGGGAGGTCCAAGTGACCAAGTGGAACCCTGGCCAAAATAGTCATAAGAAGCAATATAGTATTCCAGGAGTAAAGAAATTAACACCAACATTAAAGATTTAAAGGAATTGTAAGCAATCCCCATTATATCCCTTTCAATTCATCTATCTGACATAAACAAGTCAAAGTATAGTCAATTATAGATTTAAGCAAAAGGTAACATCAAGTGCAATGCTATGCCAGATATGACTTTATTCCTGAAAGAAATAAAGAAAAGCAGTCTGTATTCTAGTCCAAGATAAGATGTTGGAGGCTCCTGAACTTAACTCTTTCATCAACACACCAAATCTACAGCCACATATGGATCACTTCCCTCTCAAAGAAATCCACAAACTAGCTGAGTGATTCCTACACATCAGACTAATGAGAGAATACCTACACTGAAACAGGTAGGAAAGACTGAGACACACTCTCAGCATAAAACTCACCCCTTGGCATTGAGGCATGTGATCAGAAGGGAACTCATGGCCCCCAGGTTCTCCATGAGAAGTAAAGGGTTTGGACCCAACATCTAGTGCTCCAACTTTTAAGACTTCCTCTTGAGAGATGGGTCCCCAAAACACCTGCTCTGAGAGCTAATTGGGCTTATGTCCACAAGATCCAGAAGACTAGAGCAGACAACGAAACAGTTCTTAATGAGCTTGCAAGGACAGTGTCTACCTGAAATGAACTTGTGCAAGAGTTTGGCACCCTGACTTTTGTGATTGCCATCCAGAGGACACACCCCCTATTAGTAACAGAAAAACATATGAAAGCATAAATCTCACTGGTAAAGATAAATATATAATAAAATTCAGGCTACTCTAGGGAGCCTGGGTGGCTTAGTCCGTGAAGCGTTTGCCTTCAGCTCAGGCCGTGATCCCAGGGTTCTGGGATCAAGTCCCACATCAGGCTCCCTGCTCAGCGGGGAGCCTGCTTCTCCCCCTGCCTCTGCCTCTCTCTCTGTCCCTCATGAATAAATAAATAAAATCTTAAAAAAATAAATAATATAAAATTCAGGCTACTCTAATATTGTAACAATGGTGGTAAATCACATTAAAATCTAGCATAAAGGTTAAAAGTCAAAAGTATTAAAAAAACTAATATAACTACAATAATGGATACACAAGATAAAAAGGGGTAAATATAAATTATGACTCTCAACAAACTGGGTAAAGAAGGGGTGTACCTCAACAAAGGCCATATGTGACAATCACACAGCTAACATCATATTCAACAGTGAAAAGCTGAAGGCTGAAAACTTTTCCTCTAAGATCAGGAACAAGATAGGAGGCCCACTCTCATCATTTTTATTAAACATAGTATTGGAAGTCCTAGCCAGAGTAATTAGGCAAGAAAAAAAAAGTCATCCAAATCAGAAAGAAATGAGTAAAACTGACATCTTTTGCAGATGTAATGATATATACAGAAAATCCTAAGAACTCCACCAGAAAAAGGTAGAACTAATAAACAAATTCAGTAAAGTTACAGGATACAAAATCAATATACAAACACCAGTAGCATTTCTATACACTAATAACAAAAGAGGGAAATTAAGAAAGTCCCATTTATAATTGCATCAAAATGAATAAAATACCTAGGAATAAATTTAACCAAGGAGGCAAAAGACCTGTACAGTGATTACTATAAGACATTGATGAAAGAAATTGAAGAAGATTCAAATAAATGGGAAGATACCTGTGCTCATGAACTGGAAGAATTAATGTTGTTAAGATGGCCATACTACACAAAGCAATCTATAGATCCAATGCAATCCTTACCAAAATTCCAATAACATTTTTTACAAAAATTTTAAAAAATCCTAATATTTGTATGGAATCACGAAAGATCCTGGATAGCCAAAACAATCTTGAGAATAAAGAATAAAACTGGAGGTATCACACTTCTTGATTTCAAACTATATTAAAAAGCTGTAGTAAACAAATAGTATGGTATTGGCATAAAAACAGACACATAGATCAATGGGACAGAATAGAGAGCCCAGGAATAAGCCCATGGGTATATAGTCAATTAATTTATGACAAAGGAGTCAATGATATAAATGCAGAAAGGATAGTCTCCTCAGTAAATGATGTTGGGAAAACGGGACAGCCACAAAAAAAATAATGAAACTAGACCACTATCTTACACCATACACAAAAATCAATTTGAAATGGAGTAAACTAAGACCTGAAACCATAAAACCAGAAGAAAACTCCATGATAGCATTCTTGGCAATGACTTTTGGATTTGACACCAAAAGCAAAGGCAACAAAAGCAAAAATAAACAAGTAGGACTACGTCAAAACTGAAAAGCTTCTACACAGAAAAAAAAATCAACAAAATGAAAAGGCAAGCTATGGAGTGGGAGAAAATAGTTGCAAATCATATATCTGGTAAGGTGTTAATATCCAATATATGTAAAGAACTCATACAACTCAATAGTAAAAACAAACAAACAAAAACCATCACAATTAAATAATGGTCAGAGGAACCAAACAGACACTTTCTCAAAGAAGACATACAAATGGTCAAAGAATACATGACAAGATGCTTAATGTCACTAATATCAGGGAAATGCAAATCAAAACACAATGAAATATCACCTCACACCTATTAGAATCCCTATCAACAAAAAGACAAGAGATAATATGTGTTGGCAAAGATGTAGAAAAAAGTGAACCCTTGTGCACTGTTGGTAAGTATGAAAATTGGTACAGCCCCTATGGAGAGCAGTTTGGAGATTCTTCAAAAAAAATTAAAAAATGAAAATAGAACTACTGCACGATCTAGCAATCCCACATCCAGGTATACATCCAAAGGAAATGAAAACAGGATATCAAAGAGATATCTGCTCTCCTATGTTCAATGCAACATATTCACAGTAGCTAAGACATGAATTTAAACTAATTGTCCATCAACAGATGAATGAATACAGAAATATGGTGTATATATACACAAGAGAGTATTATTCCCATGAGAAAGAAGGAAATCCTGCCATTTGCAACAGTGTGGATGGATGCTGAAGGCATTATGCTAAATGAAATAAACCAGAGAAAGACAAATACTGCATGACACCACATCAGGGTGCATGTGCCCCTTCGAATCTGTACTTTTGTATCTTTTGGGCAAGTACCTAGTAGTGCAATTGCTAGATCATAGGGTGGTTCTATTTTTAACTTTCTAAGGAACCTCCGTCCTGTTTTCCAGAGTGGCTGCACCAGTTTGCATTCCCACCAACAGTGTAAGAGGGTTCCCCTTTCTCCACAACCTGTATCCTTGCCAACATCTGTTGTTTCCTGAGTTGTTAATTTTAGTTATTCTGACTGGTGTGAGGTAATATCTCATCATGGTTTTGATTTGTATTTCCCTGATGATGAGTGATGTTGAGCATCTTTTCATGTGTCTGTTAGCCATCTGTATGTCTTTTTTGGAAAAATGTCTTTTCATGTCTTCTGCCCATTTCTTTTTTTTTTTTAAAGATTTTATTTATTTATTTGACAGAGAGATAGAGAGCACAAGTAGGCAGAGAGGCAGGCAGAGGGAGAGGGAGAAGCAGGCTCCCCGCTGAGCAGGGAGCCTGACACGGGGCTCTATCCCAGGACCCTGGGATCATGACCTGAGCCGAAGGCAGATGCTTAACCAACTGAGCCACCCAGGTGCCCCTTCTGCCCATTTCTTAACTGGATTATTTATTTTTGGGGTGTTGAGTTTGATAACTTCTTTATAGATTTTGGATACTAACCTTTTATCAGATAAGTCATTTGCAAATATCTTCTGCCATTCCATAGGCTGCCTTTTAGTTTGATTGACTGTTCCCTTGCTGTGCAGAATTTTTATCTTGATGAAGTCCCAGTAGTTCATTTTTGCTTTTGTTTCCCTTGCCTTCAGAGATGTGTCTATTAAGAAGTTGTTGTAGCCAAGGTCACAGAGGTTGCTGCCTATATTCTCCTTTAGGATTTTAATGGTTTCCTGTCTCACATTTAGGACTTCCATCCATTTTGCTTTAAATATTTTGATAAACTGTGGATGCATACTGGTCCATTACCACACATCCTGGGATTTTTTTTTTACAGATTTTATGCCTCAACAAGGAAAGATGCTCATGATACATTGTTAAGAAAAAGAAAAAAAGTTTACAGAACAATATGTATGATATAATTTCTTTTGTGTTTACAAATAATGATTACATAAACAAAAAGATTGGACCAATATTCAAACTGTTAATAGTAATCATGTCTGGCAGGTGGAAGGGATTCCCTTTGTTTTATTATTTTTTTAATATTTCCAGTTTGAATTATCCCCATCTCGTGACCAAAAGTATTTCTATTAAAACTAAAAATGGTTGAGAGTTGAGGAAGATGGGGGGAAAGAAGAGGGGAAACAAGCCTCAAGACATTTAGCAGAGGAGGACATTAAAAGGACAATATCTGAAGCAGGATGCCAGAAAGTGTTAGGTAGGGATTGCTTCTACCCAGAACTAAGCTGGGCTGTGTACTATAGATGATTAAAACAGAACTGAACATATAATGAAAATAATTCAGTATAATTATTTTATCAGATAAAACTCTTTTTTTTTTGTAGACATTGCATTCTTCGTGTATGCCATAAAATTGTATTTACTGATGAATTTGAGTACATTGGGTATCTTGTGATACTAATGAATATGTTTCCCATTATAATTTCTTGGATACCTGAGTTAAGTGATATCTATGAGCATGAATTAAGATATTGCAACTACTCTTTTCTTGCATTTTATATAATGGAGTCCCTACTTAAGGTAATCTGAAATTGTGTGTGTGTGTGTGTGTGTATCTGTGTATGTGTGAACATGTTATATGTCTCACAGAGAGATTCCCTGACTTCATTTTTCAACACTACCTAAACACAATTTTCTAAAGGAGTGTATGAAATTCTTTCTCACTTCATAAACAAACTTTAATTTTTAAAGGTAAATTTTTAAGGCAACTCAGTAGAAAACATCCATACTTTAAGAATTGATTTTGTATTTGTAAAAATAAATTTTAAAATGGTATGTGTCAAAGGGAGTTTCAAAGATATTGGCAGTGTTCATAAACTTAGCAGGGTAGTGTTCATTTTATTTTTTAATACTAGATAGATAAACAGATCAATAGGTAGAGTGATAGATACTCCTTTATACTTGATAAACATTTCATGATCTGATTTTTAAATTTAATATAAAGGTAGTTGTAAAATGAGGAAATGTATCACCACAAACGGATAATAATATTGTGTTATATGAATCAACAACTGGAGAATGAGTATGTGAGTACATAACATGATGGACAAAAACAAGGGAAAACTTAGAAGCAACACCATGACACCCGCAAGGAACATCACTCCCAGTGACTGGAACTTGGGATGGATTGGTCAGCATGGATATTGGAGAGATGTTAGATTGGTGTGGAGGATATGGAAAATGATACAGGACACATGGACGTAAAAAAGAAAGAAGTTCATAGGCCATGCTATCTCTCCCACTTCCCTGACATCAGCTACCATTTATTGTCTAATAACTTCCAAATTCATGTTCCCAGCTCATATCTTATCAAGAGCCTCAGATCATATAGAAAACTGAGGACTGGGTCTCTCCAACAAAATACTATACAAACATCTCAAATAGCACATTCTAAAAAATTTATCTTCTCTAAACCTACTTTTCCCTCAAAATTCCACTGGAAACCCAATTTCCCAGACTAGCATCCACAATCATCTTTAATACTTCCCACTCTCTTAGCTATGCTTCAATATTTCAAGCATTTTAATTTTAAATTAATATGATTACTTACTAGTATTTCAGACAAGTAGTCTTAAGGTAGATCAGAAAAAATCTAACTAGTGATGTTTCAGTTATTGTGGAAAATGTTGCAGTAAAAGCAAAAACAAGATAACCTATTTTTTTTAATCAACAGATGGCTGCAATGAGGAAGGAATATTTTTTACATACCTGGAACCTATTTGAGTTAGCAATTACATTAGTTGGCATCATAGATATAATTCTTATTGAGACAAATTCCATTACTTATACTCTTGATTTTATTCTAACAGTAATCTTTATAAAAATTGTTCGATTTCTTCGCATACTACGTATTTTGAAGGTAAAGAACTATTAAATCATTCAGTTTCAAATTTCTACTGACTGCATCATGAAATATGAACTAAAATCAGTTTAGTAGTTTTATGACTTCCACTTTCTATTGAGGTGATGTTTATATTTTAAATTTTATAACCCTTTCACAAATTAAATTTTATAACATATTATTTTATGAATATCCAAATTATATATTTCCTGTGTTTTCCTGTCTATGCTCCATAATCTCCATACTCTGCCCCCCAACCAGCTGCCATTAATCCTCAAAGTGCTAGCTTATGGTCATTCTTCAAGATTCAGTTTAAGTACCACCTAATAAAGGACATCATTTTTTTTTATCTTGTTAGCATTCTGTACATACTCTCTTTTGCACTTATCCTTGGGGTCAAACAAGAAATATAATTGTGATGGGTTCCAACCCCCGAATAAACCTTCTAAAAAGGTTAGTAGGAGATTTCACAGGTAAACGTGGCAGTACTTTATAGACATTTATGACTTAAGCCCAGAAGATTAATTGCATTGTTTTCCAAGAATTTAAACCAGTTGAAATTAGCATCCAATTCTCTATAAGGGACATAAGTAAAGAGTAAATTCATAACTTCACCATAGGTGTCCAACATTATTAATTATAAGGAAATCACTCTGGTCATGAAGTTATAAAATTACCGTGAATAAAGTAACTAAAAACCTTGACAGGTTACTATAGTTATTGTTGAAAGCATGTCATTTCTTCTTATTATCTACTTTAGTTAAACTAATCAATATATAATTATCTAAATGTATACAATTTATATTAAATAGTAGTTCTGTTTTTTTCCAGCTCATAACCCCAAAGTTGCTGCAAATAATAGATCAAAAGATGAGTCACCAGCTGTCCTTTAAGTATGCTATACTAAAAGGATATGTCCAAGGTGAAGCAGACATAATGACTATAATTGATCAGATTTCAAGTTCTAAGCAAGTTAAACAGGTGAGAAAACTTTCAATAGTAAGGAAAGGGTTTATTCCTCCAATCCCTCAGTTGCCCTCACCCATTATGTCCTCTATCTATATATGTAGATGGGGATTTTGACTTGATTCACTAAGTAATTTCTGTAAAAACTTAAACTAGTCTACATTTGTATTACTCAAAAGCTTCCTTACTTAAATGTCTGTGCCACAGTAACAAATCATGAGGTTTTGGCAACCCACTTTTTGGTTCTTGTGGAGGCTATCATGAAACATATGTGCAGTGGTCATCAGCTCCCTCCTGATGCCAGTTCCAGGATCTGTCAGCTACAGGTGCACTAAATAGGAAATATTGGAGGATGAGACATAATGGCAGTGTTAAGCAAAGGGAGCTTCCTCATAATTCCCAAAGGCTCCCTTCCTCACTCCCTGCCTGATTTTCCCACAGTAAATAGTAAAAGAAGCAAAGGGTGGGGATCTGGCAGATGGAAAAAGTAAGAATAACTCATCTAGAAGGACACCTTGTCTAATTTCTTCATTACACAGATAAGGAACAAAAAAGAGCCAAGAGAGGTTGAATGGTTATTCTCAAAGTCACACGGCTAGTAAACAGCGAAGAGAATTCTAGGGCCTAAGTTCTAGATTTTCACTTTTTTGACCGAGGTGGTTGTTCTCACAAGTTTGTCAACTATGTGAAATATTTACCTTTCAAGGCAATGTAGAACACGTGAATGCCATGTAATATGCCCAAAGCTCTGTAGTTGAGAAAATTGAACATGTGATATGTAGTAGAACACAAAAAAACAGTATCTTTCCTTTCTTCACCACCTGTAACTTTAAAACTGTTTTCCTGAATTTTGTTACCTGTTCTAACCTGGAAAAGAATATTTAGCACTGGAATTTGAGAATACACAGTAGGGAAAACAAAAGGACCTGAATCTCTAAGATGTCCAGTTTTAGTCCTCATTTCTGCTCTCACACAGTTTGGCCAAACCTTCTACCTCATTTAAGATTGAAACCACTTTTTATTCTCTCCACCAATTTGCTGGAGCAAAATAAAATTTATTGCACAAAATTCAATTCTAATCCCTGAAAAGCTCCCCATCATATTTTTTCTTTGAAGTTATTAGTTAGGTAAAAAAAAAAAATCCATCAGTAGCAAATGTAAAGATATTTTATAACAGCTTGTTCTCCAGTGGGGATAACTCTTCTTTTATTTTGTAGATATTATTAAGGAGGATTATGAAGAATACAGGACATGCTATGAAAGAGCTAGGTATGTACCCCTCGCCCTAAAGATTAAACACAACCATCTCTTATTATCATTACTCCAGAAAGGCAATTATTTTGATAACTAAACTGATCTTTGAGGAAACCTATTTATTACTAGTAATAAAGTATATAACTTTAATCAATATGATCATATCTTCGGTTTGGATGGGTTTAGTGTAATATTACCTCTCCACACTTGTTCTTCCTGCCTTATACCTCAATGAAGACCTTTTAATTTCTCTTTAAAGGAAACACATTGGCATCGCATGTTTATACATGCTATTATCACCTTTTAAATTCTATTTTCTTCCAAACCAAAAGTACACATACCTTGCTGAGCAAAACAAGGAAAAAAGTAATTTTTTTTCCCTTCACTTGCCACAGAGCTACCATCTGAGGATTTAGGATTTATAAGTTGAAATCAGAAGAGAATCTCACAGATCTCTGATAGAGCACTGGGAGCTTCTATGCCTAAACATGACAACAGTTTATTCTCTGAGTCATGCCACGTCATGCTCCTAGTACAGGATAAATCCTGGGAGTGGGACAGACACACTCCTATAGTATAGTGCTCATGTGAGAGGAGAAGAAGGGGGTTTGGTACTAGGTGGTGGGCAGCAAAAGGGCACAGCAAGTCTGAAAATCAAACAAGACTTGAGAGATTTGCATGCAGATAGTTACCAAGCTAGACAAGAAGCCATCATGAAGGAAAAGCCAAAATGTAGAATCTAAGTGAATGCAACTCTCGTGGGCATTCAGGAATCCAGATAAGTCAAGCAGAAGAGCATAGACAGATGAGTCATCTAGATGCACAAGAATGTTGGGTGGACAATGACCCAAGATGAATGAAAGGACTTCATCAGAAGCCGTATCTAAGTGCTAATCCTAATTCAAACAGAATAGAAAAGTAGGACATAAACTCTAGACCTAGAGCCCAGAAGAGCTTCTCAGTGTCCCATGCAGGTATATCAGTGTAATTGTTAATCCTAGAATGAGGGCTGTCTGCCCTTCCTCATGGGCTTAGGTATAAACTGACAAGAAAACGGCAAGCAGAACTCTGCAACTACTGGAGGCCTCATCAGGGAGAGATATATTTCTCTGTGTTGGGAGTTGTATTTCATGGATTTAGAGTGGAAATACTAGCTTATTGTCTACATGAAATATTTAAATAATGTTCTTATTTTATGTGAACATATTATTTTTCAGGCTACTTAGAGTATGATCACCCAGAAATCGCTGTTACTATGAAAACAAAGGAGGAGATTAATGTCATGCTCAATTTGGCTAGAGAAATTGTTAAGGTTTTTAGGTCAAAAGGAATTATTCATAAAATTGAAGGTTCTGAAATTAATAAGGTAAGGTAGCATATTTTTAAAACAAATATACTTACTTGATATATAGTTATTCATGATCTTCAAACCTACTTTTGATTTTTCAATATAAGCCATCTCTGAGATATGACTATCTAACTTAAAATAATTATCTAAAGATAAGCACCTACAATAGAGCATTTCCTTCCCTGAGCTCCAATGCTCAATTTCTCTTTCCCTTTCTTGCCACAACAAGGGACCATCTCTTTCTATGCTTTGCTCCCAAACCAGTGGTATGATGAAACTATTTCTCTTCCTAGGCTACAGTGGATATTAGTATTTTTCTAGGAATTATCTTTGACACTGAGACAACTTTTCCCGTAGAATCCTGTGATTTATAAGAACATTCAATTATAGGGTAAAAATTCACTACATTTCCTTTCTCTAAATTATTTAAATGGTACCATGACATATAAAAAAATAGAGGATCCCAACTAATTCTGTAAGTACAAAATTTACTCTCCAAATTGGGAATAGTATAAGAAAAAACCCCAAAAGCTATTGTGCTTGTGAATACATATACAAAACTTTTAAACATAATGGTAGCTAATTGAATCTGGTAATATATTAAAAGTTTAGTATACTATAACTAAGAATGTTTTAGCTCCCCAAATAGCTATATAACTTATTAAGAGATTTAAAGAGAAAGAAAAAATTTGACAAAATTTATTATTCAAAATATTTTTTAAAATTCTTTTAAGGCTAATAAGAGAAGTAGCATCCTTAACTAAATAAAGAGTTTCTATTAAAAATTTAGAAGAAACATTGTATTGGATGTCAAAACATTGTATTGGGTGTCAAAACATTTATAAGTATTACAATTAAAGTCAGGAATGAAAGAAGAATGAACAGTGCCACTCCAAATACTGAATGCTGTGCTGGAAGTCTTAACCAGGTCAAGAAAAAAAAAAGAAAGGAAATTGAGAGATAAAATTTTTAGAAAGAGGAAAAAAGTTATTATATGTTGATTGTTTAATTTAAAATCCTAGGAAAATAAATTAAAATCTGTAAGAATAAGATAAATCATAGGGTATTCAGAAATAATATCAAAATTCAAAATTCTTCCCCAACTAAAGAAAATGTAGAAAAATATTCTATTCACAGTAGTGATTAAAAACTCTAAATCCTTAAGTGTGAACCTAACATAAAATATATAACATCTATGTGGCAAGAACTGAAAGGCATATTTGAGCAGGTAGAAAGATCAGTCACCTTAAAGATAAAACAATGGAAATTATCCTATTTGAGTAACAGAAGTAAAAAGATTGAAGAAAAGTGAACAAAATCTAAGGGACCCATGAGATCCAATCAAGTGGACCAACATATGCACTGTGGGAATTCCGCAAGGAGAAGGGAGAGAGAGAGAAAGAGAATATTTGAAGAAATAATGGCCAAAAATTTCCCAACTTAGATGAAAGACATAAATATTAACATCCAAGAAGTTCAATAAATTCCAAGTAGGATGACCTGAGAGAGACCCACACCAAGACACATTATAATCAAACTGTCAAAAAGACAAAAAGAAAATTTTGAATCAGCAATAGCAACTCATCCCATATAAGCAATCTTCAATAAGATTATTATCAGATTTCTCATCAGATACTTTGTAGACCAGAAGGAAGTGAACTGATATATTCAAAGTGCTAAAAGAGAAAAAAAACCTATCAACAAAAAATCCTATTTCCAGCAAAACTGTCCTGCAGAAATGAGAAATTAAGACATTCCCAGATAAACAAAACTGGAGGGAGTTTATTACCACTAGATCTGCCCTGAAAGAAATGCTAAAAGGAGTCCTACAGATTGAGTAGACACCTCCCAACAAAGGATATTCAAATGACTAATACATAACAAAAGGTACTAAATTTCATTGTCGTAAGCTTAATACAAATTAAAACCAAATGAAATACCAATACACAACCATCAGAATACTTGATTTTTTTTTTAACTAACTGTAGGCAATAATGTAGAACAACTGGAACGTTAGAATAAGAGTGTAAATTAATGCAATCACTTTGGAATTGTTAGGCAGAATCTACTAAATTTGAACATACACATATGACACAGCAATTAGATTACAGAACCATATATCCACAGAAATGTGTACATATGTACAGCAAACAAATACAGCAGCATTACAAAGGCCAAAACTGGCACACCCAAAATGTTGATCAATAGTAGACAAAACTGTGGTACATTCATACAACATAGTCCTCTATGGCAATGAAAATGACAGGAATGAACTTCTGCTCCCTGCAATATTAGAGATGAATCTCACAAACATACTATTGAGCAAATAAAACCAGACACAAACAAGTACATACTCATTGATTTCATGCAGATAAATCTCAAAACCAAGCAAAGCTAAACTCTGATAGAAGAGAGGTCATCTTTAGATAGAAGAAATGACTAGAAGAGAATGTAAGAGAGATTTTAGGTGCAGTAAATGTTTTATTTCTTAATCTGGGTGCTGGTTACCCAGATCTTTTCACATTGTAAATGTTCTTTGAGCAGACATTTATTAATCTGTGCACTTTTTGTTTATCTACTTTAATTTAGTAAAAAAAAAGTTTACTTTTAAATGTTTAATCTATGACTTCAGAATGATGATAACAGAAAAATGCTATCAGTGGGGAGAAGTTGAAGGTTTCCACAGAAGAACAAAAATCTCAGAAGAGCAAGTAAAGGAAATAGTACAAAGCCATAATTTCTTAAGCATTCTGTGAACACTGGTTTTGTTCATCTTTCTTATATTTTGTGGTTTTAGTTAATAATGGCCAAAAAAAGAGAGATACTTGATTTTCAACCTGTTATCAAGCCCCTTACTGTTGAAGAAGCACTCTACCATATTCCATGGCTAGATAAAGACAAAGACCATATAAACTTCATTCAGGTAATATTTTTATTTTCTGGTAATACCATCTATAATGTACCAACAAATGATTTTTTTTAATTAAGACTGTGATTCTCTCCAGCTTAAAACTCTTTAAAAGTCTTTTATTGTCTATGGGATAAAATCAAAATCCCTTTAAGTGACCTGGAAAGACCTTCCCCAATCTGCCTCCTGTCTACATTTCCATCATCATCTTCTGTTGTCCATTCATCATATACCTCATACTCTATTTATACTCAACCTTGCATGGTACCCCAAACCCTTTTCACTGTTTTCTAATTCCCTTCCTCTGGAGGTGCTGTTTACTTTTCTTGAAATATCCTTTGTTTTCACTTTTTTTTCTTCCCAAATCTTGCTTCTCTGGAAAGATCCTGGAAACATTCCTACCAAAGGTAACTCAGAAAAGTAGGCTTTGGGGGCAAATACCACACCAGTAGAAGACCATTCTGTGGTCCATCCTGAGTTTGGAGGACCAAGGTTGTCGTCATTATGTCCATTATACAGTTTCATTATAGCATTAAGTACCTTGCATTACAATTACCTTTACATCCCTCTTCTGTGCTATATCCTTTAGCTCATCCATCTTTTGAATACCCACCCCTGGCACTTTGCATATTACATAGAAGATGCTCAAAGACTGTTTGTAGAATGAACAATTAAATAGGTCTAACTTGTTCTAATAACATTATTTTTCTCTATCTACTTGGTGGCAAAGGAGCAGGTGCATATTTTCCACCTGCTTAAAATATTTTGAATGAACGAATTTTTTATTTACTTCATCAGCTGTTTAGAGCATAACTATGTGTGAGATGTAGATATGCCATTAGCCTGAATCTGTTCTGATTATTTTTCATCCAGATGAAATATTTTTATCTTTCCATTACATTCTTACTCTTATATTAGATTAGTTCTTTTCTAATCCATGTATAAATACCCCATCTGAAGTTACAAAGATCTATGAATATCCCCTTCTTCTCTTTGGTATTCATAACTCCTATTTTCTCTTACAAATTTATCACTAACACAATAAGTTGGATCTTACTGACTGATATTCTAAAATGTAAAAACTTTCATTAAGATGTAAACTTCAACATCCTCAACCACTGCTAATATAGTGTTTGTATCTTATATCATTTGGTGATATTTTTAAGGAAAGAGCCAAAGTTGTAACATTTGATTGTGGAAATGATATATTTGAAGAAGGTGATGAGCCCAAAGGAATTTATATAATAATATCAGGTATGATAAAGGTAAGTCAAAGTTACTCATAAATGCACTTGGGAACATTAGTTAAAAATTCTATAAAATTGAGAATTCATAGTTTTCCATGTTAAGAACTGCATTGTTCCTCTTTTAGGACAACAGCTACCATCCAGTTTTCTTGTTCAAACACAGTGGTTAACATTACCTATCACCTTTTAAGCATTACTTTCCCATAGATAACAAGAAACCATCCAAAGGATCATCTTTAAGATGGAATATTATAGGTCGTTTTCATCTTATGTTTATCTGAATTAGGCATTTAGCCATTCTAAGGTAGGTATAGGTTGGCTGAGTAGAAGGATTCAGAAATATTGCAGTATCTAGGAATGTTTTTGCTAATTTAATAAAATTGCCTTAAAAGGTATAAGTAAGAAGTATCCTCAAAACAATATCTACATATTAAAATTGTTAAAACCAAAGGAAAAAAGTAAAAAATTAGAGAGTTTTGTAATTAACTGGCATATGTTTTTTTTCTCTTTCTTCATTCCTAAACAGCTTCAAAGATCAAAACCTGGTTTCGGAATTGACCAAATGCTCTGGGAGTCAGAGGAAAAAGATTATCAGCTAATGTACACAGACTTTGCGATCAGTGGGGAAATAATAGGAGAGCTAAACTGTTTAACTAACGAACCCATGATGTGTTCTGCTACCTGCAAAACTGTAGTGGAGGTCAGAAAACATCACTATATGGTCTATTGCTGTATCTTATTAAATATCTAGTATCAAATTTAAGGTTATTTCTGTACTTAGCATATGTTTACAGTCTAGTGATAATTTTATTAAAAAATAGGAATAGTAAAGGAATAAAACTTGTTACCAAATTATACTTATCCAGTATACTGTCCTGGCAAAATGGCTTGCAAAAGTTAACCTACCATATTGAAAAATTTAACCAGAAAAACTGATTAAATGAGGTCTCTCATGGGGAAATTAGAGGACATATTTTAGCTATCAATACCATAATTTGGGGGGTCAGGAAGGGAAAAAGTCAGAGAACTAACATCTATTAATAAAAAAGTTGAGCAAAGTGGATGGAAGTTTCCCCAGGCACAATGAGGACAAAATTCTCAAAGCAACAGGGGCTATCACTGGCCTAATTTAAACTCAAAAAGAACAATGACTGCAAACAATTGAGCCCCATAATATGTAAAAATCCATAAGTTGATGATGATACCAAATTTGTTTAATTTCCAATAAGATTTTTGGGATATTAACTTACTACTCTACAAATTGATTTTTTTTTAAATAGAAAGAATTCAACATTTATCCTGCCTAACTATGAACTCTTTCAAGGTAACCAAAAAAAAAAAAAAAATGAAGAAATATTCTTCTATACAGAATTCCAGCTAACAAATGTAGAAACAGAGAATTAGAATATCTTCATTTTGCCATCTCAATGAAATAATGGATCTAGGCAACAGCCATCAATTGATGCTAAAACTACTGTGTGCAATGTTGATGGGAAACTTTATAGTGAAAGGACCTGGCTGGCACCACCTAAAAACAATTGTAGCATCACTAAAAGTTGGACAGCTGGGCATCATGTACCTCTGGATATGATGCTGCAAAGCTGGTTCTTTGAAAAGATCAATAAAATTGATAAACCTTTAGCCAAATTCATAAAAAGAAGAGAGAGAGAGAAAGAGAGAGAGAGGATTCAAATAAAGAAAATCAGAAATGAAAAAGGAGAAATAACTGACCCCACAGAAATACAAAGGATTGTAAAATAACATTATGAAAAATTTTATGCCAACAAATTGGACAACCTAGAAGAAATGACTAAATTCCTAGAAACATATAACCTCCCAAAACTGAATCAGGAAGAAATAGAAAATTTGAACAGACCAATTACCAACAATGAAATTGAACAAGCATCAAAAAAGTCCAACAAACAGAAGTCCAGGACCAGATGGCCTCACAGGTGAATTCAACCAGACGTTTAAAGAAGAGTTAATACTTACTCTTCTCAAACTATTCCAAAACCAAAGAGGAAGGAAAGCTTCCAAATTCATTCTTTGAGGTCAGCATTACCCTGATACCAAAACCAGATAAAGACACTACAAAAAAGAGAACTATAGGCCAATATCTCTGATGAACATCAAGATACCTACCCATAGATGCAAAAATCCTCAACAATATATTAGCAAACTGAACCCAACAATACATTAAAAAAAATCATTCACCACTATTGAATGACATTTATTCCCAGGATGCAAAGGTGGTTCAATATTTACAAATCAATCAATGTGACACATCACATCAGTAAGAGAAAGGATAAGAACCATATGATCATTTCAATAGATGCAGAAAAAGCATTTGACAAAGTACAACATCCATTCATGATAAAAACCCTCAACAAAGTAGGTTTAGAGGGCACATGCCTCAACAAAATAAAGGCTGTATGTAAAAAACCCACAGCTACCATCATACTCAATGGTGAAAAGCTGAGAGCTTTTCCCCTAAAGTAAGGAACAAGACAAGAATGTCCACTCTCACTGTTTTATTCAACATAGTACTGCAAGTCTTACCCATAGCAATCAGAAAAGAAAAAGAAATAAAACTCATCTAAACTGGTAAGGAAGAAGTAAAACTTTCACTCTTTGACATGATATTATATAAAGAAAACTCTAAAGACCACCAAAAAAAAAAAATACTAGAACTGATAAATGAATTCAGTAAGGTTGCAGGATATGAGATCAATGTATAGAAATCCATTGCATCTCTATATACTAATAATGAAGCAGCAGAAATAAATTAAGAAAGCAATCTCATTTCCAATTGCACCACAAATAATAAAGTACCTAGGAATAAATCAAGGAGGTGAAAGATCTGTACTCTGAAAACTATAAAACCTTTATGAAAGAAATTAGATATCCCATGCTCATAGGTTGTAAAAACAAATATTGTTAAAAGTGTCCATACTACCCAAAGTAATCTACAGATTTAATGTAATCCCTATCAAAATACCAACAGCATTTTTCACAGAACTAGAACAAACAATCCTAATATGTGTATGGACCCACAAAAGACCGTGGATAGCCAAAGCAATCTTTTATTTTATTTTATTTTATTATGTTATGCTAATCACCACACGTTACATCATTAGTTTTTGATGTAGTGTTCCATGATTCATTGTTTGCATATAACACCCAGTGCTCCATTCAATACGTGCCTTCTTTCATACCCATCACCAGGCTAATATAGCCAAAGCAATCTTTAAAAAAAAACAAAGTTGTAGGTATCACAATTCCAGATTTCACATTATATTACAAAGCTATAGTAATCAAAACAGCATGGCACAAAAATAGAAACAAATCAGGGGCACCTGGGTGGCTCAGTAGTTAAGCACCTGCCTTCGGCTCAGGTCATGATCTCAGAGTTCTGGGATTGAGCCCCACATCAGGCTCCCTACTCAGCAGGAAGCCTGCTTCTCCCTCTCCCACTCCCCCTACTTGTGTTCCCTCTCTCACTGTGTCTCTCTGTCAAATAAATAAATAAAATCTTTTTAAAAAGAAAAGAAAAGAAACATAAATCAATGGAACATAAATCAATGGAATAGAAATCCAGAAATAAACCACAATTATATGGCCAATTAATCTTTGACAAAGGAGACAAGAGTATACAATGGGAAAAAGACCATCTCTTCAACAAAAGATGTTGGGAAAACAGGGCAGTTACATGCAAAGAAGTGAAAGTGGACTACTTTTTTACACCATACACAAAAATAAACTCAAAATGGATTAAGGACCTAAATGGGAGACCTGAAACTATAAAAATCTTAGAATAGGGGTGCCTGGCTGGCTTAGTCAGTAGAGCATGTGACTCTCGATCTTGGGACCATGAGCTCAAGCCCCACATTGTGCATAGAGCTTACCTAAAAAATATATGAATAAAAAAATGAAAATCCTGGAACAGAGAACAGATGGTAGTTTCTCTGACATCAACCATAACAACATTCTTCTAATTATGTCTCCTGAGACAAGGGAAACAAAAACAAAAATAAACTATTGGGACTATATCAAAATAAAAAGCTTCTGCACAACAGAGGAAACAATCAACAAAACTAAAAGATAACCTATTGAATGGGAGAAGATATTAACAAATGACATATTTGATAAAAGGTTAGTATCCAAAATATATAAAGAACTTATACAACTCAACACCAAAAAATAATGATAACAATCCAATTAAAAAATGGGCAGATTGGGCGCCTGGGTGGCTCAGATGGTTAAGCGTCTGCCTTCGGCTCAGGTCATGATCCCAGGGTCCTGGGATCGAGTCCCGCATCGGGCTCCCTACTTGGCAGGGAGCCTGCTTCTCCCTCTGCCTCTCTCTCTCTCTGTCTCTTATGAATAAATAAATAAAATCTTTAAAAAAAAAATGGGCAGAAGACATAAACAGACATTTCTCCAAGAAGAATACAAATGGCCAACAAACACATGAAAGGATGCTCATCATCACTTATTATCAGGGAAACGCAAATCAAAACCACAATAAGATATCACCTCACACCCATCAGAATGACTAAAATCAAAAACTCAAGAAACAAGTGTTGGCAAGGATGTGGAGGAAAAGGAACCCTCATGCACTATTGATAGAAATATAAACTGGTGCAGCTACTGTGGAAGACAGAATGGAGGTGTCTCAAAAAATTAAGACTAGAACTACCCAAGATCCAGTAATCACACTAGTGGGTATTTACCCAAAGAATTTGAAAACAGTAATTTGAAGGGATATATGCACCCCTATGTTTACTACAGCATTATTTACAATAGCCAAATTATGGAAGCAGCCCAAGTGTCCATCAATAGATGAATGGATAAAGAAAATGTGGTGTGTATATACATATATATATACACACCACATATTTATATATATATATATATATATATATATATATATATATATATATAATGGAATATTATTCTGCCATAAAAAAGAATGAAATCTTGCCATTTGCAACAACATGGATGGATCTAGAGAGTATAATGCTAAGTGAAATAAGTCAGAGAAAGACAAATACCATATGATTTCACTCATATATGGAATTTAAGAAACAAAACAAATGAACAAAGAAAAAAGACAAACCAAAAACAGACTCTTAACTATAGAGAATAAACAGATGGACACCAAAGGGAAGGGGGTGGGGGGATGGGTGAAATAGGATAGGTGAAGAGAATTAGGAGTACACTTATCTTGATGAGCACTGGAGTAATATATGAAATTATTGAATCACTATATTGTACACCTGAAATTAATATAACACTGTGCATTAACTACACTGGAATTAAAATTTAAAAAGAATAGTGTTAGATGACATACACTGTCTGACTTGAAGCCTTATTATAAATGTATTATAATCAACACCAAATGGTACTAGTTTAAGATAATATAGAATAGTGGAACAGGGAAGAGAATCCAGAAATAGATTCATATATTGTGTATATATGATATTGATATTAATAGTAATATTATTAATAATATTAATATAATAATTAATTAATTAATATTATGATAATAATCAGTAATAGTATTTTCAACAAATGATCCTGAAAATCCCAAATATCTATATGGAAGCTATGAGCCTCGGCCCCATACATTGTGCACAAAAATTGACTTGGAATGATGATAGACTTAAACATAAAAATTAGAGCTATAGGGGCGCCTGGGTGGCTCAGTCGTTAAGCGGCTGCCTTCGGCTCAGGTCATGATCCCAGGGTCCTGGGATCGAGCCCCGCATCGGGCTCCCTGCTCAGCGGAAAGCCTGCTTCTCCTTCTCCCTCTGTCTGCTGCTCTGCCTACTTGTGCTCTCTCTCTCTCTGTGTTAAACAAATAAATAAAAATCTTTAAAAAAAAAAATTAGAACTATAAAAATTCTAAACGGAAACACAGATCTTGAGATAAGCAAAGATTTCTAAGCCAGGACACAAAAAGCACTAACCATAAAAGGAAATATTGATAAATTGAATGTCACTAAAATTAAAATCTTCTGCTTTTTAAAAAGACACCACAAAGAACATGGAAAAAGCAAGCCACAGACAATGGAAACGTATCACAATATCTTTATCTGAAAAATTACTTGACAATGGAACCTATAAAGAATTCTTACAACTCAAAAATAAGAAGACAAAACACCAAGTTAAAAATCGGGCAAAGGATTTGAACAAACATTTCACAAAAGAATATACAAATGGCCAATAAGCACATGAAGAAGGTGCCTGATATCATTAGCTCTCAGAGAAATGCAGATTAAAATCATGATGAGATATCACCACACACCTACTACATTGGCTAAAAATAAAAATAATGAGTAGCAGATACTGGCAAGGATGTGAAGCAGCTGAAATCTCCATCATGGCTGATGCGAGGGTAAAATGTTACAACCCTTCTAACAGCAGACTGGCAATTTTCTTATAAAGTTAAACACACAATTACCATATTACCCAGCAATCTCACTCATACATACTTACCCATGAGAAATAAAAACCAACATACACAGCATCTTGTATATTCGTAGCAGCTTATTCCTCATAGCCAGTGGTCTGCTCATTGTTAGCACTGGCATTTATTGTTATCTAAAAAGTTTGCTCACCTAAAATTATGTATTTTTAGAAATATTTATATCTTTAGTTTAAAAGTTTCAATTATTTTTGATATGTTTCTTCTACTTTTGCAGAATCTGTAAGAATAATAATGTCTCATTGGAGCATGTGACCTTTTAATATTTAATTTATGATAAGATCACACAAATATTTACTAGTATACACATCTTATTAGGTGTCCAGGCAACAACATGAATCTTACAGAATTTAAATTCTTAGCTTTAATGTTATATGTAAATGAGAAAACCTTTTATCCTTAAACTATAGGTGTGCAGAATGAAATATTAAATTTATATCCTCCATTTTTCAGACATGTTTTATTCCTAAAAATCACTTGTATGAAGCTTTTAAACAATGTTGTCCTCACATTGAGTATAAAATGTGGCTAAAACTTGGACTTTCTATTACTGCCAAAAAAATGAGGGAACATTTATCTTATGAGGTAAGAGGTGTTTATATATAAACTCATCCTTCTCTCTGAATGGAATTGTATTAAAGTACTGTTATCAATTAACTATTTAGGGATTGATATTAAACTTTATAAACAGTAGACTATGAAATTGTTTTCCTTATAGGATTGGAACTACAAGATGCAGTTAAAACTCTGTAATGTTTGTGTAAAAGATATACCAAAGAACACCAAAACTGATATCTATGATGAAACTGTGATCTATGTCATCCTTATCCATGGAGCTATAGAAGATTGTCAGTTACGAAAAGTTTATAAGGCACCTTCCTTAATTCCTATAACGTGCTATCAGGTATAGAAATGTTGATTCATGCCTTCCAGTCAATATGCCATATACCCAGACAATGTATGAACATTAGAAAAATTGTCACTTTTCCACCTTCCCACTCCATAAGCACACACACCACATACACCCAAGTCACTGATTGTTTTGGCTCTAAGTAGTCCAAATACCAAGATATTCCTGTTCAATGTCAATGAAGCAGACCGAGCTGTACATTTTGGCCTTAGTTAGATTTTGGTGCAATTATAAATAGCAACAGAGGGCATGTAAGTTCATTTACACATTGCAGAAGGACCACTCTCCCTGGACTGTATCAACAGTACTCTAGAAAAGTTCTGCCAGACCCATGCTGAACTGAGTATCAGGGGAATTTGCTCAGCTACTCTGAAAGTGAATGTAAGATGAAAGACTTCCCATGTTTAAGCTGTTGAGTTTTCCTGGCAATCAAAATGAGAAGCTGTGCATATGAAGAAAGAAAGAAAGAAGGCAGACTGTGTGTGTGCACGTGTGTGTGTGTTGGGGTAGAGAAAGAGAGGCACATGTCAGGAGGAATCAGGGGACATACAAAATATAGCTACAAAAAGTAAATTGAAAGAGGGACCTAGAGTCAATTAAATTAGGCATATATTTTTAAAGCAATGAATACATGGCAGAAACCGTGCTAGACGCTAAAGTGATCAAGACAAATGAGATTTGCAATTACCCTCAAAAGATGTCTCAACCAAGTGAAAAGAAACATACATATGTTAATGAAACATGTACAGCTATGACAGAAGTACTTAAGAGGTAGATTTGGGACAGGAGAAAAACATGAGGTGGGGATAAGAGGAATCCCAAGATGAGAAAGGGTCATAAGAAAAATTTTCTGAACAGATGCCACTGACAAGAAGTAAGACATTACACTTAACTCTGGTGCTCCCTACCTCTATCCTTGAATACATAATAACAGAGCTCTACTGTGGGTGCTGATTGGGAAGTTAGATGCCCAAGCAAGAGATTCTCAAGGCAACTTAAAACCTACCCAACTCTGTCTACTCTCACAGGCAGAAAGCCCTGCTTACTGTAGATTTGGGTACCAATGTGATTCAAAGCATATCGAAAACAACCACATGTTGAAGGATTTCTTGAAGTCTACTGTTTTTTAAACTTTCTTTTGCCACATAGATAATCTCTCTGGGTGATATTTTAAAGGATCATTAATGATGAACTCTTAGTCGTTTTTCTCATTTGTAAGAGAAATGAGCAAAACATTTAAAAATCAATGAAAGTATATGGAATGTTGACTTTCAAAAAACCAACGTATTCAGGTATTTTAAGATATCTATCTAATAGAGACATGTTTACTTTTCATGTAAATTTAGATATTTACATGATATTTAGAGAGGTCCTGAGATAGTAGCTTACCAGAGAAACATTTATTGTATGATATGTACTCAGAAATTAACTTACATTCTGTCAAACTTCAGGTACAAGGCACTGAAGATTTTACAAAGGTAATGATTGTTCAACCTTTGGTTGATGTGAAAAACTTCAGATGGAACACTAGAAAGTATGTACCTTCGCGTAAAGCATCTCTTCCAGTATCATGTGAGTTAGAGTTCTTTGAGTAATTGAGACCTAAATTTCCATTTATAAAATTTTATATATTTATAAAATAGCCATATATATATATTTGGAAACTATTGAATGCATTCTACCTAGAGTATTGGAAAAGCATTTTAATTGCCATATTTGATATCTGATGGGGAATCCAGATTGAGAATATCCATGTTGTAAGTAGGAATTATTCTATATTTCATCTATAAGAATAAACATAGATAATTATCAAAATACCATGGAAAAATTGTTAATGAGGGAATTTTTATTTTTTGAGATTTTATTTATTTATTTTAGAGAGAGCACAGGGGCTGGGATAGGCAGAGGGGTAGGGGGAGAGGGAAAAAGAGAGAATCTCAAACAGACTCCCCACTGAGGGCAGAGCCCAACTTGGGGCTCGATCTTACAACCCTGAGATCATGACCTGAGCCAAAACAAAGATTTGGAGGTTCAATTGAGCAACCCAGGTGTCCCAATGAGACAATTTTTAGCTCTTCCCCCAAATTAACATATTTTATGTAGCCATAATAATGGAAATACTGTTGTACTATCTGACTGTTCCAATTACCCACAGGCCTGGCTTTCATTCTCAACACGCCTTAACATAAATGTATTCGAGATGATGGGACAATAGATTATTTTTTCTCTCTTTCCAAACTTCCTGCACATTTGTTACATAATCTTTATAATAAAAGACTTTTAAACCTTTTTTCTAAATGTGACCCTTCTTCCCACCAATTGAAATTACCACCAATTTCAGATCATAGGCCCTGAGTGTGAATGATTTGAACCTGGCCTAATGTGACAGTTGAACTAATAGAAACAGAGCTTTGTTCCAATGCTTGAACTAACACAGTCTTTCTTGAACCAGCTGCAAGCAGACTCTATAAAGAAGACCTTCAATTTGACACAAATATTGAGGTAAATTTAAAGCAGTCTTTTTAAAAGTTTTATTTTGGAGAAAAGAGAGTCTGGAATGTACGGAAATTATCAATGTGCTTCTCTTAATCTGAAGGAGTTTACCTGCTAATCATTTTGTAGATATTGATATGAACACTGTCTCTTAGTCCAGGGTATAGTGGAAATTGCATTTATATTTTTAGGTAAATATTGATAAATGACAAAGAAAAACAAAGTTCAGAAGATACCAGGATATTTATTTTTAATCACATGAGCCACCACGCACTACTGGGGTGGCTGGCTAGGGTTGTCATGTACATGAGCCCCTCCCACTTCTCTGCCTTGGGCGGAAATTTGGACTGGTCTGAAGCCTTCACTGCTACCTCAACTACACATCTGGGATCTTCCAACCTGGAGGCAGTTCGCTCAGTTATTCACAATGCCTGTCACAAAGCAGGAGCTCAATAATGAATGTACTGATCTACTCTGCTCCAGGTTAACCTAAGTTATCCAGAAAATCTCATAAATATTGGTTAATTTCATAGTCCCCTCTGAACTTGGATACGTCACTTAGGGATCTTGGGATCTTCAAAACCCTGGGCCAACTTGGCAACAGTATGAAACACTACAGGGCCCTGGAAATGAAAGTAGGGCACAGAGAAATAGGATGGAAGTACCTCACTACATCTACACCAGCTTGCTTGTAGACTGAATCCTGGGGAGTTCCAGATGAGGTGGAGAATTTATTTTTAAATCTAGTTTGTGCCGAGCTGGTCGTATTACTCCAGGAGGTGCTGATTATAATACCCACAATCTGAGTGATGTCTGCTACAAATACACAAGCCAGAAAATTGTGTCCTTTGTTGTTAAAAATATGTTTTACATCAAGTCCATTTGCTCTATCAGCACTAGATATAAAACTCTGAGAACACACGTTCCTTCTCCCCTGAATCTCTCAACAAGCGTATGTTGCAAGAAAGGTAATTACAGGTTCTGGTGGGGGAAGTTGAAGGTGTCTCTCTCATGTCTGTCCAGTCTTCCCGAGGCCAACACTTTTCTTTAATACCCACTTCCCATCCAGCATAAAGGCAAGAAATTCACCCCCTCCCTAAACATTTTGGAGACTTTCTGGGGATGTTTTTCCTCAACCTTCCCTGGTTGTTCCTTGTTGCCTAGAACTACTGACTCAATGACATAGGGGCTGAGAGTATGGGCTCTGGCATGGGACTCCTGGTTTGCTTCCTGGTTCCATCACTTCTTAGCCATGTGAGCTTGGACAGATTTCGTAACCTATTTAAGCATAATTTTCTACATCTACAAAACTGAGACAGTAATCATATGGACCCCGTATAGTGCTGCCGTGCAGATTAAAGAAATGAAAAGTACACTGCTTAGTGTTTGGCACATAACGAACCATCTGTACACATAATTTCTATTATTCTCTTCTAACCCCTTCTTCACATTGTAAACTACTTCTCCAAACTTCTCGTGCTCCCCAGATACTAATTTTGTAAAAAATATGGATATAGGTACCTCCTCTAATTATCCCAAACACAGTTGCTGCTGAAGACTAGGAAGTAACAAAGGGAAATTACAATTTAAAAAATGAAGAAGATGAGGAGAAAACTTAAGATAAAATATTAGATGGCTTCTAGGGGCCACTGGGTAGCCTATCTTCCCCCTTAGCCTGGACGGGCTGCCAAGCTTGTAGCAGTCAGCTTAATAGCATATTTTGAAGAATGAGGAAGCAGGGAAGCTAATGCTCTCCCTGTACATATTCCCTGAAGTGCTGCTTTTTCATAATTTAAAAAAACCTGATTGCATGAGGTCGTTAATATAGAGAAAGTACTGTGGAAGCGAGAGACATTTCATTAAATGGTAGGAACATCAGCTACTGAGTCTTATAAAGACAATTGTCAAATTGTGTTATTTAGTAAATGCTTTTTCTCCTTGATGTTAGATCCTGGCTATGTTTCTGGGCCAGCTCCCTTCATGCTCCCCCAACCCCTCCTCCCGCCACCACCCCAGAACTGTGGCTTTACCTTCACGTAGTACAAAGGCCCATTGCAGCACCCAGCAGCTCTTTACAAAGTGTTTTGGTTCCCAGGATGGGAGCACACAGTGCTGCCATTGCTAGAAGTCCTAGTCCTCAGTTCCTTGCTCCATAGACCAGGTTTGACACCTGCCCTGCTTTATAAATCTAATCTTTATTAACAGTCTCAGAATTTGACCCCTATCTCCTATCTCAATTTCTAGATTCTAGATACTCAGAATTTGACCCCTATCTCCTATCTCAATTTCTAGATCAAGGAAGAAATGGACATCTATACGGTTGCCTAAATAAGACTCAGTGAAAATCTGGTAAGCTGCCTCAGTTTTCCTCAGCACGATCTGGATCACACCTGTCCCTGGAGATACAGGCTGAAGCCAGAAGTTCATGTGCCCCTTGGTGTGACAGTATGAATTATGCCCCTTTCCTTTAGTCATTATTTGTGATATGATCACTTTCCACTAGCCTGTTGATTCCTCTAATGATACTATTTCTAAATTCTAATTTGGAAAATTAACTCTAAAATAAGATTCCTTTACCTAGATTTCTGAAATAGACTCATGGCTTCCCTCTCTATTCTGCTACTTAATCTCACATGCAGCACGGGCATTTTTCAGGCTGCCACGTACTATGGAAGATATAAACAAGTAACAAAGATATAAACATGTAATAAACAATGACTTCAATTTTCAAGAGTTTCTGTTCTAGGTGAGGAGGCAAAACCAATCAGAAGGCAGTTGAATAGCCGTTCGAGATACACTGTGGATAGTACCAAATGAAGCTCAAGGAATTCAAAACAGAAACAAGTGCAGGTCAACATAAACTCTTTGTGGAGAAGGAAGAGGACGCTTGGAATAGGGACACAAGAGACCAAGACTTTTAGGGCAAAATGAGTAGACCAGTGTGGCCTTTGGTTGCTCAAAATGTAGCATCAATGGGGAAGTGTGTGTGTGTGTGTGTGTGTGTGTGCTTTATATGACTCTGAGTTACATAAAGCATATCACTGGGTTAAAAAATGACCTTCCAATAAATCTTTGTGTCTCCATTTAAAAAATGTTAACTCTTGCATGCTACTTCCTATGACGAAGACCGTATTTAAAAATAGATTCAAAGGGTAACAATAAGCTATGAAAAATTATTTTTAAGAATTACTTGTAATACAATCAAAATCTTCACGGGAGAAAAAAATGTATACAAAATGATAAGGAAAACACTATGACTCCAATAGGCAAATTTAAGAACAGCCAATTCAGGAAAAAGACGATAACCAGAATAGGGGGGGAAGATAAGAAGTGCCAAGTTAAACAACAATGAAGTATTAACATTGACTTTTTAAAATTAACAATTTTTATTCCATGGTAACATCTATTTTCTTTGAAATAGATGAAAATAGAGTGATACTTGTTTTCTTATATTTTGCTGGTAGATGATTAAATGGAATTTGAAACAAAAGTCATAAAAATGCTCATATACTTTGACTCCATGAATTTGCTTCTGGGAATCGATCCAAAAAGAGTAATCCAAAGTAGTAAAGTAGACATATGTACAAACTGTCCTGTGCACCACTATTTCTAATGGCAAAACATTAAAAAGAGTCCCAGTGTCCAATAGTAAGAAAGTATATAATTTCACTACTGACCATCCGTTAGAGGAAATATCATACAACCTTTAAAAAGATTGGGCATATAGTCCTATGTAAAATATAAAAAGGAAGGCAAACCTATACATACAACTTTCTTAACATGAAAAGAGGTCAGGGGTGCCTGGGCGGCTCAGTCAGTTAAGCGTCTGCCTTCAGCTCAGGTCATGATCCCAGGGTCCTGGGATCAAGCCCCGCGTTGGGCTCCCTGCTCAGTGGGGAGCCTGCTTCTCCTCCCTCTGCCTCTCTCCCTGCTTGTGCTCTCTCCCTCTCTCTCAAATAAATAAATAAAAACTTAAAAAACAACGAAAAAGGGGCACCTGGGTGGCTCAGTTGGTTAAGCGACTGCCTTCGGCTCAGGTCATGATCCTGGAGTCCCTGGATCGAGTCCCGCATCGGGCTCCCTGCTCGGCAGGGGATCTGCTTCTCCCTCTGACCCTCCCCCCTCTCATTTGCTCTCTCTCTCTCATTCTCTCTCTCAAATAAATAAATAAAATCTTTAAAAAAAAAAAAAAAAGAGGCCAGAAAAGATAAACCCAAATGATTCAACCAGGTGTTAGAAAGGTGAGAGTAGGGACAGGTGTGTTTACCTCTTATCTTCCGTGGTTTTATTGCTCTTGTAATGAAAAACATGACTGTAAAACTCCTAAGCATTATTCAAATATAAATAGTCTGGAACTTGTCTGTTCCTTTCTGCTCCCCTTTACACTCAGCCATCCCCATGCGGTGAAAAGGAGTGGTAGCAGCCAGAGCTGAGATCCCATCTGGGTTTCCCACAGTGGAACGTGCTCCTCCTAATAGGCCATAAACCACCCCTGTCCCGTTCAGCGGGCCCCAGGGGCTTCCCAGACTCGGACCCGTGGTTTAAATCATGCCACCACCACTTTGGGAAAGATGACTGACTCACACTCACTCACCCACTCGGCGCCCTTCCTCTGCCTCAGCAATAATGACCAGGAGGTATTTCCTGAAAACTGACCGTCTAGTACATCCTGCTCAGGGTTACAAGTCTCAGGCGCTTTTGCATTTGTTTTTCTTCCCCCCCCTACTTTTCTATTAGGACTGGTGGACGACACTGTTTTGAAGACTGGCGCACGTATGGGCACTGCTGCCAAGAGTCGCCTCCTGTTTTTGAAATACATTTCCCTGCATCAAAGGGAAGCGACATCGAGCTGGATCCCGTAAGGATGGTCCTGGTGCCACAAGGAAAGCTGTCTGGACCTTGCAACCATTCCACCTAAAATATATTTCTTGGAACATTTTCTTGATTTAAAATCTCTTTTATGGTAAATATCCAAAACATCTCAGAAAAATCATAGAGGAAGTTTTCATTTTAGAGCCAGAAAATAAGCTTGGGCCACCTAGGATAGTTTGCATAGATTTACTAGAACACAAATGATTTGATTCACTTTATGAAAAATAAAATGCTATTAAAATGTAGTTCAAATGTTGGTCTTAAATCAAGTATTGATTTTTGTCACTCATTGCACTTCACCCATCTTGGAACCACTCAGTGAATAAAATAGTAAAGAATGGAAACTGATTTACACTTAAACAGTGTAACTCAGTCCTAAATGAAACTTCCAGTGTCCATCCATTTTGTTCATCATCTCATTACAACAATGAGCCCAATGCCTGGCACATCATTTTTTTTTTTTTTTTTGAGAGAGAGACAGAGAGTGAAAGAGAGAGAGAGAGAGAGAGCTGGAGGGGGGGGCAGGGAGAGAGAGAGAGAGAGAATCCCAAGCAGGCTCCACACTCAGCATGGAGCCCAACATGGGGCTTGATCTCACAACCCTGAGATTATGACCTGAGCCAAAATGAAAAGTCAGATGCTCAACCAACTGGGGCACATCATTTTTTAAAATAGTCTTAACCAGGGGCACCTGGGTGGCTCAGTCGGTTAAGCATCCAACTCTTGATTTCGGCTCAGGTCATGATCTCATGGTTATGGGATCAAGCCCTGCATTGGGCTCCATGCTCAGCAGGGAGTCTGCTTAAGATTTTTCTACTCTCTCTCTCCCTCTGCCCCTTCCCCTGCTCTCTCTCTCTCTCTCTCTTTCTCTCTCAAATAAATAGATAAATATTTTTTAAAAAACAGTCTTAACCAGTTAAGAGTTATTGCATGCTTTCCGTATGCACGCTTTCCATAGTGTCTAACAAACACTATGCACTTACGGACTGACTTAATGTTCACAAGCATATAAGGCAGGTATTATTATTTCCAATTTACAAATGTGTAAACTGAAAGACTGTGAATAATTTGCCAAATATCTCACAACTAGTAATAGGCAGAACAGAGATTTGGAAACAAGCCTGTGATTAGCTATTATACCATATGTCTCTCCAGTATGGTAAGTCCTAAATAAATATCTGAAAAATTAATAAAAATTTAAATATATGTCTTCAGGACCATGCTTCCACCTGGGGGTTGGAAATCTGAATATTAAATTTTGTCTTCTACGAGTAGTGGTAGGCACATTTTCAGAAGCCAGGTATAGAGACTCCATTCACAAAAGGTCCTTGCGGAGAAAACAATTTGGTTTGTTTATGTTGGGAAAGTCAAATCAAACTACCATCACCTCTCTCCAAAACTGAACTCAACCAGTTTTTATTCTAATGATAATTGACTAGCAGCTGTTTTAGTGTTTGAGGGAACCCCATTAACGAGTACCCTTTTTCTCCTGAGTGCCAATGAAAATTAAAACAAAGGTTTGAGGCAGTTAGAGACTAAACCACCCACACACCCCCACACACACCCACTCATGCACACGCCTTTATTAGTAACTGAACTGACATAAAGAACTTGGTTGCCTTCTGACCCCCAGAATTGGATGTATTGACCATTGTAGGCATTTATCATTAAGTTTACTGCATAGCTGAGAACAATAAACAATGCAAGATTTGTAAAGTCAAATTCAGTCTTAAAAGAAATCAGGAAGAAAGGGGTGACAAAGAATGCCCAGATTTTGCTTCCAAATTCATCAATAAGCCACTCCACCTCGGCAGAATGAATGAGTTGGTGACAAGCCATGAGTGTTGGGGTAATGGAGAGTAAAGCCCTCAATCCCGAACAAGACACCAGGTGGAGAAGAAGTTCTCCACCAGTAGCTTGTCACTGACGGCAAGCACAGTAGGCACCAGACGCTCTTCCGAGTGTTTTGCCCTCAGTAGCTCAGGCAATTGTCACAGGAACTTTAGGAAGTGGGTACTATCACTGCCTCATTTTACAGAGGAAATAATGGGATTTAGGGAATTCAGGTAAATTACTCGAAATCACAGCTAGATGTAATGACATCGGTTTTCAAATCCTTTAAGCACATTCAGTATAATTTGTGAAGTAAATTCCCCAGACTTCGTTTTGGAAATCTAAAGCACCGGAGAAGAGGATACACTGCACAAATATTAGTCATGGTCAATTTTTGGCCAGGTTTGTGTTCTGGAGTGTAATCATTTTCACATGGGGAAAGAACCCTGAACAAGGTATTGAGATATGAAGTAAGTCCAGCGCCAGGCATGGTATATACCCACCCATCAGCAGGATCTGGGTGATTGTTGCCCAGGACTCTTCATCTGAATCTTAATCATCTGAAATAATGTAATGCGCTGACTTTGACCTGAGGAGGACGCTTAGAGCTCACTTACACTTGACTCTACAGCGGAAACCCCTTTATTTGCTTACAAAGCCCAGAATGTCTGCTTTTAAAATTTGTAGATAAAAGGCTTTCCTTGATCCTTTAATTCTTGAATTTCTTTTTAATTTAGCTTTTAACTTTTATGGTGCTTAAGCCCAGTTTGTAATTTTCCCCCCAGATTCTTAATCATGTATGTTCTATGTTAATCTCACTAATGAGAAACCAGAAACATTGCAAATGAAGGAATATTCTTCCCAAGGGTCATTCGTGGCTCAAACAGTGACAGGGAAGTGCTATACTCTCCACCTGCCATTAGATTTGTAAGAGCCCTCTCAGTGAGCTGAGCAAATCCCCATTTTGTTGCCAAATAGTCCTCTTACCATTAAAAATAACCCTCTGTGTTGTTATGATTCCTGGAAAGTCAGCAGAGCTATATGTGAATATCCCTCCACCAGAAAGCAAAATCCCAGGCCCAAAGTTCAGTTAGGGAGGTACTGAAACTCTGCTATTACCTCCTGTTTCAAACCAAGTACACATTAGTGAGGAATATCAGCAATGAATAGCCAGAGTTTCAAACACATAACTAACTCTCTGCACCACAAAGTAAACAGTTGGAAAATTACCCTCAGGAATACCACTCAATAATATCACTCCATGAAGTCTTTACCCTCTCCGTAAGCCCTTTGAGAAGGAAGCAGAATAGGGAAAACTTAGCTAAGCTATTAGATTCCTGACTCTACAAGAACTCTTAAATAAACCAGTTCTTTTCCTACCATAAAATGATCCATAAGGATTTTCCTTTCGCATAAATATCTCTCCCAGCTCCCTTCGCTAGCCACAAGAGTCTACAAAGGAGTAAGCTAGAGCCACATTTATCCCATCCAGTTCTTTGAGACCGAAGAAGCTCGAAGAATCACTCTTATCTGAAAGCCCTCTAACCTGCCTTAGCAGCTGAAGCCAGCCAGGTGTTTGAAAAGCCACATAAGAATTGGGAAGCATAACACACTCCAAACATGAAAGTATGTTTCAGTCTTTCCAGACATATTGGAGTGTTACAGACCAGAGTTCAAAGCTAAGTTCATCTTTCCACAAATACTTACTGAATAGGGCAATGAACAGACAGAAAGTGTCCACACTTCTTTTGAACTCAGATTCTAGCTCTCTTTCTTATTAAGGGGTGTCCTTGAGCAAGTCACTTGGCTTGTATGAGGTTGGGTGTCCTCATCTCTAAAATAGAGGAAATAGTCTTTATCCCATAGAATTCTTGCATGAGGGATGCCTGGGTGTCTCAGCCGGTCAAGCGTCTGCCTTTGGCTCAGGTCATGATCCCAGAGTCCTGGGATTGAACCCCACATCAGGCTCCCTGCTCAGCGGGGAGTCTGCTTCTCCCTCTGCCTGCCTGTATCTCTCTCTCTCTCTCTGACAAATAAATAAAATCTTAAAAAAAAAAAAGAATTCTTGCATGAACAAATGAGAAATTATATCTAAAACATTTAAACAGTGCATGGATTATAGGAAGTTCTCAACAAATAGTTATTTTGATATTAGCCTATGATCTTGAGATACAGGAAAACAGTGTTTGCATTTGTCATCAAGTGTCTGCAGTAATGCCAAAGGACAGGAAAGTAAATTTGAAGATTTCAACTCAAACTTCCACTGATTTCACCATCATCTGTTTACAAAGATCCAGGCTTCTATTTCCACTTCAATTCAATTCAATTTCTCATGTATTAGGCACTGGGGTCAGCACTGAGGAGGGTAAAAAGGTGGGTCTGATTAAAAAATGTGTTATTTTGGCTTCTTTTTGTGGGGATGAGTGCTGCTATACTTCCATTTGTGAAGTGGAGGTAGATTATTTAGTCCAGAGTCATTTTCACAGCAATAAATGTGTGTATTTTCTATCCATGTCCTGCTCTTCCCTGCTACATCACACAATCACAGGAAATTTTCATGATGGGTAGCTAACACTTCTACTCAGCTCAGCTTCTCCATCTAGTGGCCTGAGTAGAAGTGCAGCTTGAAGGTTAAGGAGTGATCCCCAGCAATGGCATATTGATTTCCAACCCTCACCCCTGAGGCACTGACCCTTCGGCTTTGCTCAACACTGGAACTAATTAAGCCACCCATGGGATAGTGTCCGGGCTGTTTGCTCAAACTGTTCCACCCAGAGTCTGGGATATCTTAATTCATACTGATGACGAGTCAGCAATAGTCCTACTCACTGGCTAAATGTCCTTGGCCATTTTGTTTTCTCCATAATACTGAAAAATTATGGTTCCCTTCTGCTGACCTCTAGGTAGGGTGAAAGGTACAGACGCCATTGAGGAGAGGGACTTTTAGATTGAATTGAAATTTTTTTTCGTTTTTTCCTGAAGGTAATGGGGAAGAGGAAGGTTAGTTATAACAATGTGTCAAGACTACTTCATTTTCTCTCTCTCTCTTTCTCTGTCTCTCTCTCTCTCACACACACACACACACCACTTTCTTCATACACAGAATGGCAGACCATTGGCTGTTACCCCAGATTTCTTACACACAGAAAAGAATGCTTTAGATAACTTCGAAGACATTCCCTAAAATGTATTGCAGTTGGTCAGCCTGGGAAAGAAAGTGGTTTTGACAGAGAAGAATGGGAGAAACAGATTAGTGCAGCCCTAGATTTCTTAGACCTGTATTCAGTGGACCCCCCCCCTAATTTTTTTTGTTAAGAATTTTCTTTCTTACTTCACTGCTTCACTTAATTTGCTGAGGAAAGGGTTTCCTGAATTTTAGATATTCCCCAGGTAAGAAAATCTGCCACCCTAACATCTTTCCTAGAGTTAATTACCCTAGGGATTAATGAAAACATTGGATGGTGGTACTGTTGGAGAAATATAATGAAAAAATCTCCTGCCATCCCAGAAAAATCTTTCCATAAAAGTAGAAGGAAAAAAAGTTTTATTATTTAATAAGCATTGAACCAGAATGCGCAGCAAGCCACAAGTGATTCACTACGGAGATTGTAAAGACCATGGAATTGTGTCCTTTTATATAACCAAGCAGATACAATCCATTGCATGCATTCTTTCAAGATAAAGTGACTAGTCCTCAAATAAGAGGATTTGACTGCACCACTTGCCACACACAACTCATCCTAAATTCATTTGGTAACATATTTGCTAACTGTCCTTAAAAGAGAACATTTCCTCTTTTTTCCATGGAAGTAGCTTGCAATTTGGAGTCCCCAGGCCAGCTGAATTTCTGCAGCTATTCCCCAGGGGTGGGGGGACTGGGAGGTTGGGCACGATCTTCCTTGGTGATTACATTTCAAAGAGAAAGCTCCCAGATCCTGAAGGAAACATTCCTGGGTTGCTTATTCAACCTTTACAAGATTTACTTACCCTTCAAAGGTAGAAAGAACTTACAAGTTCTCTAATGGAAAAGCTTTAAGAAAAGAGTGGAGAGAAAGTCCCCACCCTCATTTTCAGCAGAGAGAATTAAACTTCTTATCTTTTAAATTTGTATTTGCCCTTAAGAGTACTAAAATGTTAGAAATACTCATGTATTTTGCTTTGAGCCTCCAGTGCTCCTAGACTGGCTTTGCCCTCCTTTCCCTACAGTTCCTCCTCACGTCAGAATGTTTTCTCCTCCTCTGCAGGGACTGTTGTCTCTCGGCCGGTTGGTAGTGAAGCCCTCCTGGAAATGCTCCACATGGACAGACTGAAGCCTGGGGAGCAGCTAACAAGGGTGGCTGCAGACCTAGTACCCGCCCCATGCTGCTCCTCACTGCGGCAAGTGTGACCTCTGCATTACTCAAGGACAAGCAAGAAAGTAGCTTGCATTTTGTCTTACCTCATTTCAAGGAACCCCATGAGGGCAAGCCTCTATCTGCTTTGCTCCACGTTGAACCCGCAGTGCCCAGCGTATAGTAGGAGTTCAACATATACTTGTTAAAGAAATAAAGAAACGAATGAGTGATCAAACTGGAACCAGCCATTAAATATAAGAATAATACCAAAAATCCATGGTTCCCTGTCCCCAAGTTCATTTCTTTGTTTTTTTTTAACCTCTTTTTTTTCCACTGAGACATAATTTACATAGTAAAATGCACCCTTTTTGGTAGACAGCTATTTAGATTATGAGACACGCATGCAGTCATGTTGCCACCACCACAAGATACAAAAGAACAGAAAAATTCCCTCCTGCCCCTTGAAGGTCAATCCCTCCCCCACCCCCTGCTCCTGGCCACTGCTGATATATTTTCTGTCCCTACCATTTTGCCTTGGGCTGAATGTCATAAAAGGTAGGCTTTAAGTCTGGCTTCTTTCACTTTGCGTGATGCATTTGAGATTCATCTGTGTTGTTGCATGAATTTGTAGTCCACTCCTTTTTATTATCTGTCAGTCTTGGAGGGATGCAACAGTTTGTCTAGCTGGTCACCCCTTGAAAATCATTTGGGTTATTTCCAGGGTTTGAGGAGCAATTCTGAGTAAAGCAGCTATTGTCTGCAGGTTCCTAGAGATCTTATGTTTTATTTCACTTGGGACTGCTAAATTGTATGATGAGGCTACGCTTACCTTTACAAGAAACTACCATGCTGGTTTTCAAAGAGGCTGAACCAGTTTGCATTCCCATCGGCAATGCATGCAGCAAGCCCTGCATTCCCTCATCAGCACTTGGTATCATCAGTTTTTCTGTTGTTTTCAACGTTAGCCATTCTAATAGATGTAAATAAGACAACCAAAGACCCACAATGGCTTTACTTAGGCTAAGTCACCAAATGGGTGCTTAATACCTAACTAAGTGCAATTTCAATCTCCTCCAGAAATGTAAGTCTTAACTGGTGAGTAGGGAATTTTCTGATCAACATCAGTGATCCTCTTCATCCCGGAAAGGAAGAAGAGGTAATCCACCTAATAAGACCCCCTGTCCATCGTCCCTCTAAAGGAAAGTGACTCTGACTGGAACAATTCTTTCTTTTATTTTGCTAATAACTTTCCTGCCCCACCCTCCTATAAAAACCTTCCATTTTTGTACAACATCTCTCTACTTGCTGGATAGGATGCTGCCCAAGTCCTGAGTCTCTTATAAAGCCAATTAAGTGTTCAAAATCACTTGATTGACCTGTTTTTTGGCAAATGTGTATAAAGGTATTGCATTGTGGTTTGATTTACATTTCCCTAATGACTATGGTATTGGATATTTTTTCACGTATTTACCATCTATATATTTTCTCTGTTGAAATGTCTGTTCAAATATTTTGGCCATTTTGTTATTGGCTGTTTGTTTGCTTAGTGAGTTTTGAGAGTTCTTTATATATTCTGGATAAAATCTTTTTATCAGATATATGCTTTGTTAATAATTTCTATTGGTCATTGGGTTAACTTGTTTTAACCTTTTTTGGTTTTGTTTTGTTTTTTGTTTTTAAAGATTTTATTTATTTTTAATTATTTGACACAGACAGAGTGATAGTGAGAGAGAGCACAAGCAGGGGGAGCAGGAGAGGGAGAAGCAGGCTCTCTGATGAGCAAGCAGCCCGATGCAGGGCTCGATCCCAGGACCCTGGGATCATGACCTGAGCCAAAGGCAGCCGCTTAACCGACTGAGCCACCCAGGCGCCCCTAACCTTTTTTTGCTTTAAAACAAAATTCCCCCTCTGACTTTTCCAAGACTACGAAGTGGTTTTTATTAAAAAGTGGTATTTAGGAATCTGAAGTGAAAAACTCCATGGCCTGTCTGTAATTGCAGATGGGGCTTCCCCAGAAGCTCAACGCTCTCCTTGACCAATGGCTTCTGGTTAAGGCTAGTAGCCTGGTTCCCTCAGGAGTTGGGAAGGAAACATTTTCCTCTATTCTGGCTGTCCTAAGAATTAAATTGACATGAAACAAATTAACAGGAGAGAAACAAAAGCTCAATAACATGTCTGTCTCTTGTATGTAAGGGAGAGACTCAGGGAAACTAAGCAATTCCCCCAAAGGGCTGAAGCCATCCCCTTAAAAACCACCTTCAGTTAAAGACAAAAGATGTTGGGGATGGAGGGTCCGTGGTGGGAGGAAAAGGCACAGTAAACAAGGGTCGTGTTGTTATGCAGATTTAATTGCCTTCTGCATTAGTAAAAGTTTCTAGAGACTTAGAGCTCCCTCTTCCTGATACCCTTACACATGGAGATTTTCCTTGTCAATGCAAAAGTCTCTTACAGTAAGGTAATTTCTACTTGATTTTCAGAGCCTGTTTTGTATCTGAAGTTTCTTTAAAGTAACCAACTTAAAATAATATGCCAAAGAGGCACATCTCTGAGTGGCGAAATTTGCTCCCATTTACGGTCTCTGACATTTTAGGAAGTTGTGCATGCGTGCACCTCAGACTCTCCTCCCCCTGGGGTCCTCCTTCCGCCGCAGGGAGGTACTCTTCTCCTTTCAGCTCTCTGGCACTGGTGACCAGAGCAACACACAGTAAGTCAGGAGCTGCCCCCTTTAGAGCACCAGGCTGGCTGAGGGGAAGTCACCAGGAGAACTGAGAGAATGGGGAACTCTCTGCTGAGGGAAAACAGGTGAGTCCAGACTCCCCAGGGGAAAGCAGGGGATGTGGGACAGAGCCATCAAGAAAAAAAAGAGGTCTTTGGGCAAGGGGAGGGAACAGGGTAAAGAACTGAAAAAAAATTAAGTGCCTACTGATGGTCAGACACTAAGTTCAACTCCTTATAGGGCTGGCCTTCTCCCCAGAATCAGAGTGAGCAAGCAGCTGGTGGAGAACCCCCAAAAGGCAGAAGGACTTTATCAAGGGAGGTCAATGCAGTAAACCATGACTTCAAGAAATGGAACAATTTTCTGCGGGCTGGCAGGGGATGGGGCGGGAGGACAGTCTCCTGAGTTCTGAATGCCTGCAAGGAGCTCAAAGACACCACTACTCTTTTAATTACTATTTTATTTTATTTATTTTATTTTATTTATTTTTTTTTATTTTAAAGATTTTATTTATATATTTGAGAGAGAGAGAATGAGAGAGCACATGAGAGGGGGGAGGGTCAGAGGGAGAAGCAGGCTCCCCGCCGAGCAGGGAGCCCGATGCGGGACTCGATCCAGGGACTCCAGGATCATGACCTGAGCCCAAGGCAGTTGCTTAACCGACTGAGCCACCCAGGCGCCCGACTGCTTTGATGTTAATGAAGATGATGGTCCCCCAAATAATATCTTATTATTATTAAACCTTACTGTGTGTAAGGCACTGTGCTAGCATCACACGCACTAGAAACTTCCAAGGTAGGTATTGTATTATTATTTCCTCTTAAAATTAGGAAACTGAGGTCTAGAAAAAGTAAGCCAAATTCTTGACCGATTTTAATGACCTCTGCTTACCCATTGCAGGGAATGTGCACCAGGTGAGACCTCACTCCTGCCACTGGGAGCTTGCTATTTATTTTGAACTAAAATAGTAATTAAGGGGCGCCTGGGTGGCTCAGTTGGTTAAGCGACTGCCTTCGGCTCGGGTCATGATCCTGGAGTCCCGGGATCGAGTCCCGCATCGGGCTCCCTGCTCAGCAGGGAGTCTGCTTCTCCCTCTGACCTTCCTCCTTCTCATGCTCTCTCTATCTCTCATTCTCTCTCTCAAATAAATAAAAATCTTTAAAAAAAAAAATCAAAGCAGTCATTGTAAAAATTAGTACCACCCAAAACAAAGAGAATCCCTAGTGAGGTGGTCTAGGGAGAATGAACTCGCTGGGACAAGGAAAGGGGAGGATTTTTAAGGATTACGTTTGGCATCCCGAGTCTCAGTTCCTACCACTGGGAGCTAAGACACGGGACTCAAAATGCTACCTGCCAAAAAGAGGCTTGGTGAACCAATGGGATGTGTCCTGCCCCTCCCTGAAACCCAGTGTTTTCTGAAACTCCTCCCTGGTTCCTCAGGCCTTGAGCCATCTGCAGCTCGGCCATGTTATCAGCTTAAAAATCCCTATTCTCATATCTATGTGTGAGTTCCTCAAATGTAGAGACTGTTTCTTAGTCATGTTTGAATTCCTGTTTCTTAGCATTATTTCTGACAAATAGTAGGCACTCAAAAAGAGTTTGATGAATGATTGGAAACGTGAGGAAATCACTGTCTTGAGAAGAAAAATAAAACAAAATACAGATATAATGTGACTGAGAAAGTCATGATTGATGTGACATTTGTAGTTTTTTGGGTTTTTTTTTTTAGAATTTTGGTGTGAGGGTGAAGGATTAGGACTTTAATACATGTTAGTTGTAGAAACAGGGAAAAATACATGAACTATAAAGAAAATAAGATGGTAAATCACATTTATAACTGTTGACAACATTAGATACATCTTCCTTATTTTAATGTCTGTATTTACCAGTCATTTGTCTTTCTTTGTCTGTGAAGAGCCAGTAATGTCTTTTGCCTATTTTTTGTTTTGGATTTTGGTCTACTTTGTTTTACTGATAGTACAAGCTATTCTCAGTTTCAAGAAATCAGCACTTTCTCATATTACAAAAAATATTTTTTCTAGTCTGTATATCTTGTGCCCTGCAAACTTTTTATGTTTTGTTTACTGTTTCTTAAACCTAATTGAATTAACTCTAGAAAGCTCTTCGGTTTCTACCAATTTATGCTTAAAATTTTCCCCATCTTAAGATAAGACACATCCACAGTATCATTTTTTTGTTGTTTTATTGCTTTATATGTAGCCCCATATATTCACTATATGGTGTCAAATACGCAACACACACACACACCCCACCCATCCACACACACACACATATATATATATTTTTTTTTTTTTTTCAAAATAGTTGATCAGTTGGTTCAGCATCTTCATTTCCAAGCTGATTTAAAATGTTTCCCTTAGTATAATTTTCAAAGGCTTTTATTTCCTGGGATCTGATTTTCAACTTCACCCCTACCTCCCGTTTATCATCCAGTCAGCACAGCCCCACCATGGTTCTCCAGATCCGATTTGTTACAAAAGCCATGGAGACCCGCCCCCCTCCCCACACACACACACTGAGCAGTGTGTCACCTAGTCTTCTACAAGAGGAGCTCAGAGTCTTACTGATTGGTGGTCCTCGGACAAGTTACCTAACATTTTTGGCCTCAGTTTTCTCATTGGTAAAAAATAGAATCATAACATTTATCTCATGGATTTATTCTGAGATTAAATGAAATATAACATATAAAATGTATGTGTTATATACATTTAGTAAGTGGAGTGTGTGTGTGTGTGTGTGTGGAGAGAGAGAGAAGATGAGAGAAAGTAATAAGCATATAGTAAGTAGTACTTAAGTTTTTTTTTAAGATTTTATTTATTTATGGGCGCCTGGGTGGCTCAGTTGGTTAAGCGACTGCCTTCGGCTCAGGTCATCATCCTGGAGTCCCAGGATCGAGTCCCACATCGGGCTCCCTGCTCGGCAGGGAGTCTGCTTCTCCCTCTGACCCTCCCCCCTCTCATGCTCTCTCTCTCTCTCATTCTCTCTCTCAAATAAATAAATAAAATCTTTTTTTAAAAGATTTTATTTATTTATTTGAGAGAGAGACAGAGAGAGCGAGCACAAGTAGGCAGAGTGGAAGGCAGAGGGAGAGAGGAGAAGCAGGCTCCCCGCCCAGCAGAGAGCCTGATGCAGGGCTCAATCCCAGGACCCCAGGATCATGACTGAGCCAAAGGCAGACGTCCAACCAACTGAGCCACGCAGGCGCCCCAGTAGTAGTTAATTTTTAGTTTCTTTTTCTCTATACTCTGAAATCCCCACAAGTGAAAAAAAAATGGTTATACAGAAACCCAACCCGCACAAGGAACAGATTTATTTTCTTTCTTTAATCCTTTCTTCTCCTCTTATCCCATGTTCTCTGCCTTGGTGCTGTGAAAGCTGATGACTTACCTGGGACAGGCCAGTACCCTTCCCCATCCCCATGCACCATCCCGAAGACTGCGCCAAGCGGACAGGCCTCTCCATATGCTGATAGTCTCATGGTCATCATGAGCAATCCTGGCCGCATGGGAACAAATGATTTAGGACCGGTGGTGTGTGGAGTTTGTCAGAGAATGTCGGTGGGTGGGCTGTTGCCACGATAATGAGGAAGCGTCAGATAAAAGGTTGCCATGTATGTTAAAGAGAAGCTGTGAACAGATCTAAGGGGAACAGGCGGAAGCCGAGGTGATGCTGGGGTGACACACAAATGGCAGAAATGACAAAAGTTGGAAAAATTGGGAATCGAGGAGGGAAGCCCGGAAAGGAAGAACTTAGCTCATTCTTGATATGTTGGGTTTTAGGTGGCAGCAGGGCACTCAAGAAATACCCTGGACTCTGAAAAACCAAAGCTTCGAACAGAGAACATCCGGGTGAGAACAAATCCAACAAACCTTCTCCCAGCCTTTGCCCATGAAGAGTAAAGTCTGCTGCCTCTGTTCATTTAGCTCAAGTACCTTTGTGCTCAAGCTCCATCCTGACCATTCCATTTTAAACTCTTTAAGTTTCTATTGCTGAGGTGACTACCTCTCCCACATGATCGTTAAAAGGTTTGTGGAGAGAGACACTTGCAATTACCCTGATGCTGTTAGACCAAGATTTCCTCATGAACCCTTTCTGACCAGTCCTTTTGAGTGCCAGGGAATCACTCAAATATGGAACTAGGGTCTCAGGGTCCAAGAATTCCAAAGAGTAGCAAAGCCAGTTGTTCTGTGGCCTATAGAGTTATCTGCCCTTTTCCCATGGTTTCAGGAGAAGCTCTTGAAAGAATATCAATTAAATTAAAAAGCAACCACTGAGCCAAAGCTTGTATTAGGAGCTGGACACCCAAAGATCCCCCAACAGGGATCTGTACTGTATCACTGGGGATATGTCTGGATGGTATTTTTACAGTACATGTCTTTAGGGCAAGCTAAGGATCATCTATTTGGGGGATATCCCTGGACATGTGTTAAAGCATATACTCCAAATAATGAACCAGACCAAAAGGGTCATGGGCATTATAACAAGGGAGAGACTGGGTAGACTAGGGGGCCAGGGAAGCTTTATGTAAGAGACAGGAACCTGGAATTGCTGGCACAGAGTGTGGCGTCCCAGAGATGCATCTGGTCTCCTGCAGAACCTACCCCAAACCAAAACATCCATGCTGAAATGCAAGAATACATGACAGAAAAATTGAGTGGGGGGAATAATAAGCTTGAAAATAGCTTTTGCCCATATTTAACTTTATGTGACCCTTACAACTCCATGAGGTAAGCAGTGTAAGCATCTTCGTTTTACGACAAAGAAACCATGGCTCAAGTTTTCCAAAGATCCTGGTGCTGTCAGTAACTCAAAATCGGCTGTCTTTTCTCATCACCCAAATCTTCTCAGGGAACCCAGTTTCTTAGCACTGGTGAGGTTCAGTGGTTTCCTTCTGGCGTTTCTTCAGCCACAGAAACGGGAGATAGAAACAACGGCTGAAAGTCGCACAAAGAGGGGCCATGCCTTTCAGCCCTCAAACTCTGGGGGTACAGGGATCCCCAGTTGCTGTCAGAACACTCTGCCATGCTGGCGCCCACAGCGTCTCCTCCAGCACCCTTTGCAAGGGAACTCCCTGGGAAGCTCACTTTGGGGGGGATATGTCTAGATGGTATTTTTACAGACCCTTTTAACATAGTGTTACTGGGACATGCAGGGCTTTCACATTCAACTACCTAGGTAGCTGACTATGACTCAAGTTCAGAGAGATGCCCAGCATGATAGACGTCAGCCTGGATGTCTGACTGCAGAACAATCTGCCTGCCTTAAAAGAGATCCCAAGTCCTGTTAATTTACGTGTCCCTTGGGTCAAGGAGGCAGATTTGATGACCTGAGCCAGTTAGAGTTACTCTGTTCTAGGCTACTCGTTCATTTATCAAATATTTATTGAAAACAGATTTACCAGCCACTCTGGCACATGCTGGTGATCTATGCGGGCGATGAACAAAATAAATCTATACGGTCCCCGACTTTATGAATCTCTAGTGTAGGATGTAAACAAATGAACTGTTAAATAACAAAATTCAACCAAGTAAATGGGAAGATCTACTTGTCTTTATTAAATGATTCACAAATCAGCAACACCCCACCTAGTAGGTAGAGAGGCTCTCTAAGGAGTTGTATATAGAAGGAGGGTGGAGAAAAGAAAGTAATTAGCAGAAGAAAAACATAATTCCAGGTGAGGCTACTACTTCCTGAGGGGAAAAGCAAGGTGTCTTATCATGCAGATTACCTCACCTTTTTGTGGGGATGGAGAAGGCCAGGTGACAGACTCAATGGCACAAATTGAAGAATTCCCGGCTGATGGGTTAAGACTACATTGATGGAGGAGGTTGAAACTGCAATTCAATTATGTTTTAAGCACCAGTTTGGGAACTCAGTCCAAGTGACACCATTTTGAGCCAGTGTTGTTTTGGGGTTTTTTTCAACCCAACAATTATAATGTGGTATACATTTATAATTATAGTATAAATAGGAGAAATTCAGAGTACAGTAGAATTCGCTATAAATATTGCTTAACCTGTACCAGAAAGAAATTTCTAAAATGTCCACGCACTGATACCGTGATTTCCTGGAGATGACTCTTGTGTGTCCTTCATCATAAGAGGCCAAGTAAATCATTGAAATCAGGGATGAGCAAGCTCTTCTAGGTGACTTGGACACATCTATCATGCTAGAATGACTCCTTCCTCCCAGGATATGAACTGCCCCTTTGGAAATATGGAGATGATGCCTATCAACAGCAGAAAGTTCCTTCCCCCTTTAGGAGTTGATATGCATTGTCTTCATATTTCCAAAGGGGCAGTTCATGTTCTGGGAGGAAGGAATCATTCTAGCATGATAGATGTGTCCAAGTCGTCTAGAATAAATACTGTGTTGGGGGTTGGGAGAGGAAAAAAGCGTTTTTCACAGAACTGGCAAAGAGGAGTCACCCTAATCAAGCTGCAGAAACCAACATGGTGACTTGTGTCATCTCATGGTTATTTTAGATGCTGGGACCGCTATGTTGCCGAAAGGTGTTTCTGCCTTCCGTGGTGAGTGGAGAATTGTTTTCAAGAGTTATTTCCCTGAGTGTGGTTTCAATGTGGTATTTACTGTAAATCACCTGTAACTGCCCACTGTCTGTGGCCACAGGGGAAGCCTGTGACTCCCCAGACTCAGTCATCTGAGAGTCAGTCAGGAAAGTGACAATTAGAGCCTGGTGAGAAACAGGAACAATAGTCTTGATGGTGCTCCTCGAACCAGAAAGCCTCAGAAGCAAGGCTGAAAGTGGCTACAGTAGAGAGAAAGACCACTCCTCACACTGTAAGTGCTAGACTCCGTGTGTGGAAGCACACGTTTCTGGCCCTTGCACAGAAAACTCACAGCCAGGGTGATCATATAAGTCATCTGACACCCTGGGAAGGCGTTGAGAGTGAAAGGCATGCTACAAATAATTTGGGGTCCCTAAGTGACTGATAAGGACATTACCCAGACTCCCTAAGCCAAGTGGGACATATGGTCATGCTGCTTGGCACACATGTCATTGTCTCCTGAGATGATAATGAGCTTCCATTATATTTAGACTGTGTTCCTCTGGGGGACTCGGCTCTACAGAGTAGTTACCCCTGGTGCTCACATGGGCCATGTTTGCTTGCTTGCTTGCTTGGAGATCAGAGATCAGCCTTGGGGTTGGAATTGGAAATAACCTTGGCTCCTTATGTCACATGATATAAAAGAAATTGCTATTTTGTTAGAAAAAAAATCCCCAAATATTTACCGATGTCATCACCATAGTTCTCCATTTATAAATCAGTTCTACCTCAACCCATAGAAAAGGGAGAAGGGAGGAGAGAGAGAGAGATACACACACACACACACACACACACAAAGGTGGAGATTTCTACTTGGTCTTATCATTCATTTTTCCTTTTATCTATCTTCGTTCTCCTCCACGCTAAAGGAGGCATAACTTTAACAAATGAAAGAGTTAAAGATAAGGTTTTGGAGTCCAGTGTCATTTCCTTTGAGAGTTTCTGAATATTGAAACCACCAATTTTCCTTCCTTTCCTTTTTTCAGGAAAAAAGTACGCATTTGTAAAGCAAAGCCAGATTCCTCAAAGAAGAGTAAGTCATTGCTTTTTCATCTTTTCTACTTTGGATAGACTTACATTTCCACACCGCCCCTTCTCTGTGCTTCCCAAGCTCCTTGGGTGTCGTCCTTCCAGTGTAATACTTACGTGTGGATCTGTGTCACTCGTCCAGTTGCTTGTGTCTCTCTCCACGAGACTGTGAGCTCATCGAAGCAGGAACTGGCTACTGATCTCCGTATCCCTCCGTGAGGTCTGGAGGCCAGATGGGTGAACTGGGAACAATAACTGGAAAGGTGGAGGGTCACAGAGAGCAACGAGGAGGGGCGGGGCCTTGTAGGTAAGCTTAGGATTGGAGTTTTTGTCTTGAGAACTGCAAAACTATTGAGGGGCTTTAAACAAGGGGCTGGTATGATGCCCTTTGCATGAAAAGACACCGCCTGGGTTGCTGTGCAGAGAGCACATTGCACTAGCGTCTGGCAAGAGCGGATGCTGGAAGATCACTTAGGGGGTGAGGCAATGGTCTTTGGAGACAGAAGAGGACTGCAGCTAAGGAGAAGAAATTCGAGAAGGAGAGGGTGGTGAATAGCATCACATGCAAGAAAGAGAGAAAGGAAGTATAGGCCTGAGGACAGGCCACTGTATTTCTAAAGAAGAAAAGTGATGGAGTTTTGCCTCTGCCTTCCTGGGTTTTTTTTAATTTTTTTTTTTTTTTAAGATTTTATTTATTTGACAGAGAGAACACAAGCAGAGGGAGACAGGGAGAAGCAGGCTCCCTGCTGATGAGCAAGGAGCCTGATGTGGGACTCGATCCCAGGACCCTGGGATCATGACCCAGGCCGAAGGCAGCCGCTTAACTGACTGAGCCACCCGGGCGTCCCTACCTTCCTGGGTTTAAAGAGCAGAGCCTAATTCATTCACTCTGAGTCTTGCAAACTAGCTCCGTAAAGTGTATGCGTGAATAATACGACCCTCCCACCCCTAGCGTCACCCCAGGGAATGGTGGGGCCCAGGAAACCCCAATCGCCATCAGAGCAAAACAAGGCGGAGATAAGACCTCTAATGCTAAAACTCACAGATGTTCCTCACAGTGATAATCAGAGATGTCCTAGATGGCCACGGGAATTTATGGAGATGTGAGAATCTGGGATGTCAGTCCTGAGGGAAGGTAAATCCATAATATAATAAATAAGATGGGCTGCAGGGGCACATCCACCTCCTATGTAGGAAGGCATCCTGCGGCTTCCGTGTGAAAGTTCACGTTGGCTTATTGAGCCTGTGTGTTTGTGAGGGGGTAGCGAGTGCGTCCATTTGCCTCTTTGCTGAGTGGCCATAGCCGATTGCTTTTAAATAAACTGGCTTTTGAAAATCTGGCCAGCTTTTGTGTGTATCTGCTAGCAAATTCAGGAATGGGAATGCTCAATTTAAGAATTTCCTTCCGTCAAGCTCTTCCTGAGCACCAGCCCCCCACTACCATCATCCCCTGTCACCTGCAGTAGACACGACAGTCCTCTTTTTCATCGTGGATCCTCAGGGGCCCTTGTCTGCCTCCTATGCTAGCCTGTGAGCCCCTTGAGGACAGGAACTGTTTCTGATTTTTCTTTGTCTCCACAGTGCCTGGTACAGGGTAGGTATGCAATGAATTTTGTATGAGGGAGGGAGGGGTGGGGGGGAGAGAGGGAATTGTGATTTCCCTTCCAAAACCCCACCGAATATGTCTCCCTCCACTCAGCCCCAAACAGCTCTGCTGTTTCTTTAGCTGGTCCTGCCATTCCCCAGGGGTGTGTCGCAGGTCAGAAGAGCCTGATGGACCACTGTTTGGCTCTCTGACTGCTTATGTCCCCGTGTCCACCCCTCCCCCCCACTCCCCATCCTCTCTCAAATCTCTCCATGACCTGAGATTGATTGTATTTTCTTTCTCCAGATAAAGGCATGTCATCTGCTCCCACGCAGGTAATGCAAACACCTCTGAACGCTTTTCTGAGAAGCCAGTAGCAATGCAGATGCCCCCGATGGCAGAAGTTGGCCTCCAAGACCCCTTCAAACCTCGAGATGAAAGAAAGACTTCAGATGCCAGGGCTTGTCGGCCCAGGGCCCCGTACAGAGCCTGGTGGCAACAGCAGCAGCCACCTCTGTTGTACATCTTACTGAAAGGGGCTAATATATCTGGAGCCCTTTGCTGATGCCAGGCAGTGGGCTGAGGGCTTTGCCTGGAGTGTCTCATGTCGCTGTTACGGCGACCCTATAAGACTGGCACTGTTATTTCCCCTGTTGTCCAAGTGAGAAAATGGAGAGGCCAAGTGATAGTCTTCCCAAGCCAGACGCTGACAAGAAGTCAGGCGCATGATTCCAAACCAAGCCTCAGTCCCAGATCCAAGGTTCTCCCTCTTGTACTTTGCTGCTTTGCTTTCTATCTCTTGAGATTCCACTGCCTGGGAGCTTCTTTTGAGGGGTTTCCCTTTTTAATAATGCAAAAATCTCTAGAATGAGTGGTTAAATATCATAAGCTGTCATGCCAAGGTGGCCTCAGATTGTTCTCTTATATAAAAATGTGCTGCCCTCAGGGTCTGAGACTTGGGAATTATATATATGACTTGGGATAGTCAGGGGTCACTCTGGAACATGGGGCAGAAAGGACATGCCTGGGTAGGCTGAATACTCCGGACAGCATGAGCTGTCTGGATGCCTGGGCTAGTGGTTGGGGTGGGGGCAGCCATCAGGAAAAACAGCCAGGGGTTGGAGGAGAGATGGTCATGGAAGACAGATTTTGGCCAGGGTTGGGTCTGTGTTGAGCCTGGAGTATATAAAGGGAATGGCAAGAGGCTCACTCTTGATAAGGTTCTTCTTTGACCAGCAGGACGATGCTGATCAGAGCTCCTCGGAGGATCTCTGCTACACCCTCATTAATCATGGCGTCCTTGGGAGAAGGCCGTCAGGGATCTCCGGTGAGGGGTGCTATGAGAATGTTTCCCCCAAGACCAAGACATCCAGGAAGTCCTTGGGAGAAACCGAGACTTCATACACACTTCTCCGGGTGCCTTCCTCCCCAAGGCATTTGTCTTCCCCAGAAGATGAATATGAACTTGTAGTCCCTAGTAAAATCTTCCACTCCCTGCAACAGCCACATCTACCTCTGCCACCGTCGAAGACTCAGGTTTCCTATTTATAATGAAATAGTTGGACCAGTACTTGTCTAATACCAGTAAATAAAAACCGGGGGTGCGGGGTTCTGGTTGAAGCAGGTGTGGGGTCTAGAGCCCTTCAGGCTTACCCCCCTCCACACACACAACAGCCCTTGCTACAGGGGTCTCTGCAGAATCTGGTTTGCCAACCACAGGGCCTCTTAGATCCAGCTCAATATTCATCATCCAAAGACCAACCACCTATCCCGAACACCACTCTTTGAGAACGGAGTGGCCATCTTTGATTCCAAATGGCTTTGGAAAAGGACCACTTAGCTCAGTGGAGGGAGGGGCTTCTTGGTCCCCTACAGCTATGAGCATCACAAAGGGTCTGCTCCTCTGTCCAGATTCTTCTCCATAAAATGTCCACATGATTGTCTCCTGGAGTCACAAGGAAGCCTTATCCATCGTACTAAGTGTGCCAAGGGGTTCCACTGGTTCCACACATGTTTGAAGGCCCAACCCCTCACTCCAAGCCTTCCAGGTGGCAACCTGTGTGTTCTCTCACCCTGTGCCACTTAGCCGTGTCCTTTGCATCGTGTCCTTTGACTTGTTGACCCTTGTGGTTTTGTTGGTTATGTGACTTGAATCAGTAAGTTCTACATCAGGTTTTTATATAATTTTTAATATAATTTTAGTCCATATTTTTTAACCTCGTGTTTCTCCCTAGAAATCTTAACAAGAAAATCACAGCATTAGAGAATGGTAGAGTAGAAAGACCTATGGAGACACTCTAATCCCATTATCCTTTTTGCTCAGAGAGAAGTAACGCAATGTACATTGCAAGTTAGTGACAGAACTTTATTCAGAGCCTGATTTCCTGGTTTCCAATTCAGCACTCTTCCAACATACTACCTAGAAGAGCCTCTACTCAACTGTGGGGTGTGTGTGTGTGGATGAACTAATACGTCATGTATAAAATATGAAAAAAGTCCATATGAGAAAAATAACACACACACATCCCCACACACATACCCCTTCTCTAATGAGCCTGACTCTGTGTGTTCTGATTATTTTTCCTACTTTTTTCTTCATTATTCCTAGAATTCCATCTATCCCCTAAAACAGAGGTCAGCAAACTGTGACCCGCAGGCCAAATCTGACCTACTGTCTTTTTTTTATATACAAATAAAACATTATTGAAACACAGCCATGCTTATTCGTTTATACTGTATACAAGTTCATAGTGTCTATGGCTTCTCAGCCACAGAAGAGCTGAGTAGTTGTGACACACACTGACGGTCCTGCAAAGCCAAAAATATTTATTTTTTTGCCCTCTTCAGAAAAAATTTGTAGACCCCAGGCCTAAACGATGATACTTGGGAGATAAACTTAACAGAAATGTGTTTGGGTATTGTAACTCATAAGAGCTGGTACCAATAAACTGGCATGAAAATATTAAACCACAAATGATATGAGCGAGACCAAGAACAATTAGCAAATTAGACTATTTCTATATTCACAGCTGTGGTCTCAACTTCCTGTTTTTTTTTAACCGCCTTAATTTTAGGGGTGTTAAAATAGTAAAGGTTTGTTGACAAAGTAGTACATAAAATTATGTGTTTAATTACTGTTTTGTCCCCCAAAGTAACTAAAGTTTAATAACTGTTACTTAAAATGCACTAAATGCCAGGGAGGAGAAATTCAGTGACATGAGGTTGGACATGTCAACACACATTTGCTGAGACTTCAGGCAGTCAGTGGTCTTCAGCTAAGAGCCAATCACATCTGGGTATCTTGTCCTCTGCTAACTTCCCATTTTCAGCCATGGAACCCTATGGAACCCTAACCTTGACCCTTGGCTGGGATTCACTTAGGGAAAGAGTGTGGACACTAGAGTCAGATAATCAATGATTCAGATCCTGGCTCTATCCCTTCCTCCCTCTGTGACCTTGAGCATGTAACTTGAAGGTTCAGCTTTATCACCCAAAAGGAGGAGGGCTGCATCTAACGTATGTAATTCATTTACCGCAGATCTTGAATAAATGATATTAAAGAGCAAAGAGGACAAAAACCTTCATGACGTATGGAGAAAAACATGTGTGGATGTGCTTGATGATCAGGGTCATCCAGTAATCTTCCACTGGGTTAGAAATGAAATCGCTGGTTTTATACTGGAATTTGTCATTTGGACATTGGACCATTGCTAAAGTTGACTGGTTTAAATATCTTCAGTACAATATAAGTTATATTAGTTTGAGTCTTCTGTGAAAGTATTACTTGTCCCAATTACTTACCAGCAATATATTAAGTATAAACACTTCGCCAATGAGATTTGTTCTTATAACGAAATTCAGAGGGATGATGGAAGGGAATGATTTTTGAGCAGGAGAGCCCTTCGGGAGTGCTTCGTCTGTATATAATGCTAATCCTCTTTTCCAGAGATTTCACGATTTTGATGAAAGCCATGTAACCCTCTTCACGGAAAATACACATTCACACACACACACACACAATATTTTATACAATTTCACGTCGTCGGGGATGTCACCCGTCAATGAAAGAATTTCTGTATTCTTGATAAGAAACGGAGGCTGAGGATTTAAACTGCTCCCTCAGATCACAGATATCATCAGGGAACTCCCCTCCCCCACGCTCTCCTTACACCTGTACTCGGCCAGTTCACGGAGGCAGGCTTTGTGGTTTCCGTTTCACGTTCATAGTAGCATCTATAAATAATCCTTTAGCCTGTGAATAAATTCTTATTCAGAACAGAAGAGAGGTACAAGAAAAGGGCAAAGCTAGGTCAGGACAATCTACCGTTGATAACAAATAAATTCAAATGCTGACATTTTTAGGACAACCTTGGGTGACAGGTGCTTCGAATATTCTCAGGAATGGAGTGGAAACGCATAGGTAGAACAGGACAGATGAGTCCCTGGGATACCACAGGAGCCTTCGGACAAAAGGAGATTCCGTTTACATGTATCTGACTCTGTCCTTTTTCCAGCCTCTTGTGTTCAGAAAGCATCTTGAAAGTCACTGGATCTGAGCATACCTCAGTTTTGCCACCTGTTGAATGGGTCAGTGTAAGTTCTTCCCACTTTCCTACAGAGGGTGCTTTTGCAAGGCCCTCAGGGGAGCCCTGGGTGGTCATTATCATCCTAGAGCGTCTTCTACAGTCTGATGGTGACACCTCTTAACTCATCCCTTCCCCTCTCACCACCTGTGAGAGCACACTCTTTGTGGATTCAATCAAGCCTGAACTGAACATGACCTTAGAGAGCCTGCCCAAGTCAGAGGCCACTGACGGTCTGAGGTCGCCTAGTGGGCTGGACATTGCTCCCCAAGACTGCAGAACTCCGGGCTCATCCATTCACTTCTCCAGACCTCGCTTTCCTAAGTATAAGATGAGGGGACTGCCTGTGGACACCACCGCCAGCAACGCAGGGACAATGTGAAGGAGCGGATTGTAAGGCAGGGAAACCATAATGGGGAGCAGGGGAGGGAAGACTTACAGAGATTTCTCTCAGGTTTCTCAGCACTGATGAGACTCTGAACGGGGCAGGGATCCATGCAGAGCCCAGAGCTAAAAGGGAAAAGGGGCAGCTGGATGGCTCAGTCGGTTAAGCATCCGACTCTTGCTATCAGCTCAGGTCTTGATCTCAGGGTTATGAGATCGAGCCCCACGTTGAGCTCCACGCTGGGCATGGAGCCTACTTAAAAATAAAAATAAATGAATGAATGAGAACATGAACCTCAACCTAATCAGACACAAACATGTGTAAAGGAAAGCAAATCTGTTTATTCCAATGCTACCCCTGCTTCAGGTTCAGCTGTGTTGTCCTTCTTAGGCAAGGCCTTCTCCAATTAAACGACACTGACCGCTCTCTTCTCTGACTACCCACAACCCAAAGTCTGTCTCTATGTTCACACCAGGCTGTTTTGTCTTGCTGTTTCCTATCTGGTCTGTGCAGAGCCTCATTGCCTAACGAGACCAGCAGCTTCTTTTCTTATCATTGTCCTCCTCTTCGCTGATATCTCCTGGAGTCTTCTGCAAAACACCTCAAAATACTTAATTCACAAAGTTCAGTTCTTCCCACAGCACTGGAGCCAAGTCAAACCTATGGAAAGTCTTCTGTATGACTTGGTAGTTGCGTCTGAGTGCTTTCCAAAGGAGAAAGGAAAAGCCCACTGTCCTGGCCCTTCCTTCCAGCCCCGGCCCTTCAGACACCTGGGCCTGCCAGGAGAGCGCCTTGGAAGGAAGTGGAAGGGAGGGGGCCCCCTCCCTGCTCTCCCTGCAACAGAGAAGGACCTAGCTCACTCCAGCCCCTCCAGCTCAGTCTTATTCAGGAGGGGAAACTGCCCTCTGGGAAATGAAAAATCAGCTCCAGCACCATTCACTGCAAGAAAATGCCAGCCCCAACATGCCCCGGAGAAAAAACACCTGTGAAACAAACCTGTGACCACGACTGTGCCAAGAATAATTTATTGCGAATAGTTTTAAATCCTTCCCCATGAAAGTTATTCGTTACGTTCTCAAAAGTACACACACGCTACGGTTTACATTTGACATGTAAAAAATAAAGAGGAAGAAGAGAAACGCACCTATTTGGCTAGTCTGAGGAACTGGCCTCAAAATGAGACAGCAGGTTACAATAAACGTACCCTCCAGTTAAATAAGAAAACAAGTTCACATTATCCAGAGTCCTGGATCACAGGAAGACCAGGACAAATCTAGCCCGAGACTCACAGCTGGACACCTCCCCGTGCACGGCAGCCCCTCACACTGACGTCCCCCCGCGGCCCATTAGCTGAGATCCCAGGGCTAAGAATCTCTCGTGATAGGACCACAACACTCTCTCTTGGAACATTTCCAGCAAAACAATTTTCCCAACGAAACAAATCCTCCGCTTCCTCATGCTAGGCAATTCTATGTCCGTAGATGATCAATACAGTCGCTGACATTCCCCCCGGCCTGCTAACAAATTGGCATCAAGCCTCCAACAGGTTATTTCAAACAGAGAGTGGTTCTTCCTGTTTCGAATCCTCTTCAATGAGATACGCGATCAGTGTGTGAAGACACTGAGTTTTAGAGGAAGCCTAGCCACATGG